CTCAAGCGCATTTAGTATTCTTTTGTACGCAAATCAGAGATACAAAATGTAGTATGATATGTTATGTTTCGTATGGTATGTATTAATTTCTGAATGTCCATCACCCATTTTGTATGATATGTTACGAATTTGAGTGTCCCGGATTTACATTTACTATAAGACCAGGCTGCACACACGCACGCGCACTTGCATGCATGCACACACAAATCCACAAATGCGTGCACGTGCACCGCCGTGCACACACAACTTCTGTAAATAAAAGCCAAAAACAGTTGAATTCAGACTTAGTACTGCATGACTTCTCCAGCACTGGCTCTGCAGTCTCACAATGACGACCAACACCAGCTAAAAATTTGACTATGTTTCCATATCAGCCCAGCTCTGTGCTTCTGTGCCCACACTACTGCCACGCTACAGCCTTGCCCACCTGGCTGGCTTCATAGGGAAGTTACAGCTGCTGCTTTCCATATCATACTTTTGATATTATATTATGCCACTTCGAAGACACTCCTTTTATCCAAAACGACTTACAGTACAAGCATACGCTTCCCTTCACTTCCTTTAACGAGATGATATGAGTCTGAGGCGAGACAGTAACGATGAACCTTATTTACACAGCCACCATGACAGTTCATAGTCTTTCACCAGGCCAGGGTTGTATTCATTAGGCACCAAACGTAAGAAAACAGACTGGGGTCCTGCCATCCAGGACCTCTATACCAGGCGGTGTCAGAGGAAGGCCCTAAAAATTGTCAAAGACTCCAGCCACCCTAGTCATAGACTGTTCTCTCTGCTACCGCATGGCAAGCGGTACCGGAGCACCAAGTCTAGGTCCAAAAGGATTCTTAACAGCTTCTACCCCCAAGCCATAAGACTCCTGAACAGGTAATCAAATGGCTACCCGGACTATTTGCATTGTCACCCTCCACCTCCTGTTTTAGGCTGCTGCTACTCTCTGTTCATTATCTATGCATTGTCACTTTAACTAGGCTATACCTACATGTACATATTACCTCAATTACCTCGACTAACCGGTGCCCGCCGCACATTGACTCTGTACCAGTACCCCCTGTATATAGCCTCGCTACTGTTATTTTTACTGTTATTTTACTGTTATTTTACTGCTTTTATTTTCTACTTATCTATTGTTTACTTAAAACTTATTTTTCTTAAAACTGCATTGTTGGTTAAGGGCTTGTAAGTAAGCATTTCACTGTAAGGTCTACACCTGTTGTATTCGGCGCGTGTGACAAATACAATTTGCTTTGATTTGATTTGAAGCAGGGAGGGACTACCCGACTCCAATAAGAAACGCTCATTTTTGTTTTCCGTTGCACAACATTTTAAAACATTTTCTGTTGTGTGCCCTAGTGAACACAACCCAGGTGACAGGTGAAGGGTGATGGTGACACTTTGCTGCACTGGGCAGGTGGGGCATACCTGGTTTCTGTATCTCAGACAGTGAGACAGATACCTGAGAGAATACCTTTCTCGCCATGCTGAAAATAAATTGCCCTTGAGGGTGCAGTCATCGTGGTGAATGCTTCCACTGCTGATAAATTGCTTGCCCAGCCTATGTGTGCATATTACATCGCCACACACACACAGGGACAGGCACGTTCACACACATACACACACACTCGTGCACACACACTGCAACCCACACACAGGGACAGGGGACTATAAGTTATTTAGGGGAGTGTCACACTTTCACGGTCTAATTAGCCCCATGTGTTGCTTGAAACACACCCCAATGACCCTCACAGTCTGGCGGCTCATCAACTATGGATGGGACCCTGACTAGCCTCGCTCTCATCCATCAATACCTCAAGACCTCTTCAGTCACAGGACCTAGTATCATCCAAAGCTCCAAACAACCTCACTAATACAGCAATGCAGACCTTCTCTCATTAGAGAGAGAGATAGTGATAGAGAGAACATGAGAGGGGGAGAGCAAAAGACAGACAGAGTGAGAATCTCCTCTTGTTATGCATGTTTGTTAAGAACAGTCAGATTCCGGCTCAAAGAGAGAAGGCTCTAGAGAGATGCGGTTGTGTAGAGACAGACAGCCGGGGCCCAGTCCTGCCTGCCTTTGATGCGGTGATTCCTCTCTAGTTCTCTCTCTCCCCCTCTCTGTATCACCCTCTTTCTCTTGTTCTCTATCTCTCTCTCTCTCTGGCAGCAGCAGACATGGCCAGCGAGCTGTGAGGTGATGAAAGCGTCCCTCCCGCCCAACCATCATCAGCTGGGAAGCTTCTCTCCAGAAGGGTGCCTCAGTTACAGGGACCACTTTCCTCTCCTCTCCCATCTAGTGCAGTGCTGCAACACCACCACAATGGAGCTCTACTGACACCACCTGGTCAGAAGGGAGTTCTGCACTGAGAAATTACATTTTGGTAGTGCTGCACCATACTGCATGTGCTTTTGGGAGTAAAATTGCCTCTAACCACTGATACAGGGTCAGATATCTTTCATACCTCTAATGGGTGTGGGTAGGATTGATCTGTGTCTAAGGTCAACCTCTATTCAGAAGGCTACTTACTGAATGAGTGTATTAGATTGTTCTCAGTAAAGGAGATAAGCAGAGAATGGAGAGGGATAAGTGAAATATTTGAGTGGATCCTGAATCGATCCCAATACAGTGTGTTAATCTAGTGAGTGCCCCACTGGCAGACAACTCTGGCTAAAAGGTTGAACAGCACAGCAGACTTAAGCCATTAGAAAACTAGCCACGCTCAGTATTTTGAAAAGAAGCCATTTTCAAATGAAGAGGGGAGGGTTAGGTTGAATAAACCGTGGAAGTGACAGCATTGTCAGGCAGATTGGCGCTATATAGATTATATCTAGTGATTTGACGTTGGTGTTTTAATACTGTATGGTAATAAAGGCTTCTCATTTCACACTCGACAGAGAGCAGTACAGATTGGCTTATGCTGAGCACAGCTGACTGCCATTACATGTCAAGTTGATCTAGCTATCGCTAGACATGCTGTCAACTAGGATTGGGCAATATACCTTATACCGGGGTATTTAGACACAATGACGGTATGATTGTCAATACCGTAAAAAATATGACAAAAATTGGGGTTGGGTGCTCAGGGCTCCAGCTATGCATTTGTTCAGCTAACTCGCTAGCTAAGTGGCTAGATGGCAAGATCAAGCTTATTGGTTACAGCAGAGATGATCAATCCCTTCCTGGATCAAGATCCATGTTGCCTGTATTGTTGTGAATCCCAACATGTTTTATTTTTTTCTCAATAGCATCCCTTGTGTGCACTTCCAGTATGAAAATTGGGATACTGCCCGACCCGACTGTCAACTTCAAACAAGTACATGATATATTTTCTGACAGACAATATAAAAAGGAATTATCATAGGGCCTGCCATTCCATCCAGCATATTTTGCTTCAATCAAAGGCTATAAATCTAATTATTTCTTTATGAATGCTTCATGGGACAAATTAACGCAAGGGACATGTTTACATACAAAATTAAACATTTAATTTGCTGTACATGCATTGGCACTATGACACAAAGTTGTATTAATATTTTCCTCCCGCATGATATGAAAAGCAAACGTAGTGTAGTGGTTGATCGTTATGATTTACTACAAACCAAACAGAAAAACACTAAATAACAATCCATACTTGACAAATAAAAGAGGACAAGTGCAGGACTACTTTTCAATTCATGGCACTGTAACATTTGGCCTAATCGTACTATGACAGACCTTGTTCATTGGCTGCAAAAAAATTTTTTTATGAAAACACTCGCAACATTACAGCGTGTAACATCTCTATACAATTCCTAACATGTTGAGAATCTTCTAAATGCAATACTGTTGACAGTTGATACTTGTATACAGATGATACTGCTGTGAATGTGAAGGACCACATGACTACATAAGAGGTCGAAACAGCATTACATGACTATATACACACACGTTTTCCCTCTATCCAATAATGTGCAAAAGAGTGGATGGGATTGCATGGACGGGATTGTACAACAATCAGACACTTAGACCCATCTCAATGTCATCAGATACCTCTGGCATGGGTAGGGAGCAGTGCACAAGTGAGCACTTCATGCGAAAGGTAGAGCATAGAGACGCAGGGAGCGCTTCACAGGGAGGGAAGATGGCACAAAAACAGGGAGAATCTCAAATCGCATACTCCTCATGTCCTCTCTCCTAGACTCCTTCTCAACACCCATTGAAGAAGGTCAGAGGGGAGGGACCCAGGCTTTCTCCTCCAATGGGTTTTGAGAAGGAGGTGAGGAGAGAGGACGTGAGGAATATGCAATTGAGATTCTCCCAAAGTACACTACAAGAGGCAGATGGCTACTGGGCTCACAGTGAAGTTAAGACATGGGTTTTTCCTGACAAAGTGTCCAACAGAGTTCTCAACAAGGGTTCTGTACAGAGGGCAAACATACTATTGGCTGTGCCAGCCTGCCGGAGAAACAGATGCGATCTCAGTGCTTAGGAAATGCTAATGGTTCATTCTTAACCTGGATGGTACACTGTAGGTTTCCATTTACTCACTCGATCACAAAATTACCCGCTTTGACTTGATCCTAGTACTGTTCTCACAGGCCGTAGGAACTAAGGCTTCACTGCATTGAGTTAGTTCAGGACAGTATGCATCTTGTTAAAAAGGCACACTACAACACCACCACTACTCACAACAGCAACTCATCCCTTCTTAGCAGCACTTGCTTCTTTCTCTTCTAGTATCGAGAGAAGGAACGACACTTGGAGGCCTCGCAGATATTAGTAACATACATACATATTTCGAGAAAGCAGTAGTTAGTCACCAACCTTGCAAAACCCTACACACCCTGACCTATAGCTCTCCAGGACCAGAGTTGGCGAAGACCACTGACACAATGGAGGAGTATGTTTCCCCTTACAGCAATGAAAGTAAGGGACAGGATCTTATGGCACTGAAGTTCATTATTTGTTTTCCAGGGAGAGAAAGTACGGCAAGCCGTGAGGGACATTAGGAGTGTTTGATGGTGTATTTGCCTTTCTGCAGCTGAGAGATGTACAACTTGGACTTGCTGCCGTCCAGCCGTTTGAACCACACCTCGTCATGGTTAATGGTGGTTATCATGGCACTGTGGGAGAGAGATGGAAGAGGATTGGATAAAATATATGAATATACATTATATACACGCCTCACTACACAAATGCACTCACAACACTTGACTCTAGTCTATGAACGTCAGCAGCATATGCACACAATTGCATCACATGCAAATATACATGCACATATACACTACCAGTCAAATGTTTGGACACACCTACTCATTCCAGGGTTTTTCTTTATTTTTACTGTTTTCTACATTGTAGAATAATAGTGAAGACATAAAAACTATTAAATAACACATATGGAATCATGTAGTAACCAAAAGTGTTAAACAAATCAAAATATGTTATATTTGAGATTATTCAAAGTAGCCACCCTTTGCCTTGATGACAGCTTTGCACACTCTTGGCATTCTCTCAACCAGAAATTACAGTCCTTCATTACTTTAAGACATGAAGGTCAGTCAATACGGAACATTTCAAGAACTTCGAAAGTGCAGTCACAAAAACCATCAAGTGCTATGATGAAATTGGCTCTCATGAGGACCGCCACAGGAAAGGAAGACACAGAGTTACCTCTGCTGCAGAGGATAAGTTAATTAGTTATCAGCCTCAGAAATTGCAGCCCAAATAAATGCTTCACAGAGTTCAAGTATGAGACACATCTCAACATCAACAGAGGAGACTGCATGAATCAGGCCTTCATTGTCGAATTGCTGCAAAGAAACCACTACTAAAGGACACCAATAAGAAGAAGAGACTTGATTGGGCAGAAACAAGAGCAATGGACATTAGACCGGTGGAAATATGTCCTTTGGTCTGGAGTCCAAATTTGAGATTTCTGGTTCCAACTGCCATGTCTTTGTGAGACGCAGAGTAGGTGAATGGATGATCTCCGCATGTGTGGTTCCCATCATGAAGCATGGAGGAGGTGGTGTGATGGTGGTTTGCTGGTGACACTGTCAGTGATTTATTTAGAATTCAAAGCACACTTAACCAGCATGTCTACCACAGCATTCTACAGCGATACACCATTCCCATCTGGTTTCGACTTTGTGGGACTATCATTTGTTTTTCAACAGGACAATGACCCAAAACACACCTCCAGGCTGTGTAAGTGCTATTTGACCAAGGAGAGTGATAGAGTGCTGCATCAGATGACCTGGCCTCCACAATCATCCGAACTCAACCTAATTGAGATAGTTTCGGATTAGTTGGACCGCAGAGTATAGGAAAAGCGGGAACTCCTTCAAGACTGTTGGAAAAGCATTCCTCATGAAGCTGGTTGAGAGAATGCCAAGAGTGTGCAAAGCTGTCATCAAGGCAAAGGGTGGCTACCTTGAAGAATCTCAAATCTGTTTTGATTTGTTTAACACTTTTTTGTGTCATTTCATAGTTTTGATGTCTTGACTATTACTCTACAAATGTAGAAAATAGTAAAAATAAAGAAAAAAACTATTGAATGAGTAGGTGTGTACAAACGTTTGACTGGTACTGTACATACACACACAAACACTTTAAACACTTTACTCAAGGACTTCAACATTTCAAAAACATACATTTCATATACAGACACACACCTGGTGGGGTATTCGTCCTTCCTGTTGATGCATATGGCCTGTCCTCTGCAGTACCACTGGCTGTCATAGAACAGTCTGCCCTCCTCAGACCTCGCCACATGGTGGTGTCTGTCAGCCTTGGTAGGGACTACATTTTACATTTTAGTCATTTAGCAGACGCTCTTATCCAGAGCGACTTACAGTTAGTGAGTGCATTTTTTATTTATTTTTCATACTGGTCCCCCGTGGGAAACGAACCCACAACCCTGCCGTTGCAAACGCCATGGTCGGGACTACACACACACACACACACACACAGCAAAACATTGGTCATAAGGTAGGTCCAACAGTTTAGACTACTACTACAGTGGGGGAAAAAAGTATTTAGTCAGCCACCAATTGTGCAAGTTCTCCCACTTAAAAAGATGAGAGAGGCCTGTAATTTTCAACTATGTCAACTATGACAGACAAATTGAGGAAAGAAAATCCAGAAAATCACATTGTAGGATTTTTAATGAATTTATTTGCAAATTATGTTGGAAAATAAGTATTTGGTCACCTACAAACAAGCAAGATTTCTGGCTCTCACAGACCTGTAACTTCTTCTTTAAGAGGCTCCTCTGTCCTCCACTCGTTACCTGTATTAATGGCACCTGTTTGAACTTGTTATCAGTATAAAAGACACCTGTCCACAACCTCAAACAGTCACACTCCAAACTCCACTATGGCCAAGACCAAAGAGCTGTCAAAGGACACCAGAAACAAAATTGTAGACCTGCACCAGGCTGGGAAGACTGAATCTGCAATAGGTAAGCAGCTTGGTTTGAAGAAATCAACTGTGGGAGCAATTATTAGGAAATGGAAGACATACAAGACCACTGATAATCTCCCTCGATCTGGGGCTCCACGCAAGATCTCACCCTGTGGGGTCAAAATGATCACAAGAACGGTGAGCAAAAATCCCAGAACCACACAGGGGGACCCAGTGAATGACCTGCAGAGAGCTGGGACAGAAGTAACAAAGCCTACCATCAGTAACACACTACGCTGCCAGGGCCTCAAATCCTGCAGTGCCAGACGTGTCCCCCTGCTTAAGCCAGTACATGTCCAGGCCCGTCTGAAGTTTGCTAGATTGCATTTGGATGATCCAGAAGAGGATTGGGAGAATGTCATTTGGGGCTGTTTTTCTGCAAAGGGACCAGGACGACTGATCCGTGTAAAGGAAAGAATGAATGGGGCCATGTATCGTGAGATTTTGAGTGAAAACCTCCTTCCATCAGCAAGGGCATTGAAGATGAAACGTGGCTGGGTCTTTCAGCATGACAATGATCCCAAACACACCGCCCGGGCAACGAAGGAGTGGCTTCGTAAGAAGCATTTCAAGGTCCTGGAGTGGCCTAGCCAGTCTCCAGATCTCAACCCCATAGAAAATCTTTGGAGGGAGTTGAAAGTCTGTGTTGCCCAGCGACAGCCCCAAAACATCACTGCTCTAGAGGAGATCTGCATGGAGGAATGGGCCAAAATACCAGCAACAGTGTGTGAAAACCTTGTGAAGACTTACAGAAAACGTTTGACCTGTGTCATTGCCAACAAAGGGTATATAACAAAGTATTGAGAAACTTTTGTTATTGACCAAATACTTATTTTCCACCATAATTTGCAAATAAATTCATTAAAAATCCTACAATGTGATTTTCTGGATTTTTTATTCTCATTTTGTCTGTCATAGTTGACGTGTACCTATGATGAAAATTACAGGCCTCTCTCATCTTTTTAAGTGGGAGAACTTGCACAATTGGTGGCTGACTAAATACTTTTTTTCCCCACTGTATGTAACAATAGCTGAACTGCAGTTACACTGTACCAGTCTACACTGAGTATACAAAACATTAGCAAACCTGCTATTTCCATGACAGACTGACCAGGTGAATCCAGGTGAAAGCTATGATCCCTTTTTTGATGTCACTTGTTAAATCCACTTCAAAATCAGTGTAGATGAAGGGGAGGAGACAGGTTTAAGAATAATTGTTAAGCCTTGAGACAATTGAGACATGGATTGTGTATGTGTGCCATTCAGAGGTTGGGTATGGTAGTAGGTGCCAGGTGCACTGGTTTGAGTGTGTCAAGAACTGCAACGCTGCTGGGTGTTTCATGCTCAACAGTTTCCTGTGTCTATCAAGAATGGTCCACCACCCAAAGGAAATCCAGCCAACTTGACACAACTGTGGGAAACATTGAAGTCAACATGGGCCAGCATCCCTGTGGAACGCTTTCAACAACTTGTCGAGTCCATGCCCCGACGAATTAAGGCTGTTCTGAGGGCAAAAGGGGGTGCAACTCAATATTATGAAGGTTTCCTCATATTTTGTACACTCAGTGTATATATAATTAATATCTAAATACATATATTCAGAGACACAATATAATCTGGGATCAGACACTTACAAATAGATCATTTATAAACCATGCGTAGGTACAAAATATACCCCAAAATGTGCGTGCGCTAGTTCACACGCAAAAGTTGGCATTTATACAAAATGTGCTTGCCGTGAGAATGTGCTCACCTCCCCGCAAACTTTATACCATGCGTATGCACATCTGCTAGTGGTTGAAATGTTGTATTGCAAGCTGGCAAGTATACAGTGCATTCGGAAAGTATTCAGACCCCTTCCCTTTATCCACATTTTGTGACGTTACAGCCTTATTCTAAAATGGATTAAATTGTTTTTTTTCCCCACAATCTACACACAATACCCCATAATGACAAAGCGAAAACAGGTTTTTAGAAATTGTTGCAACCTTATTAAAAATAAAAAAATACCTTATCAACATAAGTATTCAGACCCTTTGCTATGAGACTCGAAATTGAGCTCAGGTGCATCCTGTTTCCATTGATCATCCTTGAGATGTTTCTACAAGTCCACGTCCAAGTACAGTCCACCTGTGGTAAATTCAATTGATTGGACATGATTTTGAAAAGGCACACACCTGTCTATATAAGGTCCCACAGTTGACAGTGCATGTCAGAGCAAAAACCAAGCCATGTGGTCGAAAGAATTGTCCTTAGAGCTCCGAGACAGGATTGTGTCGAGGCACAGATCTGGGGAAGGGTACCAAAAAATGTCTGCAGCATTGAAGGTCCCCGAGAACACAGTGGCCTCCATCATTCTTAAATGGAAGAAATTTGGAACCACCAAGACTCTTCCTAGAGCTGGCTGCCCAGCCAAACGGAGCAATCGGGGGAGAAGGGCCTTGGACAGGGAGGTCACCAAGAACCCAATGATCCCTCTGACAGAGCTCCAGAGTTCCTCTGTGGCGATGGGAGAACCTTCCAGAAGGACAACCATCTCTGCAGCACTCCACCAATCAGGCCTTTATGGTAGAGTGGCCAGACGGAAGCCTCAGTAAAAAGCAGATGACAGCCTGCTTGGAGTTTGCCAAAGGGCACCTAAAGGACTCTCAGACCATGAGAATCAAGATTCTCTGGTCTGATGAAACCAAGATTGAACTCTTTGGCCTGAATGCCAAGCATCACGTCTGGAGGAAACCTGGCACCATCCCTACGGTGAAGCATGGTGGTGGTGGCAGCATCATGCTGTGGGGATGTTTTTCAGCGGCAGGGACTAGAAGACTAGTCATGATTGAGGGAAAGATGAACGGAGCAAAGTACAGAGATCCTTGATGAAAACCTGCTCCAGAGCGCTCAGGACCTCAAACTGGGGGTGAAGGTTCACCTTCCAACGGGACAATGACCCTAAGCACACAGCCAAGACAGCACAGGAGTGGCTTCGGACCGGTCTCTGAATGTCCCCAGCCAGAGCCCGGACTTGAACCCGATCTAACATCTCTGGAGAGACCTGAAAATAGCTGTGCATCCAACCTGACAGAGCTTGAGAGGATCTGCAGAGAAGAATGGGAGAAACTCCCCAAATACAGCTGTGCCAAGCTTGTAACGCTTGGTCCTCTGTAGCTCAGCTGGTAGAGCACGGCGCTTGTAACGCCAAGGTAGTGGGTTCGATCCCCGGGACCACCCATACACAAAAATGTATGCACGCATGACTGTAAGTCGCTTTGGATAAAAGCGTCTGCTAAATGGCATATTATTATTATTATTACTCGAGGCTGTAATCGCTGCCAAAAGAGCTTCAACAAAGTACTGAGTAAAGGGTCTCAATACTTATGTAAATGTGATATTTCAGTTTTTATAAATGTGCAAAAAATTCTAACAACCTGTTTTGGCTTTGTCATTATGGGGTAGTGTGTAGATTGATGAGGGAAAAAAACAATTTAATCAATTTCAGAATAATGCTGTAACGTAACAAAATGTGGAAAAAGTCAAGGGGTCTGAATACTTTCCGAATGCATTCATTTAAAAAATTTAAACAGGAAAATATATTAACAAGCATGCAACCATTTGCCATTAATGAGAAGAGCGAAAATCTGTGTTTATTTTTTGAATTTTAAATAATTTGACATATTTTTTTTATTTTTTTCATAACCATTGCAGAATACACTACCGGTCAAAAGTTTTAGAACACCTACTCATTCAAGGGTTTTTCTTTATTTTTACTAATTTGTACATTGTAGAATAATAGTGAAGACATCAAAACTATGAAATAACACATCGAGAATGCCAAGAGTGTGCAAAGCTGTCATCAAGGCAAAGGGTGGCTATTTGAAGAATCTCAAAAATATTTTGATTTGTTTAACACTTTTTTGGTTACTACATGATTCCATATGTGTTATTTCATAGTTTTGATGTCTTCCCTATTATTCTACAATGTAGAAAATAGTAAAAATAAAAACCCTTGAATGAGTAGGTGTTCTAAAATGTTTGACCGGTAGTGTATATTCCTCACCTTCTCTGGCCGTGATGGGTTCATATTCCAGAAGGAGCCATACAAAAAAATTAACATGCGCATCTCTCATTTAATGGGCCCTAGTAGCCTAGTAAATAGATAGGCTATATGTATTTCAAGTTTTGCAATATCATAGGCAGTGCAGTTTATAATCCTGGTATAGAGTCTAATTTAACAGCTTATATTCTACATTGAAGTAGGCCTATGTATCAAGTTAAGTTTGTCACATGCACAAGTACAGTGAAATGCCTTTCTTGCTTGCACTCCCAACAATGCAGTAATGAATATCAGTAGCACTATAAAAAAAAAAAGTCAAGTAGGACAAAAATACAAGAAATATAATTAACTACTGTAAAAAAATAAAAAAAATTGTCTGCCCTACAATGTTTCAGAATTCGCAGGCAGTCCATCATATTTAGGTTGGGGGAAAAGTAAATGCAAACGTTCTGCTGACAGGTCCACAACAATTTATCATAGTTTTTTCTTTCAGAAACTGACACAGTCCTTTTCCAGATACAGCAGAAATTACTGCTAAAGATTAAAACATTCTGCCAACACAGTAAACAGACCGGTGGCTTATGTAAAATACTTGACAGTATGGGTAGGTAGGCTACAGTATTGCTGTGCGATAGAAGCTCAACATCATTCCCTATTCAATCTCAGAGCCTATACCAAGGCAGGACATAAACCCAATAATCTATTGATAAACTAAATATTGAACAACAATTCGTATTTTGCATGCTGTGGCGTAATGCCAATAGCTCCAAATTATACAGAAAATAAAGGGAGTCATTGTCACCATAAAAGGTGAATGGAGGCGTTTTCCAGGCAGAGTTTTATATCTTGTTCACGTGCGCAGTTTTACGACAGGTCTGATTTATTACGGGAAACATGCGTATGCATGGCGTGCGGCAAGTTGATAAATCTCAATCTTTTTCTATGTGCGCAGATTTTTCAGAAATGGCGCACGCAGAAATGTAGTGTGAAAATTACGCAACGGTTATAAATGAGGCCCCTGGGCTTTACAGTGACACAATGATATGAGAGATTCTTACCGTCAACCTTAACCCTGTGCGGCCCTAACGACGCCATCGCCTGTGGTGCATACAGAACAAGATCGAAAGGTTAAATTCCAACCCTAAACAAAATCACAACAAAGGCTTACATTCGGTTAACTCAAATACCTTTCGTATTGCTGTCCAGTCTTCAAGTATATCTAGGTCTTGCAGCATATAAACAATATATGGACGTGAGAAGGGGTTAAGAAAAACAAAAACTTCTGGCGCAGTATTGAAATTACCACTGACAATACAGTATCTGTTTGTATCAGAGGATGAAGACAGGTACAAAGAAAGGATATCTGAGACGACAACAGGCTTCTTCTTCTTGGCAGGGCAGAACGGATCCTTCTTCTTGTTCTTCCGTGAATGTAAACCATCATTCCAAAGTTCTGTAATGCAGAGAGACAGATAAAACATAGAGGGCAAAGCAAACCCTGGTCCTGGAGAGCTGCATGCTTTTGTTCCAGCCCAGCTTTTAAACACCTGATTCAACCGGTCGACTTTTCCTCCATTAGTTCAACCAGGTTTGTTATATTAGTGCATGGCTGGAACAAAACATTCCAGATCACTAGAGATCATGTGTGTAGAGTACCTGAGGTGATGTCGATACTGTGGCGGTCCTCCTCCAGGCGTCTGATCTTCTCCTCTAACTCACTCTGCACGGTATCAAACAGCAACAGCTTCTCACTCTGGGAAGAGAAAAACAGTACACAGATGAGTACAGTAGTACTACCAAAGCCACGGAGAGAGACCCTGGTCCAATACATACGAAATGCACCTTTGCTGATTGCATAACTGCAAAGCATTCTACTTAGACAAAGGTAATATTCCAGTAGTTTTCCCATGCATCCTTCATTCCTCCCTTCCTTGAGGTAGCCATATTGTTTATCTGTATGTGAATGTACAAGTGAAGGCAAGGATTCAACCCAACTGCTTTCACCTGCCCAATCAATCAAATTCAATTAAATGTATTTATAAAGCCCTTTTTACATCAGCAGATGTCACAAAGAGCTTATACAGAAACCCAGCCTGAAAGCCCAAACAGCACACAATGCAGATGTAGAAGCATGGTGGCTAGGAAAAACTCCCTAGAAAGGCAGCAACCTAGGAAGAAACATAGAGAGGAAACAGGCTCTGAGGGGTGGCCAGTCCTCTTCTGGCTGTGCCGGGTGGAGATTATAAAAGTACATGGCCATTAAGGCCAGATTGTTCTTCAAGATGTTCAAACGTTCATAGATGACCAGCAGGGTCAAATAATAATCACAGTGGTTGTAAAGGGTGCAACAGGTCAACACCTCAGGAGTAAATGTCAGTTGGATTTTCATAGCCGAGCATTCAGAGGTCGAGACAGCAGGTGCGGTAGAGAGAGAGAAAGGGATAGTCAAAAACAGCAGGCCCAGGACAAGATAACACGTCCGGTGACGGGTCAGGGTTCGTCCAGGGGGACGGACACTGTAGCCCCGTCCGACAATAACCCCGGACATTGGCCCCAGTTTTTTGTGTCAGTCTGGTTCAAAGTTAGCTAGTGACTCAGCCCCCATAATAGGGTCAGAGGCAGATAATCCCAGTAGAGAGAGGGGAGTCAGCCAGGCACACACTGCGAGGGCGGTTCATCATTCCAGTGACTTGCCGTTCACCTTCGCACCCCTGGGCCAGACTACACTCAATCATAGCACCTACTGAAGAGATTAGCCTTCAGTAAAGACAAAGGTTGAGACAGAATCTGCGTCTCACATGTACAGGCAGACCATTCCATAAAAATGGAGCTCTATAGGAGAAAACCCTGCCTCCAGCTGTTTGCTTAGAAATTCGAGGGACAATAAGGAGGCATGCGTCTTGTGACCGTAGCATACGTGTAGGTATGTACGGCAGGACCAAATTGGAGAGATAGGTAGGAGCAGGCACATGTAATGCTTTGTAGGTTAGCAGTAAAACCTTGAAATCAGCCCTAGCCTTAACAGGAAGACAGTGTAGAGAGGCTAGCACTGGAGTAATATGATAACAGCTGTATTTACCACTAACTGAAGTTTATTTAGTGCTTTATCCGGGTAGCCGGAGAGAAGAGCATTGCAGTGGTCTAATCCAGAAGTGACAAAAGCATGGATTAGCTTTTCTGCATCATTTTTGGACAAAATGTTTCTGATTTGTGCGATGTTATGAAGATGGAAAAAAGCGGCCCTTGAAATATTCTTGATATGTTCATCAAAAGAGAGATCAGGGTCCAGAGTAACGCTGAGGTCCTTCAGTTTTATACAACCATCAAGATTAATTGTCAGATCAAACAGCATCTCTGTTTTGTCCGAATATAAAAGTGAAACATTTGCCAACATCCACTTTATGTCTGAAACACAGGCTTCCAGGGTAGGCAATTTTGGGCCTTTACCATGTTTCATCTAAATGTACAGCTGTGTGTCCTCCGCATAGCAGTGAAAATTGACATTGTGTTTACGAATGACATCACCAAGAGGTAGAATATATAGAGAAAACAATAGTGGTCCTAAAACAGAACCTTGAGGAACACCTAAACGTACAATTGATTTGTCAGAGGAAAAACCATCCACAGAGACGAACTGATATCTTTCAGGCAGATAAGATCTAAACCAGGCATGAACTTGTCAACGCTGTCAAAAGCGGCACTAAGGTCTTAGACCACGAGGACAGATGCAGAGCCTTGGTCTGACTCCAATCACTCTACATATTTCAAGTATTTAGACAGGGCCAGAGATAAACAATGAATGCACTTTATGGTTGACCACTGTGTCATTACTCACTGGGCCAACAATTGCCCCTTGGGGATAAATAAAGGTATATTGTATTGAATTGCCCTCTGACCTCCCAGTGTTGGCAGGCAGCCTGGATCTCACAGTCGTACTTGTTCTTCACAGACTCCAGACACAGCTCTCTGTAGATCCCTGGAGAAGATACAAGACAAGGAAAACATATTTTTACTCTCAGTCGGCACCCTTCAGAAGGTTTGACATCACTGAGAACAGAGCCATATATCTACATTGTAACATGGTTGTAACAGTACATTGTATATGAGAATAGAAACAACGTATATATAAACAAATGTGTGTTTCTTATATTTGGAGGTAGCCTACCCAGGGAGCTGGTAGGTAGGTCATCTGAGGAACACACAACTAAAATGTTAGAAAACCACTGATCTTCCTGACATTGACATCTGCCACAACTAAAGTTACAAAGTGGGACGTTAGTATCTAATCTAGAGTAGGCTAAAATGACATTCAAACTTACCAGCTACTTTGGTCCTGATCTGCATATTCTCCTGCAGGTTGGCCAGTGGTTCCAGATACTCTTGGGCACAGCCAGCTATCACTTCCTTCAGCTTTATATCCACCTGACTTAGCCTCTCCTTGTACAACCTAGTCACAACGAGACAGACAGGGGTGAGGAATTACAGCAGCATCAGTAGTTGGTTGGCTTATAATCATGCGTGTAAACATGGACCAGAAAGAAAACAATGTAGCAAGTGCGATTCAATGTGAAAATTTGCTAATAGTGTCTTTACTGTTCTTTCAAGTCACCGAATTGCTTCTCGAGGGTAGTCATTTCGTCCATGCATTCAATTCGTCTCCTCTCGCAGTCTTCGTCGTCCATATCTGTTGGCAAAAGAAACATGCAAACTGTCAGACAAATATAATACAGTAAACAAACTAGAGGTAGCTAGCTACTAGCTAGCTCGCTAGCTACTTGGCCACGCAGCATCAACATCACTTTCTTTGGTCAGAATTAAGCAGACCGTCATAAAAATTGACAAATTACAGCACAAACACACATTAATTCATTCATTTAGAAACTACAATGCATTATGCATAGCAGCAAGCTGCCTAGTTAGTTCTAACATTTACAGACAAGTAATGTACCTAGCCCTTACCCGAGCTGTCTCCATCTTCGGATACATAAGAGCTGACAGTGTCCTCTTCATCGGTGCTGCTAGCGTCTTGCTCGGGAAAATCAACCTCCATTTCTTCGTGGTTGCTTTCTTTCTTTTCACGGGCGTGCACCGGCATAACGTTAGTGCTCTTATAAAATTCGAGGAAAGGGTTTGCGAACTGAATTGTGTAAAAAATAGCAATAAAAATGACGACGGCTAGCTAACCAGATAAACAACTAGCTAGCTAAAACAACAGAGGTAACTGGAGGTTGAAAACATGGCTACCGAATCTACCAATCAGATGCTCTTTTACAAAACTGTCCCATCTCTTCTGCATGCGCTCAGAGACATTTTTGAGGAGATGGGAAACACAATTGAATCGTTTAACACCTTTCTTGTAAGTTGCCCATGCGTCGTCAATGGGCCGCATAATGCATTCTGGGACAAGGAGCGCTCTCCTTCAAGGAGTGAACGGGAGTCAATTGGGCGCTAGCTCAAAACCCCAACATTAGAATGCATTTCGTGAACAAGAAGTACAACATTACAAATCTTATCAGAGATGTGAGATAATTAACTTGTTCTCTGTAATATCGTATAGCTTTGGAATCGTGACATTACGTACTTTCGAGGAAAATAGGCAGATTTGAGATTTCTCGACTAATGCTGCGTTTCAATACTAATCCCGTTTAGCTCAGTTGGTAGAGCATGGCGTTTGCCACGGGGGGCCAGTATGAAAAATGTATGCACTCACTAACTGTAAGTCGCTCTGGATAAGAGCGTCTGCTAAATGACTAAAACGTAATCGGAACTCGGAAATGTCCGACTTGATGTATAACTACAACCAGTCAGTGGTACATTTCCTTGTTCCGACCAGCATATGAACGCGTGACGATTAGTTTAGCAATTGAGTGACGTATCATGACAACGTGAGCGCGATTGGTCGACATTCTGCTGCGTGGGGTGTTTACGTTAATACGTTTACGCTAATACGATCCCTATCTCTTCCTTTCTGTAATATCTCTGGTGCGCTGGCTTTTAGCGGGGTTGATGTACAGTAGCTAGCTAGCACATTTAGCCACCTAACCGGAGGTACACAGAAGTGAAGTCGCCCGTCTTAACCGATAAACCGACTGGTTTTGGGTAAGTAAAATCTGAATCGGTAGCTTGTTTTTCACTTTATTGTCTGAGTATTATTGACGGTATCTAGCTAGCTAAGTAGCTAACATAAACTGTGCGAATGGTTGCCCGGTACGGTAGTTAGCTGCTAACTAGCGTAGTTACAGCACACAAGCTAGCCTTGCCAGGATTGTTGTGGAGGACAAAAACCTCGAACGGTACTTAGCGAGTATAACGTTAGCTAGCTAATTAGGATACGTTGTTGCTGACCCAAACGATAAATATGACCAACAAGGTGAAGCTAATGTATCTTTCATAAGTAACTAGCTGGCTAGTTAGCCAGCTAACGTTACCAAGAGTCATGGCTATGATTTGACGACAGTACCCACTTAGCTAGCCTTCTAACTAACTTAGTTAGCCATCTAACTAACTGGGCTAACGTTAGCTAAGTTGGCTAACGTTAGTACCAGGCCTTCTTTCAACCACACAGATCCAACTTACGACCTGTGGTGGGTAATTTAGAGATGGATATCAGTCAGCTGACATATGCAGCCACAAGTACAAAAAAGCCAACTGAACACGTGTGCTGTTATCTTGTGTTGAGAAATGGACAGGGTCTCACTCGTACTACTCTCTTATTACAGTTCTGACTGTGTTTTTTGTTTTGTTCCATGTTTAGGTGGGTGATTTCCACAAGATGTCGTTCCCTCCTCATATCAACCGACCCCTGTTGCCACCGGGCATCCCCCCACCACAGTTTGCTGGTTTTCCTTCAGGTTAGTCATCGCATTCTATAGGTCTGTCTGTATGTAAATTATACAGCAACTTTGACTAGATTGTGAATATGACTGATTTGTAAGGATAACTAATACTCTGCAAACCTTTTATTGAGAGAAAAACATTAATTTAATCCAAATACATTTTGTATACATTATCGGATTGTCTCTATTCCAGGTACCCCAATGATACCAGTCCACATGGGTATTATGACCCAAACACCTGCGGTGTTGGTGCCCACCTCCATGCCTGTGGTCAGTAAGCCCGCGGCCCCAAGGAAGGAGGCCGCCCCGGTGAAGGCCAAGGAGACGGACGAGAACAGCGGCCCAACCACCACTGTGTTTGTAGGGAACATCTCAGAGAAGGCCTCAGACATGTTGATTCGACAGCTGCTGGCGGTGAGGAAGGGGAACTTGCATGCAGATGTATTGGAAAGAGACATTAAGCTTTATTTAGGGTATAGGCAGTGTCTTTAGTCACAGGTCATGCTAGTATAATACAGCTCTGGAATAGACAGTTAGTTTTGCTTCTGTTTTTAGCATGTGTTGTTTCAGTTAGCCTTTAGGTTTGATTAATAAAAGCTGTTTCTCTATTGGCCAAAATGTTTTACTTCCTTTGTTTTCTTGGTTTTACCTGATAAAAATCAATGTCCTTTAGTAGGTCCCTGTAGTAAAGCAAGTCATTTTCACTCTTCAGAAATGTGGCCTGGTCCTAAGCTGGAAGCGAGTCCAAGGAGCCTCTGGAAAACTTCAAGGTAAAAACAGAACAGGTACAACACTTCTAAAGTACTCTACCGCCATGTAAGTCCAATGTCAACCTCACCAAGGCATGCTTTGCCAATGTGAAGCAACTACTATTTAGTGAAAAAATGAGCAGGCTCCTGTTCAGTAGGCACTAATCAGAAGAAAACAGACAAAAAAAGGATGTGACTACATGGACTTGTCTGATAAGAAAAACTCATGTACATTTTCCATTCCATGCCCTAATGAACACGACCCTGCTGAAGCTATTCCTCATTCCTGGTCGTGACTCAGATGGCTGTGTATTGATATAAACCCTCTATGCCCATTCTCTCCAGCTTTTGGGTTCTGTGAGTACAAGGAGCCCGAGTCGACGCTGCGGGCCCTGCGGCTGCTCCACGAGCTGCCGATCGGGGCGAAAAAGCTGCTGGTGAAGGTGGACGCCAAGACCAAGGCCCAGCTGGACGAGTTCAAGGCCAAGAAGAAGAGCAGCACCAACGGCAATGGGGTGGGTAATATAGTGGGGAAGGGGGACACAGCTGGAGGGATGGGAGAGGGGAACGTTGAATTACAATTTAGGTTATGGGATAGTTTCTAGGACACCGCTTAGTCAAGGACTAGGCTTAATCTATTTTAATGGAATCTCTATTGAACATGCTTTTTAGTCCTGGACTAGGCTTCATCTGTGTTAGGGAAACCGGTCCTAAATTTTGAATGAAATTAAAACCACTTCAGCCTCCTGCCCCTATGCTGGTCTGTCTGAGTGACATCCAGTGGAGGCTAAGATGGACCAAGCTCTAGTAAGCAGGGTTGGCTAAACGAATGGGGAATTCTGTGCCGAAAGGCCTGGAACAAAATAGCCCCTTATACTTCAAATAATTTTTCAGCAAGTGAGGCTGAAGATGAGTTGACTTGGATCTAATACGAAGCTGCCTCTCACTCTCTTTTTCTTTCTGCTAGAAGGCAGAGGCAGAGGATGGAAAAGTGGAGGAAGAGGAGGAGGTGATTGATGAGGATGCCAAGAGGCGGGATCAGGTCGTCAAGGGCGCCATCGACGGTCTGATCCGCGAGTATGCCAGCGAGCTCAATGCTGCCTCGAATGACGAGTCCCCCCACCGCAGGAAGAAGAAAGAGAAGAAAGAAGAGGTATGTGGAACTTCCTTCTCTCTTATCGCACTTGACGTTTACCTGATACGCATTGGTTGTGGTATGTATTGTATTTGGGCACATTATATACTGTTGAAGTCGCAAGTTTCCATACACTTAGGTTGGAGTCATTAAAACTCGTTTTTCAACCACTCCACACATTTCTTGTTAACAAACTATGGTTTTGGCAAGTCGGTTAGGACATCTACTTTGTGCATGACACAAGTAATTTTTCCAACAATTGTTTACAGACAGATTATTTCACTTATAATTCACTGTATCATAATTCCAGTGGGTCAGAAGTTTACATACACTAAGTTGACTGTGCCTTTAAACAGCTTGGAAAATTCCAGAAAATGATGTCGTGGCTTTAGAAGCTTCTGATAGGCTAATTGACATAATTTGAGTCAATTGGAGGTGTACCTATAATAATAATAATATGCCATTTAGCAGACGCTTTTATCCAAAGTGACTTACAGTCATGTGCGCATACATTTTTACGTATGGGTGGTCCCGGGCATCGAACCCACTACCCTGGCGTTACAAGCGCCATGCTCTACAAATTGAGCTACAGAGGACTTATATTTCAAGGCCTACCTTCAAACTCAGTACCTCTTTGCTTGACATCATGGGAAAATCAAAAGAAATCCCAAGACCTCAGAAAAAAAATTGTAGACCTCCACAAGTCTGGTTCATCCTTGGCAGCAATTTCCAAATGCCTGAAGGTACCACGTTCATCTGTACAAACAATAGTACGCAAGTATAAACACCATGGGACCACGCAGCCGTCATACCACTCAGGAAGGAGACGCGTTCTGTCTCCTAGAGATGAACGTACTTTGGTGCGAAAAGTACAAATCAATCCCAGAACAACAGCAAAGAACCTTGTGAAGATGCTGGAGGAAACGGGTACAAAAGTATCTATCTCCATAGTAAAACAAGTCCTATATCGACATAACCTGAAAGGCCGCTCAGCAAGGAAGAAGCCACTGCTCCAAAACCGCCATCAAAAAGCCAGACTACGGTTTGCAACTGCACATGGGGACAAAGATCGTACTTTTTGGAGAAATGTCCTCTGGTCTGATGAAACAAAAATAGAACTGTTTGGCCATAATGACCATTGTTATGTTTGGAGGAAAAAGAGGGGTGGCTTGCAAGCCGAACAACACCATCCCAACTGTGAAGCACGGGGGTGGCAGCATCATGCTGTGGGGGTGCTTTGCTGCAGGAGGGACTGGTGCACTTCACAAAATAGATGGCATCATGAGGAAGGAAAATTATGTGGATATATTGAAGCAACATCTCAAGACATCAGTCAGGAAGTTAAAGGTTGGTCGCAAATGGGTCTTCCAAATAGACAATGACCCCAAGCATACTTCCAAAGTTGTGTCAAAATGGCTTACAGACAACAACGTCAAGGTATTGGAGTGGCCATCACAAACCCCAGACCTCAATCCTATAGAACATTTGTGGGCAGAACTGAAAAGGCGTGTGCGAGCAAGGAGGCCTACAAACCTGACTCATTTACACCAGCTCTGTCAGGAGGAATGGGCCAAAATTCACCCAACTTATTGTGGGAAGCTTGTGGAAGGCTACCCGACACATTTGACCCAAGTTAAACAATTTAAAGGCAATGCTACCAAATACTAATTGAGTGTATGTAAACTTCTGACCCACTGGGAATGTGATGAAAGAAATAAAAGCTGAAATAATTTTCTCTACAATTATTCTGACATTTCACATTCTTAAAATAAAGTGGTGATCCTAACTGACCTAAGACAGGGAAGTTTTACAAGATTAAATGTCAGGAATTGTGAAAAACTGAGTTTAAATGTATTTGGCTAAGGTGTATGTAAACTTCTGACGTCAACTGTACAGTCATGACAAATTATCGGCACCCTTGATAAAGATGAGCAAAAAATACTGAAAAAATTGGGAAATTATATTTCATACTAAGACAATTATCTATTGTATTTGCTGGTATACAAAAGTCTGGGCAGGGATAATGTATAGTCCTGAGGAGTATACTACATACAGTGGGGGGGAAAAAAGTATTTAGTCAGCCACCAATTGTGCAAGTTCTCCCACTTAAAAATATGAGATTTTTTCTCTCCAGAAAATCACATTGTAGGATTTTTAATGATTTATTTGCAAATTATGGTGGAAAATAAGTATTTGGTCACCTACAAACAAGCAAGATTTCTGGCTCTCACAGACCTGTAACTTCTTCTTTAAGAGGCTCCTCTGTCCTCCACTCGTTACCTGTATTAATGGCACCTGTTTGAACTTGTTATCAGTATAAAAGACACCTGTCCACAACCTCAAACAGTCACACTCCAAACTCCACTATGGCCAAGACCAAAGAGCTGTCAAAGGACACCAGAAACAAAATTGTAGACCTGCACCAGGCTGGGAAGACTGAATCTGCAATAGGTAAGCAGCTTGGTTTGAAGAAATCAACTGTGGGAGCAATTATTAGGAAATGGAAGACATACAAGACCACTGATAATCTCCCTCGATCTGGGGCTCCACGCAAGATCTCACCCCGTGGGGTCAAAATGATCACAAGAACGGTGAGCAAAAATCCCAGAACCACACGGTGGGACCTAGTGAATGACCTGCAGAGAGCTGGGACCAAAGTAACAAAGCCTACCATCAGTAACACACTACGCCGCCAGGGACTCAAATCCTGCAGTGCCAGACGTGTCCCCCTGCTTAAGCCAGTACATGTCCAGGCCCGTCTGAAGTTTGCTAGAGTGCATTTGGATGATCCAGAAGAGGATTGGGAGAATGTCATATGGTCAGATGAAACCAAAATATAACTTTTTGGTAAAAACTCAACTCGGCGTGTTTGGAGGACAAAGAATGCTGAGTTGCATCCAAAGAACACCATACCTACTGTGAAGCATGGGGGTGGAAACATCATGCTTTGGGGCTGTTTTTCTGCAAAGGGACCAGGACGACTGATCCGTGTAAAGGAAAGAATGAATGGGGCCATGTATCGTGAGATTTTCAGTGAAAACCTCCTTCCATCAGCAAGGGCATTGAAGATGAAACGTGGCTGGGTCTTTCAGCATGACAATGATCCCAAACACACCGCCCGGGCAATGAAGGAGTGGCTTCGTAAGAAGCATTTCAAGGTCCTGGAGTGGCCTAGCCAGTCTCCAGATCTCAACCCCATAGAAAATCTTTGGAGGGAGTTGAAAGTCCGTGTTGCCCAGCGACAGCCCCAAAACATCACTGCTCTTGAGGAGATCTGCATGGAGGAATGGGCCAAAATACCAGCAACCGTGTGTGAAAACCTTGTGAAGACTTACAGAAAACGTTTGACCTGTGTCATTGCCAACAAAGGGTATATAACAAAGTATTGAGAAACTTTTGTTATTGACCAAATACTTATTTTCCACCATAATTTGCAAATAAATTCATTAAAAATCCTACAATGTGATTTTCTGGATTTTTTTCCCTCATTTTGTCTGTCATAGTTGACGTGTGCCTATGATGAAAATTACAGGCCTCTCTCATATTTTTAAGTGGGAGAACTTGCACAATTGGTGGCTGACTAAATACTTTTTTCCCCCACTGTACCTAGTTTGAGGAGTTAGTAAGGTAACTTTGGTCAATGTGAGTTCAACTCGGGATAACCGTTCATACGTAAGTGGCTCACCTTTTAGCCAGGGACATTTTCTATGGCAACCAATCCTTCAGAACTAACCTGCTCCGGGGCAGGTTAACTCCATTTACCCTAAATTAAATGACTGAGCCGCGACTTGAGGACCAATGAAATCAGATCCCCCCCCCCCCTCGCGAAGAGTCTGTCATCATCCCCTTAATTTGAGGAAGACTACCGATTTTATCATTCGTATTAATCAAATAGTTTTTTGTGTCAGTCTGGTTCAAAGTTGACAGCATGACTCTGAACACTGTCCTTTCTTCCTGCCTCCCATTGTCACTTAGGAGGATATCAACGCAATTGACGGATTGGAGGATGACAAGAGAGACCTGATTTCTAGAGAGATCAGTAAATTCCGCGACACCCACAAGGTACAGTACCTTATTAATCTCTCTCACTCACATTGCAGGTTTTGGAAAAGAAGCTGCACACACTACTAGTACACTCCTTTTGGTTTTCACACTTACTGGTAGTGGACACTTCTGCAAGGACCTGTTTATATAGTCTATATCAGGGATGGGCAACTCTGATGGGGGTGGGGGCCACAATCTGAACTCATCATGAGGGGGCGCAGTTGCTCGTGGGTCTGCGTACCCATATCCATACCCCCCCCACACACACACACAGCGTTTCTTTTTTTAGTGGCCCCCCTCTTGACAGCGGAGACATCTTTTAGTTAATTTTGTGCAATTCTACACATTTTGCCATGGGGTGTAGAGAAAATGTTGTAATTTTAAAGCAAGTTTGCTGCAGTTCTACACCTTTTGCCATAGGGCAGAGAAAAGATTTTGCAATTTTATAGCCAGTTTCATGCAATTCTACTCATTTTGCCATGGGGCGAAGAGGAAAATTAGTTGTTTTACAGAAATTTCCTGCAATTCTACACATTTTGCCATGGGGTGGAAAAAGGTTAGCAGTTTTTTATGTTATCTGACTAACAAAATCAACGGGGGCCCCCGGCCGGTAATTCGACCATGATAACAAGTTTAGATAGCTGGCCGCTAAACTAACTTGGCAATCTAAAACATTTTAGTTGACATGGGCTAATTGACTGACTATCAGTGACTGACAAAACAAGAGTAAAACTGCTGATGCACAACCACATTTCGAAATTCAAAAGGCCCACGGGCCACCAGTTGCCCATCCCTGGTCTAAATTTAGGATGGGAAAACAGTTTAATTTTTACATCAAAATATTGCATACCTTGCTAAAAAATCTCGAATTGTGACATATCTGGATTTTAAAAATGTAATTTCTATGTTGGCTACAGTACCTGTTCCAAACCGATTTTAATTGTCAGATTTGTAGCATTGTCACCGTTTTCAAACCTAATTTGACTCGTGTCGGCGGGACATTTATTTTGTATATATTAGGATATTTAGGTGTGACAGTATAGATGGCTAGATCCATAACTCATTCATCACACACAAACAAAATGCATGGCGATAATGTAAAGTTACCTTAAAGCTAATCTATTCATTAAACCCCACCATTATGATAGAGATCATATGGTGACTAAAGCAAGATGAATCTCAGAGCTTTGGAAAAAGTTGTCGAGGATAGCATGTAAGTATGAGCTTTCCTTTATTTTGTACATATACTGGGCGCTCCCCTCTCGAGGATTCGCATAGGGGCAACTGCACAGGCACTCTGGCATACGGTGGTGTTTGAGGTTGTTGAACTTAATGAGAACCTCTCAACAACACACAGCCAACCCTTTCCATTAGATACATGTCAACATAATGTTGGTCTTGCTTTTATGGGGACAGAAAACCACGCTGATTCGATTTCCATCTATTTATCATGTTGTCCGCAAGCCAGAGAGGCCAGTGAACCTGTGTGAGTCCTCTGTAAAATATGTTCATTCTACATAATGTGTGTGTAAAAGTCAAGTCACTGAGACTCAGTCAATAACCACTGCAGTGATTTGGGCTGTAGATTGTACTGTTATAGCAGGGGGGGGGCGCCCCTCCACAGCACTCTGCGTTCTGAAGACTAGCCAGGTGAGTTCCTACCCACCCTGTGGATGAGTGTGTGTTAGGGCTTTTCTCTATCTCTCCTCGTCCTGTGTCCACCTGTCAGTCCCTCTATCTCTCTCTCGCTCTCTCATTTTCTTTGATTGTCTCTTTCGGTCTGTCACTCTAGCCTTTCTCCCTTCTTTTCTGAACTTGTCTGTCTTTTTCTTCCTGATTCTAATTGCCATTCACCCTCTTTATCTTCAATTTCATGTGCCCATTATTTGTGTTCTGTTCATAGTTCATTATCTACAGCGGTAGACTTGCAGTAAAGGAGGTACTAGTAATACGTAATGAGTTCTTGTCTCAAGCACACATGGTAAGGCCTATGGTTCATATAGGAGGGGATAGTAGTGTACCTGCAGTTACTCTATGCCCAAGCTGTCACCAGTAGAACGCAGAGCAAGGTAAGTTAAAGTAGGACGACTAACCAATCAGATCCCTTCCACCCATAGTACCTGTGCTCTCTTTTCTCTATTCCCCATATCTCCTTTTCTGCCTGTTGTTTTCCTTGCTTTTAGTCTTAAGCTGCACTAGACCCGTGGCTCTGTAGTTTGGGTCAGTCCAGGAGAACAACCATCGGTTGTTCGTTATGGCATAATGGACTGCTTTTGGCTGTCTGCCCTTGTGGGAAAGGCCCATAGGTAACCTGTGGTCTCACTGTGTATTTCACAAAAACCCAACACAAACTTGAGCCTCACAATGCATTCAGAATGCATGGTTTGTAATAGTCTGTAAATCAGTTAAGAGTACATGGGGAGCCATGAGTGTAGTGCTAGGAGGGAGTTGTCTCTTAGTGTGTGTCTGGGAAAGCGAGTCATGGGAGAACTACTGAAGACTGAAGCAGGGGTAAGAGCCTCTACGATTTAATTTACCTGTCCAGAAAATGTATTGAAAAAAATATGTACCAGGATGTTTCACAGCTTTCTGTTTTTGACAATGTACCCCATAGAAGTTAACGGTTGTTTTTGATGATTTGTTTGAGAGAAAGTGAGAGAACCTCTTGATTCCCCCCCCCTGTGTATCGTTTGACCTGCTTTTCCTCCCAGGCCTAACTTTTATAGGCTTGTAGGGGCAGCGACGGGCTGAAATCCGTAGTTCAACACCTGTAAGTCACCAACAACTAGTTTAACAAAAGGATTGACGCCTTTTTTTTGTTTCTCTTGTAATGAGGACACTGACTTTGGAGAGAAAAAGCGTTGTCTATCAAGCAGCGCCTTTTTCTTGTTTTTGAATGCCTGTGACGTTTGACATGGCCAACAAGATGTCTTCTTTGACCTCAAAGTGGTTTCCAGTGTCTTTAGTTGGCTTGTAAGTCACCCTGTATGTGCTAAACAATCATTGTACTATATTGATACTTTCAGGGGTCTGCAACTGGCGGCCCGCAGGCCAAATTTTTATTTGGCCCCCAAGGTTCTCAGTAAAAAACAAAAACATGCTATACATGGACAAAGAAGTGCCGTGTCTCATGAAACCTTGTTGTTATTTTCCCATAGAAACTCTTAGCCCTGCCAAGGAGTGCCTGTTGTGCCAAAATGTCAGCCTTTATCTAACTACTTCATCCTTCGATAACAGGAATCTACATTGTTACAGTAGTCCCCTCTGCCCCCAGAGCCTGGAAGCCACTTCTGTGCACTTATAGAGAAGTGTGTGAGCCAGCCTCACTGTGCTCCTGTTCTGTTGCATGGCTGTCCTCCCGGAGCCTCCAACTTAACAACCTCCTCTGTTCTCTTTGCAGAAACTGGAGGAGGAGAAGGACAAGAAGGAGAAGGAGCGTGCAGAGTTTGAGCGCGAGCGACGGGAGAGGGACAAGGAGAGGGAACGTGAGAGGGAGCGCCGGGACCGCGAGCGGGAGAAAGAGCGCGAAAAGGAGAGGGAGCGGGAGCGCGAGAGAGACCGCGAACGGGACAGAGGTGACCGAGACCGCGATCGTGACCGCAACCGGACGAAAGAGAGAGAACGGGAGAGGGAGTGGGAAAGGGAGAGGAGCCGCGACAGGAGCAAGGACCGCAGCCAATCCAGGTGTGTGTTTTTAAATAAAGGAATGAATTGTGAATGAAGGAAGGAAGGAATGATTGGGAGGTAAATAACTAGGTTGGTGATGTGATTCACAGAGAGGTGAGTCGCGACAGAGACAAGGACAAGAAGCGTGACCAGGAGGATGAGGAGGAGGTCTACGAGCGGAGAAGGCTGGAGAGGAAGCTCCGAGACAAGGAGGCAGCCTATCAAGAGGTAGCTTCACGCACACACTTAGCATTGCTTACAGTGGATTGAGAATGATGTGTGTGTTGGCTGTGAAATGTTGCTTAATTCCTGTCTCATGTCTGTCTGAAGCGTCTGAAAAACTGGGAGATCCGCGAGAGGAAGAAGGCTCGAGACTACTCCAAGGAGTCTGAGCGGGAGGAAGAGCGCAGGAGAGAGATGGTAGGAAGAAACACAAACCCTGTTTTCACCCACGCATGGCAATCCTGGGTTGTATTTAGCAGGGAGAAAACCTTTTGAAACAGGGGGAGGTACTACCTTGAACTTGTCCAATAGGAACGCCAATTTTCATTGTCCGTTGCAAAACATTTTGCTACGCTGGGCCCCACTACTGAACAGGACTCAGGTTTACCACTGAGCCGGACGTGAAATGATGTCCTTTTGGTTTGAAGGGTCCTACCATAGACATATTCGTATGTGTTTACATTCATCATTGTGTCCTACAGACTAAAGAAAGCAAAAGGCTGAAGGAGTTCCTAGAGGACTATGATGACGACAGAGATGATCCTAAGTACTACAGGTGACAACCAGCACTAAATAAGCGGAGACATTTAATTAATTTATGATGCTGATCCGCTAGGTCTACATACTACAGAAAATAAATCAGAATATAATATATAATGGAGGCCATTTTAATGTCGATAATGTAAACGGCCAAGGTGATGGCGGCCTGAAACGTCAACATTATTACACCTTTTTGGCTTCGGCATTTAGGAAGTGAAATAAAATAAACAACCCTACTTTAAAAAACACTAAGACATGCAGTGGGTGTCAGGGCTATTGTTATAAAAGGTGTTATTCCGTGTGCGACCCCTAGGGGCAGCGCACTGCAGAAGCGTCTGAGAGACCGGGAGAAGGAGACTGAGGTGGACGAGCGCGACAGGAAGAGAGAGAAGGAGGAGCTGGAGGAGATCAGACAGAGACTGCTGGCCGAGGGACACCCAGACCCCGAGGCTGAGATACGCAGGGTGAGAGAGAGAGAGAGAGTGTGTGTGTATCTGACTGTGTGTGTGCCTGAAGGTCATCTTCTCCTCAGATCCCTTTGTCTATATGTCTGCGTTGTAAATGGGTCTCTATCCATCTGGCTATCTTGGCTACACAATAACGTTAGGTGTGTGCGAGTGTATCCACTTTCCTGATTGTGTAAGCCCCTTGTCTCACACTGCTTCTCTTTACCGATTGGTCCAGATGGAAGAGGAGGCGGAGCGTTTGCGCCAGCCCCCGGTGAAGCCGGAGCCCGATCCCGAGGAGGAGCGGGTGCACAAGGTCCCACGGGAGGACCGGGACCGCCGAGGAGACCGGGATCGAGACCGAGGGGAGCGAGACCGAGGGGATCGAGACCGGGAGAGAGAGAGGGGGGATCGAGACCGGGAGAGGGAGAGGGGGGATCGAGACCGGGAGAGAGAGAGGGGGGATAGGGACCGGGAGAGAGAGAGGGGGGATCGAGACCGGGAGAGAGCGAGAGGGGATCGAGACCGGGAGATGGAGAGAGGGGATAGAGACAGGGGGGACCACCACGTACCCCACCATCACCACCCCCACTCTGATGATAATGATGATGTGGAAGAGGGGGAGGAGGAGTTTGATGACGATGACCAATCGGGGTCCAAGCCCTGCCTGAAGCCCACGCTGCGGCCAATCACGGCGGCCCCCTCTGTTTCGTCGGCCAGCGGGGGCGCCACCCCCAACACGCCTGGTGGCGGGGACGAGTCGCCCTGCGGCATCATCATCCCCCACGAGAACTCGCCCCCTCACGAGACCCTGCCCCAGGAAGAGTTCCGCCCCAAGATCGGCCTCAGTCTCAAACTGGGTGAGTTCTGTCGGTGGGACATGAAGGACAAGCTAGGTCTAGAATCATCTGGAGATAATATAAAGACAACTACTATAATGCTAACTAACTACCAGGATACATGATCTGTTGTGTAGATCCAATTGAAGTGCCTCAATCCCTAATGAAGGGGAAAGATCGGGACCAAATAAAATCATGAAATAAGACTGTGCCTATCTTTACCATTCATTTTAGATTGAGGCATATACAGTGGGGGAAAAAAGTATTTAGTCAGCCACCAATTGTGCAAGTTCTCCCACTTAAAAAGATGAGAGAGGCCTGTAATTTTCATCATAGGTACACGTCAACTATGACAGACAAATTGAGAGAAAAAAATCCAGAAAATCACATTGTAGGATTTTTAATGAATTTATTTGCAATTTATGGTGGAAAATAAGTATTTGGTCACCTACAAACAAGCAAGATTTCTGGCTCTCACAGACCTGTAACTTCTTCTTTAAGAGGCTCCTCTGTCCTCCACTCGTTACCTGTATTAATGGCACCTGTTTGAACTTGTTATCAGTATAAAAGACACCTGTCCACAACCTCAAACAGTCACACTCCAAACTCCACTTTGGCCAAGACCAAAGAGCTGTAAAAGGACACCAGAAACAAAACTGTAGACCTGCACCAGGCTGGGAAGACTGAATCTGCAATAGGTAAGCAGCTTGGTTTGAAGAAATCAACTGTGGGAGCAATTATTAGGAAATGGAAGACATACAAGACCACTGATAATCTCCCTCGATCTGGGGCTCCACGCAAGATCTCACCCCATGGGGTCAAAATGATCACAAGAACGGTGAGCAAAAATCCAAGAACCACACGGGGGGACCTAGTGAATGACCTGCAGAGAGCTGGGACCAAAGTAACAAAGCCTACCATCAGTAACACACTATGCCGCCAGGGGCTCAAATCCTGCAGTGCCAGACGTGTCCCCCTGCTTAAGCCAGTACATGTCCAGGCCCGTCTGAAGTTTGCTAGAGTGCATTTGGATAATCCAGAAGAGGATTGGGAGAATGTCATATGGTCAGATGAAACCAAAATATAACTTTTTGGTAAAAACTCAACTTGTCGTGTTTGGAGGACAAAGAATGCTGAGTTGCATCCAAAGAACACCATACCTACTGTGAAGCATGGGGGTGGAAACATCATGCTTTGGGGCTGTTTTTCTGCAAAGGGACCAGGACGACTGATCCGTGTAAAGGAAAGAATGAATGGGGCCATGTAACGTGAGATTTTGAGTGAAAACCTCCTTCCATCAGCAAGGGCATTGAAGATGAAACGTGGCTGGGTCTTTCAGCATGACAATGATCCCAAACACACCGCCTGGGCAACGAAGGAGTGGCTTCGTAAGAAGCATTTCAAGGTCCTGGAGTGGCCTAGCCAGTCTCCAGATCTCAACCCCATAGAAAATCTTTGGAGGGAGTTGAAAGTCTGTGATGCCCAGCGACAGCCCCAAAACATCACTGCTCTATAGGAGATCTGCATGGAGGAATGGGACAAAATACCAGCAACAGTGTGTGTGAACTTTGTGAAGACTTACAGAAAACGTTTGACCTGTGTCATTGCCAACAAAGGGTATATAACAAAGTATTGAGAAACTTTTGTTATTGACCAAATACTTATTTTCCACCATAATTAGCAAATAAATTCATAAAAAATCCTACAATGTGATTTTCTGGATTTCTTTTCCTCATTTTGTCTGTCATAGTTGACGTTTACCTATGATGAAAATTACAGGCCTCTCTCATCTTTTTAAGTGGGAGAACTTGCACAATTGGTGGCTGACTAAATACTTTTTTGCCCCACTGTAGCTGTATCTGCACAACAGATGTCTTGGGCTGTGGCCTGACAAACTTTAATTTTGGGCGAGAACTGTCACTCAAACTGCTTTAAGATATCAATGAAATAGAACTGTCCTGTTTCAGACATACTTGAAGCCTTTCTTCATGGAGTATAATTTCTAAATCTCTCTCTCCAGGAGCCACTAGCAGCCCCAGCCAGCCCAACGTGGCCATCAAACGCAAGAAGCTCACTGTGGACAGTGTCTTTAACAAATTCGACGACGAGGAGGCGGACGAGGCTCCCCGCAAGCGCAAGCTGGTGCCACTGGACTACGGCGATGAGGACAAGAACCTCCAGAGTGTGGTGGACGGGGCCTCGGGCCTGGCAGCCATCAAGGGCGCCAACACAGAGGAGAAGCGCAAGCACATCAAGAGCCTGATCGAGAAGATCCCCACGGGCAAGACGGAGCTGTTCTCCTACCCGCTGGACTGGTCCGCCGTGGACTCGGTGAGGATAGGATGTGGCAGTACCCTGCATTCGTCTGTTTCTGCTCTTTTGACAACTAATTCTATAATGTGTTGGCAAGAGAGCAGAAACCGACTGGAAACCAGGGAGGAAGTATGGTTGGTTTGATAATTCAATGACAAACCATGAACATTTTGATAATGTGTATCCCTACAATACTGGTACAGACCTATATGAATAATCTCTGGTGCAGTGACTAAAGTATGTCTGACTGTCCTTCCCAGACTCTGATGGATCGACGCATACGCCCCTGGATCAATAAAAAGATCATTGAGTACATTGGAGAAGAGGAGGCTACGCTAGTCGATTTTGTCTGCTCAAAGGTGTGTAAGTGTGATTGCGATGCAATTTACTGGGGAGCTGGGTGTTTTGGCAGAGTTTCATTCTGATTCCTTAATTTTGACCTCTCCTCCCCCAGGTGATGGCTCATGGTACACCACAGGGTATCTTGGATGATGTTGCCATGGTGAGTATCCCAAGAAATAGACTGGAAACATTCTCAGAATGGTCTGTCCAGCTAAAACCTATTTTTAACTGTATTTGCTGAGATTTTTTTTGTTGAGTTTAGGTTGAAGTATTAAACAGGCCTTAAAACAGAGCCTTGGTGAACCCCTTTTGATCTCCTGATTTAAAGAAAAGTTGTTAAAAGCACTAAGTCATTAATCTAACTGCAATATGGTTTCTCTACACCAAGGTTCTGGATGAAGAAGCAGAGGTCTTTATCGTCAAGATGTGGAGGTTGCTGATCTACGAAACGGAAGCCAAGAAGATTGGGCTGGTGAAATAAGAAACCCAAGAAAGCACTGAACAAATCCAACTTGTTCTAATAGAGTAATCTGACTTTAGTGTTATCAGTCACCAAAAAGACTTCTCCATTTGAGCAGCCTAAAATCAAAGAATGGGCTCAACCTAATAATACCCCAACAACAGCTTTCACACGTTGAGCTCCCGTTTTCTCATTCTTCCAATAGACTCTGGTACATGTCTCTCTACTGCAGCTGCTGACTTTGTATTGGTGTATAGCCTACTTGTGTGTGTGTACTTGAATGACTGACGAAGTGCTTATTGAAGATGCATGAAAGCAACCACTTGGACAATGGCCCTACTACAGTCTCTTGGCTTGAGTTGGATGTCCCAAGGGTGACAGTGGAGCTAGATAAGGGGTTAATGGTTAAAGAAGAGAACATAGATACTAAGCCTTGGAAAGAAGTTCACTGAAAAGCATCTCACCGCTGTTTCTCTATAGTTTTGTGATATTAGTACTCAACCATTCAACTTCTATCATTTAAAAAAAACTAAACAATTGGACTGCTGTTTCTGTGGCATCTGCTGAGTGAAACTTCTGTTTATGAGAAGGGTAGACCTTTAAGTAGATTAGATTTGTCTTTGTATTACAAACAATACTTTCTATAAAGTCTGCTATTTGAGGATGATAGGCCAGCTATTGAGCATTTCTGAATTGTGGTTGGTTGGTCTCGATGCTGTAACACACAGGAACGGCACCACCTGGAAAGGTTAATTTGGGAAGACAAGCTTAAAGGATACTGATTTGTGAAAACATTGTCTCCATTTTGTTTTTGTATCTGTGGAAATTTGTTTTGAATAAAGATTTTTTTTATAATTTTGTGTACTTGGGTTTTGTCAATAGATAAATATCCTGATGTGGCCCAGTGAGTCTTGCATACACCCTTACTATAAATTGGTATTTACTAGATATTTTACCAGAATTGTCTGTTAGTATGAAGCACCACTGTGTACCATGGATACATGGTGCAAGCACTTTAGGATAGCCATTCATTGTGCTATTAAAGTTTGAATACTAGGGGCTTGTTAATGTGCATGTTGCCGATGGCAATATAACGTAAATATAATTAACTATTCTACACAATACATTTTCTTCCACACAATCTGAGCACAGCTGCAATTCATACCCAACTCCACATATTTACCAACAAAACCATTGAGATCAAACTTGCAGAACTTTATTGATGTAGTGAGCTACACAAGAGCAAGATCCTGCCAGTAAAAATCCATTCTACTGGAAGAGGAACAGCACATAAGTCATCCAAAGCAGTATCAGACACGAGACTAGAGCCTATCCCGCTTCACACACATCACTTCCTGTGAACTTGCAATGGACACAGCCACTTGGGTTCTTCTTCAAGAAAGTAAAAGGCCACTGCTTGTAAACAGTTTTCTGCATATATGGGTATAATTGATCCAAATTGGTGTTCGTACTGTAGAATGGTTACTGGTACAGTTTGTCTTATTTGCTTTAAAACATTTCATTCTATCCATTTCTAGACTTGAGAGGATAGCAATGTATGTTTCTCTCCATCCTCTTAGAAGTCCCTAATTGTCAATTTAGAGGGTTATTTGCCGGTGAATACCTCTGTTTATGTAATATGAGAGTTAAGTTACACATCTGTTGGACGGCGTGACTATGAGCAGGTCTGTCCATCCTTTTGTTTTCTTCCAACCATCCCTTCTTCTTTCAGGGCTGGCTGACTAGTCCTCTGCTTTAGCCTCCATTTCACCATCCTCGTCGTCGCCGTCCACCTCTGCGTTCTCCCGCTCTAGCCTCTCTAGCTGACGGGCCAGCTCTGTCTCGTCCGTATCGGTCACCACCTTCGCCTGGGGGGGGAATAACAAGAACATTACACCGCATTTAGTTATTTAGCAGATGCTCTTATCCAGACAGACTTATAAATCAGTGCACATAATCAATGAATTCACTCGGGGAGTGGGATATGCACCAAAAAAAATATCAAATTCACGTGTGAAATAGGACAAATATAAGCACCCACCTAATAATAATTATTATAATAATAGTAAAAAGTAGGTAAAACATCAATATATTATTGAAAGTAAAACTTTAAATAGCCGCTAACTGCAAAATCGGTGCTAGTAAGAGAAGACGGCACAAGTTGTTATTTACTAATAGATTGTAAATGACTGCTTTGTATTACTGTTTTATATCCTCTTAAAGCATTGTTAGGTTCAAGCTCTTTGTGTATGATAAGTGTAATTATTTAGTGGCCTGCAGGAATGTGCACTCCCAATTACTCAAGGCCTCTCCTGATTGGTAAGATACACATGGAGAAATCCTGGGTGATGAAAATGGAAAAGTACTTAAGTACATCTAAGGGCATAAAGGGAAACTGCACTGTATTGAATGCATGTATTCAGCTGGTACATATTCGCTGAGTAAACATTTGAAACATCAATCGGACTTTGGGCTCTTTTGTATGATAAACATGTTTCTTTGTATATTGAGCTTCTTCTCATTAATGACATAGTTGGACATGACACATGCACCTCATGAGAAGTGGCGTCAAAGGCCACGAAGAGAGAAACCACCTTCCGCCACTTTCGCTTAGTACTTTGGTATTTCCTCAAACTACTGGCAAACTGAGACCACCCAGCTCTCCATCATTTTCTCACCCAACCATGTACTGTATCTATAGTGGCTTCAGAAAGTATTCACACACCTTGACCTTTTCTACATTTTGTTGTGTTACAGCCTGAATTTCAAATGGATTAAATTTAGACTTTTTGGCATTGGCCTACACACAATACCCCATAATGTCAAAGTAGAATTATGTTTTTAGACATGTTTACAAATGGGCCTCCCGAGTGGCTCAGCGGTCCAAGGCACTGCATCACAGTGCTAGAGGCGTCACTACAGACCCGGGTTCAATCCCAGGCTGTGTCACAGCTGGCCGCAACCAGGAGACGGCGCACAATTGGCTCAGCGTCGTCCGGGATAGGGGAGAGTTTGGCTGGCCGGGATGTCCTTGTCCCATCGTGCTCTAGCGACTCCTTGTGGCGGGCCGGGCTGTACGGTGTTTCCTCCGACACATTGGTGCTTACGGGTTAAGTAAGCAGTGTGTAAAGAAGCAGTGCAGCTTGGCAGGGTCGGGTTTCGGAGGACGCATGGCTCTCGACCTTCGCCTCTCCCGAGTCCGTATGGGAGTTGCAGAGATGGGACAAGACTGTAACTACTAATTGGATATCACGAAATTGTTATGTTTACAAATTAATTAGAAATGAAAAGCTGAAATATATTGAGTCAATAAGTATTAAACCACTTTGTCATGGCAAGCCTAAATAAGTTCAGGAGTAAAAACTTGCTTAACAAGTCACATAATAAGTTGCATGGACTCACTCTGTGTGCAATAATAGTGTTTAACATTATTTTTGAATGACTACCTCATCTCTGTACCCCACACATACAATTATCTGTAAGGCTCCTCAGTCGAGCAGTGAATTTCAAACACAGATTCAACCACAAAGACCTGGGAAGTTTTCCAACACCTCACAAAGAATGGCAGCTATTGGTAAATGGGTAAACATAAAAAGCAGACATTGAATATCCCTTTCAGCATGGTGAAGTTATTAATTACACTTTGGATGGTGTATCACTACAAAGATACAGGCATCCATCCAAACTCAGTTGCCGGAGAGGAAGGAAACCGCTCAGGGATTTCACCATGAGGCCAATGGTGACTAAAACAGTTACAGAGTTTAATGGCAGTGATTGGAGAAAACTGAGGATGGAACCACAACATTGTAGTTACTACACAATACTAACCTAAATGACAGAGTGAAAACAAGGAAGCCTGTACAAAATAAAAAGTATTCCAATATATGAATTCTGTTTGCAATAAGGCACTAAAGTAAAACTGCATAAAATGTGGCAAAGAAATTAACTTCAATATAAAGCGTTATGTTTGGGGCTAATCCAACAACACATCACTGAGTACCACTCTTCAGATCTTCAAGCATGGTGGTGGCTGCATCATGTATGCTTGTCATCGGCAAGGACTAGGGAGTTTTTTTGGGATAAAAATAAATGGAATAGAGCCAAGTACAGGAAATATCATAGAGGAAAACCTGGTTCAGACTGCTTTCCAACAGACACTGGGAGACAAATTCACCTTTCAGCAGGACAATAACCTAAAACACAAGGCCAAATATACACTGGAGTTGCTTATCAAGACGACATTGAATTTTCCTGAGTGGCCAATTAACAGTTTTGACATAAAATCTATGACAAGACTTGAAAACCACCAACGACAGAGCTTGAAGAATTTAAAAAAATAAATAATGTGCAAATATTGTACAATCCAGGTGTGCAAAGCTCTTAGACTTACCCAGAAAGACTCACAGCGGTAATCGTTGCCAAAGGTGATTCTAACATGTATTGCCTCAGGGGTGTGAATACTTTCTCTATTTCATTTTCAATATATGTGCTAATATTTCAAAAAACATTTTCACTTTGTCATTATGGGGCATTGTGTATAGATGAGCCTATTTAATCAATTTCGAATTCAGGCTGTAACAACAAAATGTGGAATAAGTCAAGGAGTATGAATACTTTCTGAAGGCATATCTTCAGCCTCACCTCCATCTGGATGTTGAAGACGCCCCTCTTCTCCTCGATCCTCTCCTTGATGGCTGCCATGGCCTGGTTGAGAACCGACAGGCCCTCGGTGCGCTCCAGAGTGGTTGTGGTCATAACGTAGCGTGGCGGTGCTATCAGATTAATCTAGGAAGAGAACGCACTCGAGCAGTCATATAACACCTTCGAGAAAGTTGGGGTTGACCATAGAAAAAGAATGACAAATTAAACAGATATAGAAATATCATTAAATAGATAATACTTATAGAGTATGAGAGTTCCTCGATGCAACCTACCTTGATGGGCATGGCCTCTGTCGAGCAGCTAAGCCCCGCCCTCAGTGCGTCTTTCACAGCGTCGATGCCCTCATACCCGTAGCATGCCACCTCAATGTCTGCAAGGACGATAGTAAAATTGATTGTTTAAAGACAATAAAGGGTAAAGTCGCCATGTTTCTAATTTGAAAACTTCAGAGGAGTTCAATAGTCATCAACATGCCACTCTGGCAAACGAATCAATGAACATAATGTAGCATATGTCTCTACTTTACATATTTGTGTAGGCACATAATTGTTCCACTACACACATTTGTTTAACTACACATATCAAATATGAAAATATTGACCCAACAAGACTTCATCAGGTAGCCAAGTATTTTTCTGCCATTGAAATCCTTGGGCGGGCCGCCTAATCGTTTTTCCGGGTCGCCTAAGTCCAAACAGTGTGGGAAAAATGTTTCTAAATAAATTATAATCCTAAAACAATGAATTTAGCAGTATAGATTTTGCTATTATGTTTGAGCAAAAGAACACAGCTTTAGCCATGGCAAAATGCATAGAATTGCAGTAAATCTGCAACATGTTCTCTCAGCTGCACAGCAAAATGTGTAGAATTGAAGGAAATTATCTTTAAAACTGCCAAAATGAAATGCCTCTAAAATGTAAAAAAATTAAAAATTAGCAAATGACCATCCCCCGAAGAAGACCTGTTTGGTCGAAACACGTTGTAGTATAAATCCTGCTGTAACCTAATATGCTAATCGGATTTCGCCTCTTAATATTTGTATAAACGTCACTTAAGTATCATCTTTGCAGTGTACAGGCCTCCTTCTTTACTTTAAAAAGAATATCCCTGCCATTTATGGATCTTTTCCCCCCCATTGATCTTCTCTAACATGTGTAGTAAATCTTGATTGCACTGTTAATGTTGAGTGTGCTGTGGTCTCTGTCTGACCTGCTCGGATTTTGACAGCCTGTGGAGTGAGTCGCCTGTTGATGTTGTCAATGAGCACGGCCCTCTCCTCCTCTGTCAGGTCCAGCCCATCCAGTATGGCAGGGTCACTGGGAAAAATTAAACATTTTGAGCATGGATATCTGACTAAATGATATGAGGAGATTGGAGGCAAACACTACACTACAACCCATTTCACACCCGCCTACAATATCTGCTTCCATCTCTTACTAAGAATGACAGATGGTATTTTATTAGGATCCCCATTAGCTGTCGCAGAAGCTGCTCTTCCTGGGATCCACACAAAACATGACATAATACAGAACAATAATAGACTAGGACAGCTCAAGGACAGAACTACATGAAGGTCTTAGTCTCATTGTAAACATTCACACTATAGGGTAGTTCAGCCACACTGTGCTGGCTCGGATATATTATTTTCACATTGTCCTTTCCATCATGGTTCAAGCAACTATGGAGAATGCGTAACCAAGCCAGCCTAGTACAGCTTGGCTCAGCTCGGTTTGGCTCAGCCATATGAAAAGGGTATATGTATATTCAATGTATAGAAGAAGAGTCCCGATACTCACGATACAGCCTGTTTGAAGACGTCGTAGGCGCCGTATCCCGGACGCTTGTACTTCTCATCAAACACCCAGGCGGTGCGCGTGAACAGGCTCTCCAGCTGCTCGTCCTTAGTGTACTGCAGCACCTCAGCCACGTGTCGAAGGATACTGTACACCTGCCACGGACGCCACACCATAAAAACATTTATACCTCGATATCACCTCTGGTCAAGAGGGAAGACTCACAAATGTTAGCCTGGTCCAAGATCTGAGCCGTATTCATAAAGTTTCTCAGAGTAGGAGTGCTGATCTAGGATCAGGTGCCCCCTGTTCATGTAATCATATTCATTATGATTTAAAAGGCTAAACTGATCCTAAATCAGCACTCCCACTCTAAGATGCTTTATGAATACGGCCCTGTTTGTGCTTTCTTACGGACTACTATGGTCATTTTCATCCCAACGACGACAGTAGTAGGCTGTACAGCACAAACAGATCTGGGACCAGGTTACACAAATGTCTGAGAGTTTATGACATCGGTGGAACGGAATGATAAATAGAGTTTTGTATATTACAGCATCCTCCGGCACGTGGCTGAGTGTTGACGGTGAACCTGACTTACGGTTTTAGATTTGGTGAATTTGTCTTCACATTTGATAGCATCCTCTGGCGAAACTCTTCTCTTTGATAAATCAATGTACCCTGCAAAGAGTTGACAATATAATTATTTGTTTACCTATAACACAATGTGTACACACACACACCCGGTCTACATTTCTTGACCGGACACACTCACCCTTCTCTTTGTCCACTCAGATGACCAACACGCATACACACACACAATCTTGATTTTACCGACTGGACACACTCAAATCCCGCCTCACCCTTCTCTTTGTCCACTCGGATGACCACCACGCACTCATTACGTCCGATCCTAATGAGCTTGTTGATGGAGCGGATACGTCGGCGCGACAACTCGCTCAGCAGGATCATGCCTTCAATGTTGTTGTACTCCAGCAGGCTGACGTAGGCGCCCATCTCGGCGATGGAGCGCACGTTCACCATCACCACATCCTCCACCTCAGGGAACCGGTGCTGGTAGAACCTACAGCTAAGGTTCGGCATCGCTGGGAGGGTTAGGGAGACAATAGGACAGAGGCCAATATAATGAAACCAGAGACATTTGATATGTTGAGATATGCTATTCCATATACTTACAATGGGTTTTAAACAGTCGGATTAAACTCTAGAGAGCAATTGAATGAGAGGTCATTAGGTTAAAAAGAGGTAAATGGTAAATGGGATGTACATTTGGTTGGATAGTCACATCACGAATTAGATGGAATAGATTCTCATGATATACAGAGGTAGTTATCTTTTGTCAATCATTCTTGGTAACAGTATTGGAACAATTGAAGGGAGGGTTTTTTTTTTGGGGGGGGGGGGGGGGGGGGGCAAGTAGAAGTGATCTGGTGCCGCTAGATTGCAATAACGGAACAAAATGTCAGTCATTTCTCAGTCATGTAGTTATCCTTTTACACTCACTCTACGTCATCACCTTACTTACCGTTTGCTAGCTACTGTAGCTGGCTAGAGCGGGTGTTAATAACACTGTGCCATATACACTTCCAAGACTAAACAACTGTCAACATGGATCTATGTCTTCAGTCTGATCTATAACGTTAGACGTCAACGCATCCACATTTATTCACACACAAAACTGATAATTTAGCTAGCTAGCCACCCAGCTAACCCGTTAGCTCATACATGCGGCACATGCACCTATAGCATCAGTAGCTAGGTACTAACTTAGCCAGTTATTCAAAACTCCGGCAAACAGCTGTTTTGTTTGCAGTGATTCGAGTAGATGCCTTACCTGTATCGTATGGTTAGAGAACAATACTGTGGAATTTTTTTAAACGTGAAAATTGTTCTTCAAATATGTAGCTAGCAAATTAGGCCCGATTGCTACAACTTCAAATGCATCGGTGGTGTGCTAATTTTTCGACCCGGAAGAGAAAGAGCTGGGGTTGACAAGCGCAAGCGCAATAGCGGTTAACGACACAGTCACATGACTACTAACCAGCTGATGGCTTTTTGCAATAGAATATCATGACGATCGCGACATCGGTTACAGATATGTTATTCTCCAAGTAATAACAATTGTGCAAAAGCTATTATTTAAATATTATAGGTATTTACTTGCTGTCTCGTCATCTAATCGCCGTTCAGACGTAATTGAAATACATAAGCACGTTTGCAGCCAAAGAAGGACAAGATGTCAGGAAAAGAGAGGATCGATGTCTTCCCCTCTAGAATGTAAGTAGCTAGTCTAGGGAGCTTGTTATTTTAGCTAGCATAGTTTGACATTTCTAGCTAGCTAGCTAGTCCGCGCAATTTAGGTTTGCAAGTATATGCTCCCTAATTAATATAAATGTGCATGACCTTTTAGTTGTGTTAGGCTGAGCCAAATTGAAATGAAGGAAATGACAGATCAGTAAGCTTAGCCAGCTGTCAGCTAGTTAGCTAAGCGCAGCCAATTGTGAGCCCTTTAAAATAAATGATGAAAAAACTAAACCTTTGCATTTTTGTAACAATTTGCAATGGTATTACTTATTATTTCGAGTCAATCATTTTATTTCTTTGCCATTTCATGATGAATATCTAAAAGAGGAAATGGACTGTCACTGTCATGTGATGACTGTCCATAATTTCCAAACAACCACTGGGAGCTTTTCATGTGCCCTAACTTTACTCACACAGTCTATGGCACTACTGCACTTCTTTTTTATTATTTTATTTTAAAGTAATTTTTCCACAGATTATGCCATCCATGTTTAACTACTTACAATGTTAATTTGTCTTGAACATCATAATGATGGGTCAATAACACGCACTTTGAAATTGTGGTGACCTGCAGAAAACGGCATAAAAGCACCAATGTCTTTCAACATGATTCAAATCTGAATGGCCATACATGTTTTATTATGGAAGTCCTCTCTGACACCTGATGGCTTGTCTGTGAAGGGCCCAGACCATCATGAAGGCCCGTCTGAAGGGGGCCCAGACTGGTAGAAACCTACTGAAGAAGAAGGCTGATGCCCTCTCCATGCGCTTCCGTCAGATCCTCCGTAAGATCATTGAGGTAATTCAAGGGGGGTTAAAACCATAGAAACAAGAATGACTAGAACGGGAAAAGCCCATCAGACATTTGACAGTACGCTCATGGGTAAACTAAATATTGCTGCCGGACCATCGATTTGAATGGGAATATCTGTTCTAGTAGTTATGTTTCTATGATTAAAACATTGTCTAATTCTCTGTTTCTTATCTGAGTAATATAAGTAAGTTTAATTATTTTTTTGTATAACATCCTAATGTCATCGGGGCATGTTACATCGACTCCTGTCCTTTTGTTTCCTCTCCTGATTTATAGACTAAGACCTTGATGGGGGAAGTGATGAGGGAGGCTGCCTTCTCTTTGGCTGAGGCGAAATTTGCTGCTGGCGACTTCAGGTGAGAGAATGGGCCTCATCATGAGCCATTTGAGGCCTTTATTTAGGTGTTTGTCTGATGTTAATGTTTTGCTAATATTTTGTCAATGTTCTCTCATCACATTATCATGTTCCCTCAGCACCACTGTCATCCAGAATGTGAACAAGGCCCAGGTGAAGGTTCGGGCTAAGAAGGACAACGTGGCAGGTCAACACCTTTGGACTTCTCTGTATCTTTTTAGAACAACAGCATGTCTCTCCTAAATGTCTCACCTGTGTGATTCTCCTCTCCCTCACAGGTGTCACTCTACCTGTGTTTGAGCACTACCAAGAAGGAGGGGATAGTAAGTAGTGCACTTTTCTGGCCATGCAGGGTTGGGGTCAATTCCAATTTAATTTGAAATTCCAATTCAATTCTTGAATTCACTCATGAAGTGGAGAATTTACATTTAATTCAATTAGAATTTCAACAATCTTCAAGTTATGGAATTGGAATTAGGCTGTTTGGACGGTATGAATTGGAATTGTAAAAACAGTTAATCATTGGAATTAAATATTTCTACATAGCCCAGTTAATGAAATGACTGCAGGATTTGTTTGAAATCATTAACTTGTATTTCTATATTTCCAGTATAGCTAGGCTGTCTGAACAGTGACATGATCAGCCTAAAAGCCTGAGGAAATTGGAATTTGTGGAATTGTTGGGGATAATATTGAATTGGGAATTGAATTCTTGGAATTGACCTAACATTGGAATTGAGAAGATTGAATTCTCTGAATCAGTGTTGGGGAGTAGTAAACTACATCTAGTTCAACTAACTAGTAATTGAACTACATATTGCAGTAGCTTGGTGGTAGTAGAACTACATTCAAATCTACAGTGCCTTCAGAAAGTATTCATTGCCCTTGACATATTCCACATTTTGTTGCAGCCTGAAATAAAAATGGATTCAATATTAATTTTTTCTCACCCATCTACACAAAATACCCTATAATGACAAAGTGAAAACGTTTTTAGAAATCTTTGCAAATGTATGGAAATGAAATACATAAATATTATTTACATAAGTATTCAACCCCTGAATCAGTACCCTGTCGTGACGTGACTAATTGATACTCTTTAATTATGTTTAATGTTACTTTTAATTAATCATGTAACATCAACATTGGGAATTTGGCCACGAGAATGTTTAATTAGTTACCATCCCCGAATATCTCTAAAATAATCATGTAACAATTAATCATCCTCATATCAGTTATTCTGACGTTGCAAATTCTGGATCCGCAAGAACCAGCTGACTTATGATGTCGCACTACAAATTGTTATATTACTAGCTAACTAATAATAACCAGAATACATACCTTAAACATGAAAGTCATAGCGGACTAACACATCATCTGGTTATCAAAAGAGGAGGGTAAGGGCAGGGAGAGGAGAGTCATTATGTTGATACATTTGGAAAACCCTCAAGTATCATCATACTTTGCTCACAAACTAACGCCCTTTCGGAAGAAGTATGAGTATTTACGTGTCTGTCTTTGTACATCGTCTCTCTGTTGAAACCAATCACTCCTTCTATGGGGAAGGGGTCGATGGGTGTAAGGCTCTGATTGTCCACCAGAGGTCACAATGTCCTTCTTATTAGTTGTCCTGGCTTGGAGTGTAGTGTTCAAATAGAGCAGATACTTCAGATGCACCAATGATTGTCTGAGATGGGATTTTCTAATTCCCACCTTGTGTCTTTAGTCAAAGTTCTAGATCACTTTACACACACAGCTGCAGACTGGCAATGTTCTGGTCTAGTCTGGTAGTTGATCTTCTTCACCTCCTGTTGAGGTTCAATGTTCCAACCATTTTAAACCGTGTATGTCTATCAGTTTTACACATCTGGATTTGGGGATTTTCTCCCTTGCAGATTTTCTCAAGCTCTGTTAAGTTAGATGGGAGGGTGGTGAAGAGAAATCTTCAAGTCTTTCCACAGATTTTCAATGGGATTCAAGTCTGGCCTTTGGACTGGGCCACTAAAGGATTTTCACCTTCTTGTTCTGAAGCCATTCCAGCATTGTCCTGTTGGAACGTAAATCTTTGCCCCAGTCTAAGGTTGTTTACACTCTGAAGCAGGTTCTCATCAAGGATTTGCCTGTATTTGGCTCCATTCATTGTTCCCTCTATCCTTACCAGTCTCCCAGTCCTTGCTGCTGAAAAACATCCCCATAGCATGATGCTGCCACCACAATGCTTCAGGGTAGTGATGGTGTTAGATGTGGTGTTAGAATGGTGATGAGCTGTGCCTGGTTTTATCCAGAAATAGTGCTTTGCATTCAGGCCAAAGAGTTCAATTTTTGTCTCATCTTTCATGTGCCTTTTTGCAAACTCCAGGCGTGCTGTCATGTGCCTTTTTCATAGAAGTGGCTTCCATCTGGCCTCTCCCATAAAGCCCAGATTGGTGAAGTGCTGTAGAGACTGTTGTCCTTCTGGCAGGTTCTCCCATCTCAGCCAAGGAATTCTGTAGTTCTGTCAGAGTGGTCATTGGGCTCTTGGTCACCTCCCTGACCAAGGTCCTTCTTGCCCGGTTGCTCAGTTTGGTTGGATGGCCAGCTCTAGGCAGAGTCTGGGTAGTTCCATATTTGTTCCATTTCCCAATGATGGAGACCACTGTGCTCTTGGAAACTTTCAACACTCTAGAAATTGTTTATACACTTCTCCAGATACTGTATGTCTCATCACAATTATATATTGGAGATCTACAGACCGTTCCTTGAACTTCATTGTATAGTTTCTGCTCTGGCATGCACTGTCAATGGTGGGACCTTATATAGACAGGTGTGTTTTCTTTCTAAATCATGTCCAAACAATTGAATTGGCCACAAGTTGTAGTGACATATATCAAGGATGATCAAAGGAAATCGAATGCATCTAAACTCAGTTTGGAGCGTCATAGCAAAGGGGTGTGAATACTTAGGTAAATGAGATATTTCTGCGTTTCATTTTCAATACATTTGAAAATAGATTTTGTTTTTACACATTTTGTTAACATATGACCCCAAAGTGATCTGTTATTGCAATTTGTAGCCTATGACATTTCAGATTTACATATGATCATTTTTTACTAAGTAGTTTGGATGTAGTGAACAACTTTTTCAAAGTAACTTTAGTTAAGTAAACAATATTTTTCTTTAGGGTAGCTTAACTTCTTCCAGTGTGAAGTAATTGGTAGCTTGGTAAACTATATTTTCAGAGTAGCTTCCCCAACACTGTTCTAAATTCAAAGACTTAGAATTTGAATAGAATTAAATGGAATTTACAGGGAGAGGGAATCTAATTGAATTTGTGGAATTAACCCCAACCCTGTGGTCCTGTATGGCTTTGGATAAAAGTGTCTGCTAAATGGCTATTATTATTATTATTGCAAATATTGGTATGGCTGCATTTATGGGCAAATTCGTTTTTTTTTTTTTACAAGTTATAGAAAGCTATGCTCTGCTATTGAACATGTAGTGTGTTTCTGTGTCACTGCAGTCTTTGCTTCCCTCCATCCTCTCCTTGTTAGGTTATGAGCTGACTGGTCTGGCCAGGGGAGGAGAGCAGCTCTCCAGACTGAAGAGGAACTATGCTAAAGCAGTGGAGCTGCTAGTGGAGTTGGCCTCCTTACAGGTAGGGGGCGCTCTATCACCGTGGTGTTAACATTACATCTGGGTAGTGTTCATTAGGCACCAAACAGAAGAAAATGGAATGAAACAACAAAGGATTACCTGGACTTTTCCCATTGCAAAATGTTTTAGAATGTTTTCTGGTGTGTGCCCTAAAGAGCATGACCCCAGGTGGTAAGTCTTGCAAGACTGTGGTAAACCATGCAGAGTGTGTTTGACTGAACAACAAAGTCTCATGGTCTCACCGTTTGATCTACAGACTTCCTTTGTCACACTGGATCAGGCCATCAAGATCACCAACCGCCGTGTGAATGCCATTGAGCATGGTGAGTCTGCACCACTTTGGCACAATAACAAAACCTGCACTACATATCAATAATGGCAGTCAAAAGAGATAGTTGGAAGACAGCGAGGAGATGATAAAATGTGGTTTGAACTGTCCACAGTGATCATCCCCCGCATTGAGCGTACCCTCAGCTACATCATCACTGAGCTGGATGAGCGGGAACGAGAGGAGTTCTACAGGTAAGTTACATTATCCCTCAGACTCCTCATCTCCAAGTCTATACCCCCATCTGACTGGGGGATCACTGTCTGTCTCTCAGGTATATAAAGTGTTCGGATCACTGTCTGTCTCTCAGGTATATAAAGTGTTCTAATTCCAATTCTATGGTGTGTCCCACCTCCTCAGGCTGAAGAAGATCCAGGAGAAGAAGAAGCAGATGAGGGAGAGGACGGAGAAGGAGATCGCCGCCCGTCTGGCCAAGCTGGGCCCCATCGCCGAGCCATCCAACATGCTGACGGAGGAAACTGACGAGGACCTGCTGTTTGAGTGACATGCCGTCCTTCCGGTCACCCGTGGCTACTCCGTCACCCGGGTTGACAGAGTAAACCGGGTCAACTCCGTCACCCACATCCTATTTATTCTGTGCCTCTCAGGCCACGTTGAGGTCTTATTTTTGTGCGAAAGAGAAAAATTGTCTGTTTTTTGTGTACACGTCGGTGATGTTTTGTTGTCGTTTTCAGTATTGGAGATGAGTGTCCAGATTTATCACTGTCTAGAACCGTCAGAACTTTGCCGCTAACAGCAATCACATCAGTTCACTAGAGTGTCGAACTTGTTGACGAGTTATCTTTTGAATACTTAAGGAGCAAATAATATATGTACATTGAGTATGGTTAAATTACATGGTTTACAAATGTGAACTGTATTAAGCATTCCATCTGATTGGGTGAGGACATAGATAGCTATTTAATGCTTCCATCAGAACACTCAGTCAATGCATGCCGTCATGCTGTACAGTTAAAACAGGGTGGCCGTTCTTTTCCCCGTAAGTGTCTGTGTTGTGGAGGCTAATCCCTTCCATGGTCGCCCCATATCAGTGGGGTTGTATTGACCATAAAATAATGACATTCTGTTTCTATGGAATTTAATTACATGGTACTGTATTGACCCTTTACAGGAGGATGGCTAACGTGGGTCCCGTGTGGCTCAGTTGGTAGAGCATCGCGCTTGCAACACCAGGGTTGTGGATTCGGTCCCCCCTCGAGGGACCAGTGCGAATAATATATGCACTCACTACTGTAAATCACTCTGGATTAGAGAGTGTGCTAAATGACTAAAATGTCAATGTAGTGTGCGTACCTGACCTCCATCCGCAGTGGCACCCTGAGTGCAACCCCACCTATGTCAGAACACTTCATCCAAATAAAGATGATCTGAATATTCTCCAAGTGTCACTTTGTGATTCTATTCTTATCTCAAATGAGTGTTACTGTAGCTGTTCTAGCCACAATTTGTCACTCAGTTGCTGATGTCTGTTGACAAAGCTGTGCTGGAAACATTGAACAAAGTAATGGCTGCCTGAGAATGCTATTGCAAGGTACAACATCCTAAATGTATCTGGGGCACACACCTGTGTGTGAAATGGCAGTCATTTTGCATTGAAGCGCTAAATGGAACATGGTGTCAAGGCTGCTTCTCCCATAGCCTCCTACTCCTTCACCTGCCGGGGTCAAGACAAAGAAAGAAACCCAGGGCGTGTTTAAAGTAGAGAGACTGATTGGTTTCACCTGTCTGCAGTTTGGCTCTGATTATAACTGGAGACAGGTGTGGCTGCTCTGCTGCAGTCTAGAAGTTTCCCCGGAGCTGACCGTGATTCTGCCTCTGGGTGAATACGTCGCCTTGCTGTCCGTGGTCCTGGCAGCCAAAAAACAAAGAAACCTTGCAGGCACATAACGTCCATCCACAACACAACCCCTGAAACCGCTACAATATGTATCAAGTATATTCCAAAATCATACATTTACCTGATAAAATAGTATTCATGTAACTTTAATGTCCACCATCATGAAACAATTCTCATCAGAAATGTTCATTATATTGAAGATGGCTTCTTTTGAGTTGTGCTTATAAAGTACCAAAGAAAAAAAAAGTTTGTCAGATTAAATGATGCTAAATTGATTGTTTTCACACTGTTAATGTCTGTGGATAGACACTAGGTATACTATTCAATGGATACTGAGGTCATCTTTACTGATGATCAATGATTCTTGAGGTCTGTTTTTGAGGTACAAGTGCAGCAACTCAAGATAACACAACATAATACTATCATCGATACACAGCAAGTACCTTACCATATTTAGAATACAACAGCTTTCTCTTTGGTTTTTACTTCTAGTTGAAAGTTACATAGTTCCCCAGGAGCAAATTGGTCCTCAATTGAGAGACAGTTCCAGTGCATTGCATTGTATTGTATACCACATACAAACAAACCATACATTGTTAGACTGGGGTCTGAGATAATGGTAAATCACATTTGTTTACATCTCATCTAAAAATACATATTTACAATCATAAATAACTATTTAGAGTAGAATGAAATGAAAATGTGTTTTCTACAGTTTTGGATAAATGTCTTTGCATATGCTACTGGAATCTGGAATGGTGCCGACATTGACAAAAACACAAAATAACATTCACAAAGACAAACACAGACAAAAACACATATATAATAAAGTGTCCATGCCTGCAAATTAAGTAAAGTCCAACTTCCATAAGAAGGCTAGATAAAGGACAAGTTACCCTTTCTGGCAAAGAAGGCATGGGCCCTCTATTTTGTGTCTGCGAGGCTCCATGATGGTCTAACGGTGTCCATCCTTCCTTTAGGGTCGTTCCTTCAGAGCTGTGTTATGGGTCATGTTCATTCAGGATACACCGTAGTCAAATGTGTTAAAACATTTTTCTACAAAAAACTAGAACAAATGGTTCTTATTGGACAAGTCCAGGTATTCCCTTCCTGTTTCAATCCATTTTCTTCCATGTGGTGCCTAATGAACACAACCCAGGCCACACTCTCCTTCCTGTGGCTCCCTGGAGTTGACCGCTAGGTTGACCCATCAACCCTGACCTCTTACCCCTAGCACAGCCAGGAGGAGGGCACCCACTGGGGCTCCGTGTCCAGTTTGTCGATGAGCCGCAGGAGCTCGTGGAAGGCCGTGTCTGGCTCGCCATTAACAATGGCCGCGTCAAACAGGTGGCCGTAGGCCTGCTCCATCTCCCGGGCCTTCTCGATCAACTCCTTCAGCTCCTCTGGCTAGATGCAGGGACACAGTAGGGAAGGACAGGGGTTACAGATATCCTGGCTAGATGCAGGGAAACATAGTAGGGAATCCCAGAAGTTACAGATATCCTGGCTAGATGCAGGGAAACACAGTAGGGAAGGACAGGGGTTAGAGATATCCTCGCTAGATGCAGGTGTCATGACTTGCCCTCATGAGCTCTGGATCAAAGATGCCGGCTAGGAAAGTTTTGAACACCCCCTTTCCTGGGGGCCAGTTTTATGACGGGTTGTACATTTTCCGTGCCATGCAGTATTGGGAGAGGGAATTTCCCTGTGGAACAAAGGAAGTCTTCCCGCCAATAATTCTTATTGTGGATAATGAAACAATATTCCTACTTCAAAGAATGGGAGAAATAGTCGGTGGGGTCTTAAAGAACAATCATGTCAAATTCGTTACTATGTTGTGATGTCATTAAAGACGGTGGAACAACATAACTGTATCTCTGGGGGTGTACACTTTCCAGTTATGAGGTTTGCATTTAATTGTTGTATAAAACGAATGATTAAGTATAATACTACTTTTGTGAAGATAACTATGTTGTGATATCTTCACAAAAGTAGTATTATACTTAATCATTCGTTTTATACAACAATTAAATGCAAACCTCATAACTGGAAAGTGTACACCCCCAGAGATACAGTTATGTTGTTCCACCGTCTTTAATGACATCACAACATAGTTATCTTCACAAAAGTAGTATTATACTTAATCATTCGTTTTATACAACAATTAAATGCAAGCTGAAGCTACACGGCTTAAGCTACACGGCTTAAAATCGTTAGACCAAGCAGACTATGGTATAAGCCTGATGTTGCAAACGGTTGAATTTCTACCAGACCAGCAGACGTGAAGCGTGAGCTATACGTTACAAAATGGTTAGACCAGAAAGACCAGAAAACGTGAGACGGTAGTCCATACGTTTGAAATGGAGAAACTCTGAAACTCTCAACCTCTACACGAGGTGAAGAAGAAGACAACGCACTAGACCTTATCATTTCAGTCTGCAGCTGGCATGTATAGTCGTCTAGAGAACTTTCACTAAAGACACGAGTTGGGAAGGACAATCCCTCTCTGACAACCGTTGGTACATCTGAAGTATCTATTCTAACAGATCAACTCTACGAACTACAGGGTACGCTGAAGTATCCATTCTAACCACCACTACGACCAGAAACTCTACCAAGGACATTGGGATCTCTGGTGGGCAAACCAGAGTCTTACATCATCAACTCAACTATCGAGGACAGCTACACGTAAATACATGTTGCATTTCTAATCCGAATGAGCGGGTCCAAAGCATTTGAATTTCCGTGAGCGTAGTTTACAAATGTCTGATAGGTGAATTCCTTTGTCACTTCCTTTCCCCACCTCTCTCTGAATCAGCCAACCCTCCTTCTACCCAGGCATTCATGCTATTGTTAGTCCAGTCCACTAGGGACCTGTTTTCATTGTATTACGTTAGTAATCAATAACCTATGTGTGTGTGTGTTATTATTTAGTTAGTTAGTAAATAAATAATTAAGCCAATTTGTGTATTGCTGATTCATCAATAAGGTTAGGGTTCTTGCAGGTTCAAGGATTATGCGACGTTCAGAATGAGACTGATAAGAGGTAATTATTTAATAAGTGACTGTTATCGATATATAACATATATCTTCTAAGAGTTTAATTTGGGAGATGGTAACTCATTAAACAACTTCTTCCGTGGGGCCCCAAATTCCTAATGAGTTAATTGTTACATGATTAATTTAATAAAGTGACAATTAAACATAGTTAGTTGATTCGATAAATAACAGTCACCATATTAATATAAGTCACGTCACGACACAGGGAAACACAGTAGGGAAGGACAGGGGTTAGAGATATCCTCGCTAGATGCAGGGAAACACAGTAGGGAAGGACAGGGGGTTACAGATATCCTGGACTAGATGCAGGGAAACACAGTAGGGAAGGACAGGGTTAAGATATCCTGACTAGAGCAGGACCAGAGGAAGGACAGGTTACATATATCCTGGCTAGATGCAGGGAAACACAGCAGGGAAGGACAGGGGTTACATATATCCTGGCTAGATGCAGAAAACACAGTAGGGAAGGCAAGGGTTACAGATATCCTAGCTAGATGAAGGAAAACACAGTAGGGAATGACAGGAGTTACAGATATCCTGGCTAGATGCAGAAAACACAGTAGGGAAGGCAAGGGTTACAGATATCCTGGCTAGATGCAAGGAAGAACAGGGGATAGAGAAATCTAGATGCAGGGAAACACGGAAGGGAAAGACAGGGGTTACAGATATCCTGGCTAGATGCAGGGAAATACAGGAGGGAAGGACAGAGGTTACATATATCCTGGCTAGATGCAGGGAAATACAGCAGGGGAGGACAGGGGTTACATATATCCTGGCTAGATGCAGGGAAATACAGGAGGGAAGGACAAGGGTTACATATATCCTGGCTAGATGCAGGGAAATACAGGAGGGAAGGACAGGGGTTAGAGATATCCTGGCTAGATGCAGGGAAATACAGGAGGGAAGGACAGGGGTTACATATATCCTGGCTAGATGCAGGGAAACACAATAGGGAAGGACAGGGGTTAGGCATATCCATCCCAAGGGGAAAGGGATGGTAGGGAGAGAAGTAGGTCATGTCCAGAAACAACACCTAGCCTCTACCTCCTATCGGAAAAGATTGCAAATGTACAAGCAATGTGGCAAAAATTCCACCTAGACCAGTAGATGGCAAGGTGAAACTATTACTATACTAGCAGAGGAGAAATTTATCATAACCGTGTTTAAGCATTGTACCAATAAAAGGGATTATAGTTTCTCACAGGCATATATGATCAATATGATACCTGTGATCAATGTAACACATTCACTGTGGATCTGAATTCATCAACGGTACTTGCTGATGCTGATGAAGAGCTTTTTGTGAGATGAGCAGAACAGGAAATACCTTTGGGTTTTTGCCATCCTTGGCCAGCAGGATGCGCAATCGCTCCTGAGAGGGAGGAGCGATGAAGATCACATAGGGCTTGAGGTTGGAGGACCGCAGTACCCGCAGTGACTGACAGACAGAACAAATTAGAACAGCAGCAGGAGGAGGAGAGAAGGTTAGAAAATAAGGCAGTTAATAGAGTAGAGAGTAATAGCATGGTTAGTATGCTTTCAAAACCTGCTTATGAAATATCCTCCACAATGGAGGTGGAAAAAGTACCCAAATGTCATACTTGAGTAATAGTAAAGATACCTTAATAGAAAATGACTCAAGTAAAAGTGAAAGTCACCCAGTAAAATACTACTTGAGTAAAAAAAAAAAAATAATAATAATAATAATAATAATAATATGTATGCACGCATGACTGTAAGTCGCTTTGGATAAAAGCGTCTGCTAAATGGCATATTATATTATTATATTATAGTAAAAGTCTAAAAGTATTTGGTTTAAAATATACTTAAGTATCAAAAGTAAATGTAATTGCTAAAATATACTTAAGTATTAAAAGTAAAAGTATACATCATTTCAAATTCCTTATATGAAGCAAACCAGGAGGGGCCCACTCCAACACTCAGACATCATTTACAAATGAAGCATGTGTGTTTAGTGAGTCCACCAGATAAGAGGCAGTATGGATGACCAGGGATGTTCTCTAGAAAGTGCGTGAATTGGACCATCTTCCTGTCCTGCTAAGCATTCAAAATGTAAGTACTTTCAGGTGTCAGGGAAAATGTATGGAGTAAAAAGTACATTATGTCTTTAGGAATTTTGTGAAGTAAAAGTAGAAGTAGTCAAAAATATAAATAGTAAAGTAAAGTACAGACCCCCAAAAACTACTTAAGTAGTACTTTCAAGTATTTTTACATAAGTACTTTACACCATTGCTCCACAACATGTTCTCAACTAGCGGCTAACAAGAGTCCCACTTTAAACATAACATAACATAGGCTAATGAATCCTTCATAAACCCTTTATAAGGCCTGTTCAGATGTTTAGAAATGTAATGCTGTATAATGTGTGGCACAAGGTCTATGCCACATTTGGCAGGACCTATCACCCTTTATGTAGAATGACTTGCTCACACGTGATTGATGAAGCATCTACTGTATGTAGTGCTTATGAACTTCTATGTAGTGCTTATAAATATGTATTTTCCTACCTTAGTGTGCAGGCACAGCAGACAGATCCTGCCTGAGTTGATGACCTGTCGAACCGAGTCACTGCTGGTGCCATACAGGTTCCTTTCGTACTCCCCAGACTCTATGAACTTCCCCGCTGCCACATCAGCCTCAAACGCCAGCTGGTTCACAAAGTGGTACTCCCTCCCGTTCTTCTCATGTATGCGTGGGTTTCTCGTTGTATCTGAGTGATATTTATTGTGAAATTAGAATTTGGTATATTACAATGTATAATTTAGTTTTTGTCTGGTCTATTATAATAAACAGTTTAACACCAAAATATACACAATAAATTGGTATAAGCTAAGCTGTATGTATTGGTAATGTGTACCCTACCTAATTGAATTCCTGTGGTAATTTGTCAATGCTCCAAACTATGAAACTCCATCAAACTTTATTTCAAGTGCATTGAAATCACAACACTTTATAGAAAATGGACACAATAAAATATATTGAAAATCATACCTAACAGGCCACTAACTTAACATCACACAATAATTGTGTAGCCTAGACCCATCTCAAGTATTGCCCCGCCCTCTATCCCCCAACCCCCTCCTCTCATTGGTCTACTTACGTGGCACAGCTCCGGCGAACCTGTCCGGCTCGATGGACAGCAGCCTTTGCCGCAGCTCATTCTGCCCGCTGTTGGGCGGACCAATCAGGGCGATAGGTCGCTTGCGATTGGCTGGCTGGTGGTAAAGCGCCATCTCCTCATAGGTCAGGATTTCATCAGCGTAGTAGTCTGGGTGGGACAGAGGTAGGTGGAGAGGTGGGGGTTTACTGGAGGTGAGGTGTTGCAGATAGAAAATTGTCATCGAAGTGTTACTCTACAGTATATCAGATACGTGTATCTGTTCTACATAACATATTTATATTTGAATATTCAGCTGAGGATAAAGGTTGACAATAGAAATGTCATGGATAGAACAGGCATGATTCTTGGGTACATGTCACACCAACACCAAGTCTGGCCCAGGAACCAGCAGGCTTATCAAGTCTTAGAACGTACATAGGGACATTGACTGAGAGAGAGGCCATATCCCAAATCAACCCCTATGACCTATGCCCCCTCTATGTTGTGGATATCTGAGAGGACTTGACAGGTGTACGCTCCACCCTGTCCTCTGATAGGCTAGGTGGAAGTTTCATCATATTGCTCATATCAATCAAATCTCCACAAGTGCATAGGGGTCTAGGGGTCGATTTGGGATTGGACCAAAAAGAGCTGGGAGAAAGAACTAGCCTTACCAACGTTCCTGTTGGGGTTGTGCATTGTTTTCTTCCTCTGCTTCTTGTTCTTCTTTGCACACCAAAGCTTCCCTGAAGAAAATGAGAAGAGGAAAGTTATCAAAGGCTGATTTAGAGCCTATCAAATCAAATTGTATTTGTCACGTATGCCTAATACAACAGGTGTAGACCTTACTGTGAAATGCTTACTTACCATCCCTTAACTAAGAATGCAGTTTATCAGATCATAATGACAGCGATCATATGCCCATGTTGAGTGTGTGTGTGTGTGTGTGTGTGTGTGTTAAGACACTTGTGACGGTGGCCGGAGTGTGTAACTGTTCAGGGAGTATATAATCCCTAACCTGGGCTGTCAGGATTCCTGTCCACAATGGTTTTCTTCATAGCTTCTCTCTGCTGCTGGAAGCTCTTTCCTGGGAGATTGAGAACGGAGACAGAAACATTTCAATTAAAGTATTGATGTAGCCTAACTCTGCACTATGACTAACCCATAGACTGTCATAGTTTATAGTTCTCCAAGGAGGAGGTTGATAAGCCTCATCCCTGTCCTTGTCCCTGTAGGCCTGCCACCAGCTGGGGTTAGGGTTGGGGTTGGGGTTAGGGTTAAGGTTAGGGTTAGGGTTAGTGTTGGGGTTGGGGTTAGAGTTAGGGTTGGAGTTAGGGTTGTGTACCTGGTACTAGCCCGGCTAGGGGCTGGTTGTCCTCATCCCCGTCCCTGTAGGCCTGCCACCAGCTGGGGTCATCCTGGCTGATGATGTGGAGGATGTCTCCCTTCTGGAAGGACAGGCCCAGCTCCCTGCATGGCACGTACGGGTCATCAGACGGGTCGTAGTTAAAATAGGCCCTCACGTGCATCTGAAGACATGGGTGACATCATCATCATCATCATTGTAGTCGTTGTCATCACCATCATCATCATCATCATCATCTCTCCAAAGAGTTTAGTAACTGATTATAATTGAATAATTGAACACACATGTTGTGCACCCACACACTCTGAAGGAAACCTTACCACAGTCTGCCTGTGTGAGGGTGTTTTGTTCTGTGAGCTGGGGATAAGGAGGAAGGTCAGAGTGCCATGCATATCCATCTGAGGAGAGAGGAGAACACAATAACGCATACTGAGTAGAATCTACATGGAATCAGCTTGAGTGAAATGAAGTAATTATCACAGAATGTAGTCTTGAGGGACCAGACCTCAACACATATTCTGGTTCAAGAATGGCTTGAGGTAAGATGGGATGATGGGGGCTATGTAAAATGTTATATCCATTAGATCTGATGGCATCAATGTGCCATACTGACACAAGTCAATGGAAATATGACAGATGTGATATCCATTGTGAGCGATCCTGACTTGTTAACCCGTTCCTCACCAGAAGGTCGTGGACCTCGTTGACGTTCTTCCCGCGGACGGGCACGCCGTTGATCTCCAGGATCTCGTCTCCCTCGGCCAGGAGACCGCTCCGTTCGGCTGTCCCGCCCTTCACCACGCGACTCACCACCACGCTGTCCATCTCGTTACGAACCGTGGCGCCCTGGGCAAATACCAGTCAGACATGGGTCAGACATGCTTATCAGTACAAACCACCTACATGTACATGACACAAAGACCCACTAGAAAGACAAGTCTGCATCAGGGACATACAATACAATATATTACATGCTTTATTGGTCTATTTGCACGGATATTCTTATATATACAGTACCAGTCAAAAGTTTGGACACCCCTACTCATTCAAGGGTTTTTCTTAATGTTTTACTATTTTCTACATGACAGGACATTTTTTTTTTTTTTTTTTTTTTTTTTTGGGGGGGGGGGGGGGGGGGTTAGAAGGTATTACTTGGATTCCTATCCCAGGTATTCCTTAAAGAGGTGGGTTTCAAATGTCTCCGGAAGGTGGTGAGTGACAGTCCATCATTACTTTAAGACATGAAGGTCAGTCAATCCGGAAAATTTAAAGAACGTTTCTTTAAGTGCAGTCGCAAAAACCATCAAGCGCTATGATGAACTGGCTCTCATGAGGACCGCCACATGAAAGGAAGACCCAGAGTTACGTCTGCTACAGAGGATAAGTTCATTAGAGTTCATTAGAGTTACCAGCCTCAGAAATTGCAGCCCAAATAAATGCCTCACAGAGTTCAAGTAACAGACACATCTCAACATCAACTGTTCAGAGGAGACTGCGTGAATCAGGCCTTCATGGTCAAATTGCTGCAAAGAAACCACTACTAAAGGACACCAATAAGAAGAAGAGACTTGCTTGGGCCAAGAAACAAGAGCAATGGACATTAGACCGGTGGAAATCTGTCCTTTGGTCTGGAGTCCTAATTGGAGATTTTTGGTTCCAACCGCTGTGTCTTTGTGAGATGCAGTGTAGATGAACAGATGATCTCCACATGTGTAGTTCCCACCGTGAAGTATGGAGGAGGAGGTGTGATGGTGTGGGGGTGCTTTGCTGGTGACATGGTTGGTGATTTATTTAGAATTCAAGGCACACTTAACCAGCATGGCTACCACAGCATTCTGCAGCAATATGCCATCCCACATGGTTTGGGCTTAGAGGGACTATCATTTGTTTTTCAACAGGACAATGACCCAACACACCTCCAGGCTGTGTAAGGGCTATTTTACCAAGAAGGAGAGTGATGGAGTGCTGCATCAGATGACCTGACCTCCACAATCACCCGACCTAACCAATTGAGATGGTTTGTGATGAGTTGGACCTCAGAGTGAAGGAAAAGCAGCCAACAAGTGCTCAGCATATTTGTGGGAACTCCTTCAAGATTGTTGGAAAAGTATTCCAGGTGAAGCTGGTTGAGAGAATGCCAAGAGTGGGAAAAGCTGTCATCAAGGCAAAAGGTGGCTACTTTGAAGAATCTAAAATATATAATATATTTGATGACTTCACTATTATTCTACAAGGTAGAAAATAGTAAAAATAAAGAAAAACCCTTAAATGAATAGTTGTGTCCAAACTTTTGACTGGTACTGTATATTAATTTTGCTGTCCCAGTACCCAACCTGACACACAACACACATCACAGGCAGGGAGCAGCACAGGCAGCACAGGAGCACCCATGGAGCAATTAAGGTGCCTTAATCAAGTGCACAACAGCGGCATGTACTGTAGTATATAGGATATTGAAGCCGGTAACCTTCCAGCTGCATGCTCACTCATGCAGATTTCCTCCCAGTCAGCTCGGGGATTCAGCAACCGGTAACAAGTAATTTGTGAGGGATAGCCTGTCGTATGTTTTGGAGTATCAGAAGAGATGGGTGTGTGTGTGAGTGGGGTGAGTGGGGGGTGGGGGGCTCACCAGAGGCATGTCGCCGGCCTTCTCCAGCCGCACCAGTTTGACGGTCTCTCCCAGGTACTGAATCATTCTCTCTTCTGGGTCCGGCTCCAACTCCTGCTCTGCCACACTGTCATGGGCCTGCATCAGAGCCTGGGATGGACACAACACACACAGGCACATGGATGAGAAGGAGTGTGTGTGCTGTGGAAAACTGGGAAGTGTGTGTATGCGATTTTGTTTGAATCAGATTGTTGTAGTAGTGACTTGGGTGAATTAGAGCTTCTTGATCCTGAGCCACTACATGACAAACAGTGTATGCACATGCATATCCTTTCATATTCACCAGTTACTGTAAAAGGTCAAGGGGGAAACTTAAACTCTGCTCCCATTCCATGCTTAAACATGCACCTGTTACCCAAAGCCCACCCTGTCTCTCTCTCTCCCTCCCTCCTTCCCTCCTTAACACAAGCCGTCAGCAGTCTCCACCTCTAAGCCAAAAAGAATACAAAGATTATTCCCTCACTTCATTTAAGGTGACAGGCGCTCCGTATTCCGCAATTAATAACCGTTGAGCCAAATTAGTGTCTCTATCCCGCAGCAGAGAGACATGAGGAGCCAGAAAGGAGGGCTGGCTAAGCTTCCAGCGTACACAGAATCCCTCTTAATCTGCCCTGCATTTAGGAGGCAGGATTCGCCTCCATCAATCATCAAAACACCTCGATCTCGGCATTCCCCGGAAAGGAAGGAAGACGAGGAAGGCAGTTTTTTAAGTCATTTAGCAGACGCTCTTATCCAGAGCGACTTACAGTTAGTGAGTGCATACATTTTTCATACTGGCCCCCCCTGGGAATCGAACCCACAACCCTGGCGTTGCAAGCGCCATGCTCTACCAACTGAGCTACAGGAGGCGGTTACCTCTGTGTGTCTGTGTGTGTGTTTAAGAAACGTATTGCAACAGAATCGGCAGAATGAATACACTCCAGGTCCTCTCTCCTATATTCAACTTATTGCACCTTCTAGGCACAGATTACCCATTATATTGACCAGATACTCTAGTGGCCGCTCTAACAATGAAAATAAATGTTTTCAAAAATGGAAGGCAGTCAGGATGAGGCAAGATCAGGTGGGACCATTCTAGTCAGAGTGCAGTGCAAACAACAGGCACAACAGCTTCAACTAGTTACCACAGCCACAAAGTCAAATTGGTCATATCGTAAAAATTCATAAAAACATACATTTGCTTTTGGTTTTAATTTAAAGTTAGGGTTAGGCATAAGGTTAGCAGTGTGGTTAAGGTTAGATTTAGAATCACATTTTAAGAGGAGAAATTGTAGAAATAGGTGGGGTTTATGACTTTGTGGCTGTGGTAACTAGTGACAACCAGGCACAAGTCTGATATAAAGTGTTTTTTCTCAAACTTGCCGGGATGTCACATGTCCTACTTATATCAGTACACTTGTAACAAAATAAGCATTACGAAACTTCTATTAGATCAGTAAGCCACACATAGCAAATAAGCCATTCAAGTTTTTATTAACAATATTTGACACTCTCATTGACCTCCATGCAAAAACCCCCTTGAAAATATGCCACCTGCTGGAGAAGACAGATTTTGGGCCCAATTATCCCTCTCGCTTCGCCTCTTCCTCTCTGTTCTAGAGCAGTGTTTTGTCATCCTGGTCCTGGGGACCCAAAGTGGTGGACTGTTTTGTTTCTGCCTTCGCACTACACACCTGAATCAAATCATTAAAGCTTGATGATGAGTTGATCATTTTAATCAGCTGTGTAGTGCTAGGGCAAAAACAAAAAATGTGCATCCCTTTGTGTCCTGTGACAGTGCAAGGGTTTTAACACTGTCTGGGGGTCGGGCATAGGCAATGACTCAAAGGTAAAGGCACAGGAGACAGGAGTGTGGTGCAAACAAAGAGGCTTTTATTTATACTGAACAAAATCTAAAATGCAACATGTAAAGTGTTTAATGAGCTGAAGAAAATATCCCAGAAATGTTCCATACACACAAAAAGCTTATTTCTCTAAAATGTTGTGCACAAATGTGTTTACATATCCCAGTTAGTGAGCATTTCTCCTTTGCCAAGATAATCCACCCACCTGACAGGTGTGGCATATCAAGAAGCTGATTCAACAGCATGATCATTATACAGGTGCACCTTGTGCTGGGGACAATAAAAGGCCACCATGTGCAGCTTTGTCACAACACCATGCCACAGATGTCTCAAGTTTTGAGGGAGAGTGCAATTGGCATGCAGACTGCAGGAATGTCCACCAGAGCTGTTGCAAGATCATTTCTATACCATAAGCCGCCTCCAACGTTGTTTTGGATAATTTGGCAGTACGTCCAACCGGCCTCACAACCGCAGATCACGTGTAACCACGCCAGCCTAGGACCTCCACATCCAGCTTCTTCACCTGTGGGATCGTCTGAGACCAGCCACCCGGACAGCTGATGAAACTGTGGGTTTGCACAACCAAATAATTTCTGCACAAACTGTCAGAAACCGTGTCAGGGAAGCTCATCTGCATGCTCGTCATCCTCACCAGCGTCTTGACCTGACTGCAGTACTGCATCGTAACCGACTTCAGTGGGCAAATGCTCACCTTCGATGGCCACTGGCATGCTGGATAAGTGTGCTCCTGACGGATGAATCCCGGTTTCAACTGTACCGGCAGATTTCAGTGTGTATGGCATTGTGTGGGCGAGCGGTTTACTGATGTCAACTTTGTGAACAGAGTGCCCCAATGGTGGCGGTGGTGTTATGGTATGGGCAGACATAAGCTACGGACAACAAACATAATTGCATTTTATCGATGGCAATTTGAATGCACAGAGATACCGTGAGGAGATCCTGAGGCCCACTGTCGTGCCATTCATCCGCCGCCATCCCCTCATATTTCAGCATAATAATGCATGGCCCCATGTTGCAAGGATCTGTACAAAATTCCTGGAAGCTGAAAATGTCCCAGTTCTTCCATGGCCTGCATACTCAACAGACATGTCCCCCATTGAGCAAGTTTGGGATGCTCTGGATCGATGTGTACGACAGCATGTTCTAGTTCCCACTATTATCCAGCAACTTCGCACAGCCATTGAAGAGGAGTGGGACATTTCACGGGCCACAATCAACAGCCTGATCAACTCTATGCGAAGGAGATGTGTCGCTCTGCATGAGGCAAATGGTGGTCACACCAGGTACTGACTGGTTTTCTGTTCCACACCCTTACCTTAAAAAAAAAAAAGGTATCTATATTTCCAGTCATGTGAAATCCATAGATTAGGGCCTAATGAAATTATTTCAATTGACTGATTTCCTTATATGAACTGTAACTCAGTAAAATCACAAATATTGTTGCATGTTGCATTTATATGTTTGTTCAGTGTAGAGGCAAATGAAAGCCTGGTTCTTCCAGAGCTTTACAAGGTTCAGACTAAACTTAGAAATCAAAAGCATTAAGTCAACAGAGCTAGCCTAAAGCTTAAACGCAGCAAACATAAAGGTCCAAGCCATACTGCTCACGTGTTCTCTCCCCAGCAGAGTGAGAGCTGCACACCTTAAAGGTCCAATGCTGCCATTTTTATCTCAACATCAAATCATTTCTGGGTAACAATTAAGTACCTTAATGTGATTGTTTACAATTAAAATGGTCAAAAATAAAGAAAAATAGCTTCTTAGCAAAGAGCAATTTCTCAAGCAAGAATTTAGCTAGGAGTGGTCTGAGTGAGGGGCCTAATGGGAGGGATACAGTGGGGAAAAAAAGTATTTAGTCAGCCACCAATTGTGCAAGTTCTCCCACTTAAAAAGATGAGTGAGGCCTGTAATTTTCATCATAGGTACACGTCAACTATGACAGACAAATTGAGAAAAAAAATTCCAGAAAATCACATTGTAGGATTTTTAATGAATTTATTTGCAAATTATGGTGGAAAATAAGTATTTGGTCACCTACAAACAAGCAAGATTTCTGGCTCTCACAGACCTGTAACTTCTTCTTTAAGAGGCTCCTCTGTCCTCCACTTGTTACCTGTATTAATGGCACCTGTTTGAACTTGTTATCAGTATAAAAGACACCTGTTCACAACCTCAAACAGTCACACTCCAAACTCCACTATGGCGAAGACCAAAGAGCTGTCAAAGGACACCAGAAACAAAATTGTAGACCTGCACCAGGCTGGGAAGACTGAATCTGCAATAGGTAAGCAGCTTGGTTTGAAGAAATCAACTGTGGGAGCAATTATTAGGAAATGGAAGACATACAAGACCACTGATAATCTCCCTCGATCTGGGGCTCCACGCAAGATCTCACCCCGTGGGGTCAAAATGATCACAAGAATGGTGAGCAAAAATCCCAGAACCACACGGGGGGACCTAGTGAATGACCTGCAGAGAGCTGGGACCAAAGTAACAAAGCCTACCATCAGTAACACACTACGCCGCCAGGGACTCAAATCCTGCAGTGCAAGACGTGTCCCCCAGCTTAAGACAGTACATGTCCAGGCCTGTCTGAAGTTTGCTAGAGTGCATTTGGATGATCCAGAAGAGGATTGGGAGAATGTCATATGAAACCAAAATAGAACTTTTTGGTAAAACTCAACTCGTCGTGTTTGGAGGACAAAGAATGCTGAGTTGCATCCAAAGAACACCATACCTACTGTGAAGCATGGGGGTGGAACCATCATGCTTTGGGGCTGTTTTTCTGCAAAGGGACCAGGACGACTGATCCGTGTAAAGGAAAGAATTAATGGGGCCATGTATCGTGAGATTTTGAGTGAAAACCTCCTTCCGTCAGCAAGGGCATTGAAGATGAAACGTGGCTGGGTCTTTCAGCATGACAATGATCCCAAACACACCGCCCGGGCAACGAAGGAGTGGCTTCGTAAGAAGCATTTCAAGGTCCTGGAGTGGCCTAGCCAGTCTCCAGATCTCAACCCCATAGAAAATCTTTGGAGGGAGTTGAAAGTCTGTGTTGCCCAGCGACAGCCCCAAAACATCACTGCTCTAGAGGAGATCTGCATGGAGGAATGGGCCAAAATACCAGCAACAGTGTGTGACAACCTTGTGAAGACTTACAGAAAACGTTTGACCTGTGTCATTGCCAACAAAGGGTATATAACAAAGTATTGAGAAACTTTTGTTATTGACCAAATACTTATTTTCCACCATAATTTGCAAATAAATTCATAAAAAATCCTACAATGTGATTTTCTGGATTTTTTTTCCTCATTTTGTCTGTCATAGTTGACGTGTACCTATGATGAAAATTACAGGCCTCACTCATCTTTTTAAGTGGGAGAACTTGCACAATTGGTGGCTGACTAAATACTTTTTTCCCCCACTGTATGTAACCTGAATACTAGCTATTATTGGTAGAGAGGTTTGAAACACTCTTTGTTATTGGTAAATTAACTTATACCGCCTCCATCCCACCAAAACAGGCTGAAATATCAGGCAGTCTTTTCAAACAGCTCTTACACTAAAAGGGCATTATCATCATTTCACAATTTCACAGTATTATTCCAACCTCATAGTGTGGAAATATATATAAAACACAGGAGAATCAAGTCTTTGACCACACTGGGCCTTTAAAGTCTTTAGGCAGTCAAGTAGAGGGCGGCCACACCCGCGTTAAGGGAATGGTGTTCAGCTGGAGCTTATTAACGCGCCCACATAATAGGTTCGCTTTGCGAATGGCATGAGATTGTAAGCTTGACATCAAAAGATGAAGCAGCAGGAAGATGTCGGAGGCGGATGTTTTGTTTGAAACTGATGAGTAAAGTGGTGGTGGAACCTAGTAAAACCAAGCCTTGTTCTGACTCTTTTTTGTTTTGCTGGAGTGAGGGTTTTGGACCAATGGCGTTATCTGGGAGATCCGTTTGACGCCTTGATGAGAATCATAGATGCGTTGGATGAGGTTGCGTCAGTGAGGATAACAAGAAGTGGGCTTATTTTTGTTTTTTGTGTGTCCGATAACACCATCGGTCCCATCTTGTTCACCTCTCCCTCTCTCCACCGCACCTGCTGTCTTGACCTCTGAATGCTTGGCTATGAAAAGCCAACTGACATTTACTCCTGAGGTGCTGACCTGTTGCACCCTCTACAACCACTGTGATTATTATTTGACCATGCTGGTCATCTATGAACGTTTGAACATCTTGAAGAACGATCAGGCCTTAATGGCCAAGTACTCTTAAAATCTCCCCCCAGCACAGCCAGAAGAGGACTGGCCACCCCTCAGAGCCTGGTTCCTCTCTAGGTTTCTTCCTATGTTCCTGCCTTTCTAGGGAGTTTTTCCTGGCCACCGTGCTTCTACATCTGCATTGGTTGCTCTTTGGGGTTTTAGGCTGGGTTCTGTATAAGCTCTTTGTGACATCTGTTGATGTTAAAATGGCTTTATAAATACATTTGATTTGATATTGGATTGGAATGTGTTGTGTGTGTGGAACTGCAAAGCAGGGAGCCTATCCAGGGTGTTATCTCTGGAGTGGCGCTAGAAGTGAATGCAAAAGGATGTAACTGAAGAAGTACACTGAACAAAAATATAAACGCAACATGTAAAGTGTTGGTCCCATGTTTCATGAGCTGAAATAAGATCCCAGAAAAGGCCACTCTAAAACAGATGTCTAAAGTTTTGATGGAGCATGCAAATGGCATGCTGACTGCAGGAATGTCCACCAGAGCTGTTGCCAGATCATTTCTATACCATAAGCCGCCTCCAACGTCGTTTTGGAGAATTTGGCAGTATGTCCAACCGGCCTCACAACCACAGTCCACGTGTATGGAGCAGTTTGCTGATGTCAACGTCGTGAACAGAGTGCCCCGTGGTGGTGGGGTTATGGTGTGGGCAGGCATAAGCTACGGACAACGAACACAATTGCATTTTATCCGTGGAAATTTGAATGCACAAAAATACTGTGATGACATCCTGAGGCCCATTGTGAGGCCCATTTCTTTTTAAAGTATCTATGACCAACAGAGGCATATCTGTATTCCCAGTCATGTGAAATCCATAGATGAAGGCCTAATTAATTTGTTTCGGTTGACTGATTTCCTCATATGAACTGTACCTCAGTAAAATCAATGAAATTGTTGAATGATGAGTTTATATATTTTTTCAGTATAGATGCAGTGGTTGGTGCACGCCGACTGACCCTTACTATTTTGTTATTTGAAGAAGAGTCTCTCCCTTCGCATGTACACTGAGTGTACAAAACATTAAGGACACCTGCTCTTTCCATGACATACAGTGAGGGAAAAAAGTATTTGATCCCCTGCTGATTTTGTACGTTTTCCCACTGACAAAGACATGATCAGTCTATAATTTTAATGGTAGGTTTATTTGAACAGTGAGAGACAGAATAACAACAAAAAAATCCAGAAAAACGCATGTCAAAAATGTTATAAATTGATTTGCATTTTAATGAGGGAAATAAGTATTTGACCCCTCTGCAAAACATAACTTCGTACTTGGTGGCAAAACCCTTGTTGGCAATCGCAGAGGTCAGACGTTTCTTGTAGTTGGCCACCAGGTTTGCACACATCTCAGGAGGGATTTTGTTCCACTCCTCTTTGCAGATCTTCTCCAAGTCATTAAGGTTTTCGAGGCTGACGTATGGCAACTCGAATCTTCAGCTCCCTCCACAGATTTTCTATGGGATTAAGGTCTGGAGACTGGCTAGGCCACTCCAGGACCTTAATGTGCTTCTTCTTGAGCCACTCCTTTGTTGCCTTGGCCGTGTGTTTTGGGTCATTGTCATGCTGGAATACCCATCCACGACTCATTTTCAATGCCCTGGCTGAGGGAAGGAGGTTCCACCCAAGATTTGACGGTACATGGCCCCGTCCATCGTCCCTTTGATGCGGTGAAGTTGTCCTGTCCCCTTAGCAGAAAAATCACCCCCAAAGCATAATGTTTCCACCTCCATGTTTGACAGTGGGGATGGTGTTCTTGGGGTCATAGGCAGCATTCCTCCTCCTCCAAATACGGCGAGTTGAGTTGATGCCAAAGAGCTCGATTTTGGTCTCATCTGACCACAGCACTTTCACCCAGTTCAGCTCTGAATCATTCAGATGTTCATTGGCAAACTTCAGACGGGCCTGTATATGTGCTTTCTTGAGCAGGGGGACCTTGCGGGCGCTGCAGGATTTCAGTCCTTCACGGCGTAGTGTGTTACCAATTGTTTTCTTGGTGACTATGGTCCCAGCTGCCTTGAGATCATTGACAAGATCCTCCCGTGTAGTTCTGGGCTGATTCCTCACCGTTCTCATGATCATTGCAACTCCACAAGGTGAGATCTTGCATGGAGCCCCAGGTCGAGTGAGATTGACAGGTCTTTTGTGTTTCTTCCATTTGCGAATAATCGCACCAACTGTTGTCACCTTCTCACCAAGCTGCTTGGCGATGGTCTTGTAGCCCATTCCAGCCTTGTGTAGGTCTACAATCTTGTCCCTGACATCCTTGGAGAGCTCTTTGGTCTTGGCCATGGTGGAGAGTTTGGAATCTGATTGAATGATTGCTTCTGTGGACAGGTGTCTTTTATACAGGTAACAAGCTGAGATTAGGAGCACTCCCTTTAAGAGTGTGCTCCTAATCTCAGCTCATTACCTGTATATAAGACACCTGGGAGCCAGAAATCTTTCTGATTGAGAGGGGGTCAAATACTTATTTCCCTCATTAAAATGCAAATCCATTTATAACATTTTTGACATGCGTTTTTCTGGATTTCTTTGTTGTTATTCTGTCTCTCACTGTTCAAATAAACCTACCATTAAAATTATAGACTGATAATTTCTTTGTCAGTGGGCAAACGTACAAAATCAGCAGGGGATCAAATACTTTTTTCCCTCACTGTAGACTGACCAGGTGAATCCAGGTGAAAGCCAGGTGATCCCTTACTGATGTCACTTCAATCAGTGTAGATGAAGGTAAGGAGACAGGTAAAATAAATATTTTTAAGCCTTGAGAGAATTGGGACATGGATTGTGTATGTGTGCCATTCAGAGGGTGAATGGGCTAGACAAAAGATTAAAGTGCATTTGAACAGGGTAGGGTAGTAGATGCCAGGTGCACCGGTTTGTGTCAAGAACTGCAACGCTGCTGGGTTTTTCACACTCAACAGTTTCCCGTCTGTATCAAGAATGGTCCACCACCCAAACGACATCCAGCCAACTTGACACAACTGTGGGAAGCATTGGAGTCAACATGGGACAGCATTCGACACCTTGTAGAGTCCATGCCAGACGAATTGAGGCTGTTCTGAGGGCAAAAGGAGGGAGGGGGGAGGGGGGGGGGGGTGCAACTCAATATTAGGAAGGTGTCCTTAATGTTTTGTACACTCAGTGTATATTTGGGTTAAGTGAGATACCATGTAAGAGCCTTCGTGCCAAAACCCTTGCAGTGTGATAAATGTAAAGTATTTGGATGTGTCAAGTGTATGTAGGCGGGAGGTGTATCGTATTCCAGTTGAGGCGAAATGCTGCAAATGTGGTGACGAGCATGCGCCCTGAATTCATGAAGTGCCCTGAAGGAGACCGAGGTGGCAAGAGTAAGGGCTGTCCAGCATGTCTCCTATCCGGAGGTGGTGAGAAGAGTGGAAGAAGGGAGTAACGTTGAAGAAACCATGGTAGTTGGATCAGAGACACCAGTAAATGTTACTCGCCAACAGGATCCTGACATGTTGCATGTTAAAGGGTGGACTTTGCATAGGTTATATTGCATTGGTTATAAACTGCACAGTGCAAACAAAGAGGAAATCGGAGGAAATAGGCATCGTTGTGAGTGCGGCTGAAAGTTTTTTGGGACTCAGGGATTTTACAGCCCAGGCATTACAAGGAATCCTGTTGACGAATGTTCCATCCTCACAGGCCCCTGCGCCTGTATAGGGATGTGATTTACACTATGACTGAAGGGGGGGGGAATGTTTTTTTTCTTCGATTCATTTTATTTTTGTATTGTATATGATGTTGGGTTTTTCACATTTCTCGCAAAGGGGTGGCCTCCCGTACAGTAGGTGTTCTTGTATGTACTGAAAAACCTTTTGTTTAATTTATGTATACTTTTGTTAACATTGATGTTTGTTTACCGTTTTAAAAGAAGTGCTTAATTTGGATTTACTGTTAGTAAATGCACCTTTAACGTTTATTTGCAGGCCGCCATAATACCAGAGAACAAAAAGAAGAATGTTCGGTTTGCTCCTAGCAGAACTCGGCTAGGCGAAGCGAACGTATGGTCCTTGCACACTCCCTTAAAAACTAGAAAAAAGCGGCAATATTACTGTTTGTCCCTCTTGAGACGCTGTAGCAGCAACATAGCCACTTCCTCAAAATAGTCAGAATAAATCAAAGATAAATCAAGGCATTTGTAATACATTTGTACATTTTGGAAGAGGAGGGCTTAGTCACGCAATTTTACATTAACTAAGATGTTTGGTGCAGTATTTCTCAAGTGAAAAAATGTGTATAAAAACTAGTTGTCTCTCGTTGAATGACAACAAACACTTTATTGAAGAATCCCGTCCATAGTTCCCATCGCTACTAGATGTAGTACTGTTGACCTATCACCGACGAAGGGGTGTAGACTTCGGTTACCAAACTTTGACCTGCCCCAAGAAAACATTTAGTGTGCGCGCACAGACAAACAAAACCCTGCCGAACACCAAAATGGACAAAACGTCACAAAATGTAGTCATAATATATGTGCAAACTGTTTTGACTGGGAAGCATGCGACAGGCTTTAGAGAGCACATTATCTCAGCGGTGCCAACACCAGGCTGGCACGTAGCCCTGGGGTCAATCAAGTAAACGTCAGCGGTAAGCCATCTATACTGAGTGACCTCTCTGTACCTGTGTGGCACGCATATGGGCATGCCATTGGGCTGGACACTGACCAGCAAAGAAGCTTGGGTCAAGTGTCAAAGGGCAACTCTTAGGCTACTCTGTAGAGCTAAGGATTTGTCGATGACATGCTCGGCTATAAACCCAAAGAAGAGATTTCAGTGTCTGAGATGCATACACTGTAAGTATCATCCTAACTGTATGTATCATGTTAACCTTCCAAACTCCAAAACCCATGATGCCCTGTAATATCACCTATACTATGGCCTTTTCTCATTTGGGCAAAAGTCCATTCTCCACCCTCTCTCCTCCGTCCTCTCTCATCTGTGATCTGAAAAGGAAGGCCCTCAAAATTGTCAAAGACTCCAGCAACCCTAGTCATAGACTGTTCTCTCTGCTACCGCACGGCAAGCGGTACCGGAGTGCCAAGTCTAGGTCCAAAAGACTTCTCAACAGCTTCTACCCCCAAGCCATAAGACTCCTGAACAGCTAATCATGGCTACCTGAACTATTTGCACTACAACCCCCACCCCCACCACATATTTTTACGCTGCTGCTACTCTGTTAATGATTTATGCATAGTCACATTAACTCTACCCACATGTACATATTACCTCAACTACCTCAACTAGCCGGTGCCCCCGCACATTGACTCTGCACTGGTACCCCCCTGTATATAGCCTCCCTACTGTTATTTTATTTTTCCAACACTTTTTTGTTGTTGTTTTATTTCACTTTTTTTTATAAAAAAATTAATGCATTGTTGGATAAGGGCTGTAAGTAAGCATTTCACTGTAATGTCTACACCTGTTGTATTCGGCGCATGTGGCCAATAACATTTGATTTGATTTGAAAACTGTGCCAATTCGTTAGTAGGCAAATGGAAGTGTCCTCCCATACGCGATAGCCACCTTTCATCGAGGATAGTCATGTGTATCCTACCTGAGTCATTCACTGAAGTTTGTAAATCCGCCACCCCCCCTTTGAAGCAGCAGACGTCTAAAAACAATATGCTCCTTATCGTTTTATCTATATTTTGTTTTTATCACTTTGTACATTTAATTTGGCATCCACCACTATAAATGTAATTTGCCTAATGGAGGAGTCTCATTTCATACAAGGATATTTTTCATCCACGTTCCCTCTCCTCGCCGCCTCTCCTCGATTACCTTTGACCTTTTTCAAAAGGAGGCGAGAGAGGACTGAGGAGAGAGGACACACAAGCAAATCCAATTGAGAAAAGGCCTATGATAGGGTGCTCTATAGAGTTAGGGATGATTCCCATGCCCTTTAGTCAAGACACAGAGCAAAGTGCAAGGCCCTTACAGGGCCAAGCCACTTAAAACCCACTGATAAGTGACTTTCCTTAGCTCCTCTCAGGTTGAAGTCAGGATTTGATACAGTCGGACACATGAGGATGACTCAGAGTTTCGCATAGACATATATGGAACCTATGGAGCATATTCACAGATATCTGAGTGACAAATTCGAAATTGCGATTTGATCCATAGTACCTCTTAGGTGGCCAGCTCAGGAACACTGACAGTGTGTGGGCCATGGACACCCTGCAAATCAAATAATGTTTTCTAAATGTTATTAGAGGTTATTATTATGTTTTTCTAAACGTTGTTTGAAGGTTATGGGTTGAGTTCTGGTGCATCCCAGATCTCTTACCTGGAAGTGGGGGGTGGTGAGGAGGTTCCTGAGCTCTACACCCTCCTCCTGGTGACTGGACTGTAGGATGTATTGCACCTTGAAAGAGAGAGGGGGGAGAGGAGGGAGAGAGGGGGAGGGAAGGAAGGGGGGAGAGAGCGCGGTGAGGGGGAAGAGGATGGAAAGAAGGAGAGAGGGGAGGGAATGATAGGAAGAAAGGAAAATAGAGGAGGAGAGAGTCAGAGAGAGAAAGAGAGGATGGGATGGTAAGGAAGAGAGAGAGAGGGAGAGAGAGAAGGAGAGACAGAGAGAGAGAGGAAAGTAGGGGTCAGGTTATGGTAAGCTGTATAAGTACCACTAAGTAAGTAGCATTTGTCATCTGGAATCGTCATACAGTTCAAAGTGTGCATGAGCTAATAACATCACCAGCCAGGAACCAGTAGGGACACGGCCATCTTGAATACTCCTTGAGGCTCTATGTGTGATTTAACATCACAGTTGAATCATACAACTTCCTGAACACTAGTCATGGGTTGAAGAATCACCACGTCCTCAATATAGCCAAGGCTTTAGTCATTACTCAGAAACTCAGACTTCTTAGTAAATAATTGTTAAAACCACTGATGGTTCATCCCGCTATGCTTGCCATTGTGTAGCGTTATGACTGAGGGCTCATGCTATCAGATGTATTTTGTCCTCATATGAAGGCCATAACAGTAAATATGTTTGCCTCATAATTGAGGGCGTTTCAATCTGGTCATGTCAAACTGCCATTCTGCTGTTAACATAATCAATTGGATTCCTCCACACAGACAGACACACACGCACACACACACACACCACACACACACACACACACACACACACACACACACACACACACACACACACACACACACACACACACACACACACACACACACACACACACACACACACACACACACACACACACACACACACACACACACACAGAGAGAGAGAGTTGGCTGCTCTCCAATAAGTCACAGTGGGGTTTCACATTCCAGACAGGAAAGTCACTCTACTGTAACGGGACTAAGTCTCCATCCCAAATGGCACCCTATCCCCTAGTGCACTACTTTTGACTAGAGCCCATAGGGCTCTGGTCAAAAGTAGTGTACTATATAGGGGATAGGTTGTCACTTGAGACTGACTCTTATTCTGCTCTCTGGCTGTAGCTTTGGAAAATAAAGACACTGACATGTGAGGTCAAATAGAAGCATGAGAAGTTGGTTATACTGTCATCACATTAGTGCTTCTACAGTATGTCTTTTAAGAACTTCATAGCACCCAGAACTATCACAATCCACAAATTCCTTCTTCATCATCATAGAAAAAAAACTGCACATTTCAAAAAGAGAATCCCCAATCGTCTCTTTCTCTCTTCCCTTGTATTCTCCTCCTCCCTCCTCCCCCTCTTCTCCATCTCCCTCTATCCTGGTCCCTGGCTCTAGCTTAGCTCATCCATTAAACTAATCAAAGGTCTCGGTAACGAGGTGACGCACTTTCCCCTCCCCTCTCCCAGCCCTCCTCTCCTCCATCCCTCCAGCCTTTGCCCCTCTAGCCTGTAAGCCGCTGGAGTTTCTTTTTCTGGCCACGGCAGTTCAGATCCCCAGCCACTTCCTGCCAGGCCCAGGGGCTGCAGGGAGATTAGCTCGCCCTGAGGGCCAATCAGGGAGTCCCACGGCACCAGCCACTTAGTTTAGACACACAGTCCACCTGCTCAAACTATTACCACCTTGCTAAGTATCTCCTGGCGCTGTGCCTGCTGCTCTGGGCGAGTGTATACATCTACAGTGGATTGCGAAAGTATTCACCCCCCTTGGCATTTTTCCTATTTTGTTGCCTTACAACCTGGAATTAAGCATTAATTTTGGGGGGGTTTGTATCATTTGATCTACACAACATGCCTACCACTTTGAAGATGCACATTTTTTTGTCTTGTGGAACAAACAACAAATAAGACAAAAAAACTGAAAACTTGAGCGTGCATAACTATTCACCCCCCAAAAGTCAATACTTTGTAGAGCCACCTTTTGCAGCATTTACAGCTGCAAGTCTCTTGGGGTATGTCTCTATAAGCTTGGCACATCTAGCCACTGGGATTTTTTGCCCATTCTTCAAGGCAAAACTGCTCCAGCTCCTTCAAGTTGGATGGGTTCTGCTGGTGTACAGCAATCTTTAAGTCATACCACAGATTCTCAATTGGATTGAGGTCTGGGCTTTGACTAGGCCATTCCAAGACATTTAAATGTTTCCCCTTAAACCACTCGAGTGTTGCTTTAGCAGTATGCTTAGGGTCATTGTCCTGCTGGAAGGTGAACCTCCGTCCCAGTCTCAAATCTCTAGAAGACTGAAACAGGTTTCCCTCAAGAATTTCCCTGTATTTAGCGCCATCCATCATTCCTTCAATTCTGACCAGTTTCCCAGTCCCTGCTGATGAAAAACATCCCCCCAGCATGATGCTGCCACCACCATGTTTCACTGTGGGGATGGTGTTCTCGGGGTGATGAGAGGTGTTGGGTTTGCGCCAGACATAGCGTTTTCCTTGATGGCCAAAAAGCTCAATTTTAGTCTCATCAGACCAGAACACCTCCAATCGTGTTTGCTTATTTTTTTCCTTTAAGCAATGGCTTTTTTCTGGCCACTCTTCCGTAAAGCCCAGCTCTGTGGAGTGTATGGCTTAAAGTAATCCTACGGACAGATACTCCAATCTCCGCTGTGGAGCTTTGCAGCTCCTTCAGGGTTATCTTTGGTCTCTTTGTTGCCTCTCTGATTAATGCCCTCCTTGCCTGGTCCGTGAGTTTTGGTGGGTGGCCCTCTCTTGGCAGGATTGTTTTGGTGCCATATTCTTTCCATTTTTTAATAATGTATTTAATGGTGCTCCGTGGGATGTTCAAAGTTTCAGATATTTTTTTATAACCCAACCCTGATCTGTACTTCTCCACAACGTTGTCCCTGACCTGTTTGGAGAGCTCCTTGATCTTCATGGTGCCGCTTGCTTGGTGGTGCCCCTTGCTTAGTGGTGTTGCAGACTGGGGAAGACTGGAGCCTTTCAGAACAGGTGTATATATACTGAGATCATGTGACAGATCATGTGACACTTAGATTGCACACAGGTGGACTTTATTTAACTAATTATGTGACTTCTGAAGGTAATTGGTAGCACCAGACCTTATTTAGGGGCTTCATAGCAAATATGCACGCACCACTTTTCTGTTATAAATTTTTTTGAATTCTTTGAAACAAGTTATTTTTTTCATTTCACTTCACCAATTTGGACTATTTTGTGTATGTCCATTACATGAAATCCAAATAAGAATCAATTTAAATTACAGGTTGTAATGAAACAAAATAGGAAAAACGCCAAAGGGGATGAATACTCTTGCAAGGCACTGTATTTACTGTACGCACAGAGATGGTGTGTGTGTGAGAGAGATCATCATCGCACTGATCGAGGCCCTCAAGCCTAGCCTACGACCTCTTCCTTAATGTCATCACCACATCACAAGAGTGATGGTACTGATGTGTTACACACAGTGCTCTCCAACTGAACCCTACCAGCCTAAAGCGGTCTCTTTGTCAGTTATCATATTGTAACTGTTTGACAGCCAGCTTTCCTATAGAAATTAAGACCAGGGTGCAAATAGTATTTGTTTTCATTCAAACGCTTAAGTGTTTAAATGATCCTGCCACGGAGTGCCAAATGGGCGAAGTTTGCACTTTTGGGACTATTCCATTGATTCCAATGCGCCAGGCAAGCTCGATCAAGCACAGCTAAATAATTTGGAAGAAAAGTGAATACTATTTGAACCCCGATTTGAACCCCGATCTGAATCAATTCCATAATGTCATATTAGTAGTGGACATCAATCCTGATGACTTGTATTTTCAAACGACATACAGTATAGCTAGATCAACTCATTCTCTCAAGACTGCAGCATGACTGGCTATATGACAGACTATGTGGCTGTATAGACCAATGAATTATGCAATTGCATCTGAATACACAAATTGGAAAGGTCCAGTGGAGCCATTGGCCAGTCTTCAGATAGCTCAGGGTGCACGTCCACATCTGAGTTTATGTTACTCTGTCATCTTGGTAGTGAGTAGCACAACTCCCAGCAGGGATACGTTGCGAGGTGTTCAATGGTGATGTCATAGAGGCAAGAAACAACAAGTGAGAGGGGGAATTCAGGGTTGTGGTTAGATGGAATACAGCTATGGACCAAAAGTTGCATGTTTGAATCACGTCAGGGACAACTGTAGAATTTAAGCTAACCCTAACGCTTTTCCTAACCTTAAACTAATTATCCTATCCTGCAACATTAATTATCTTAACCTGCTGCGTTAGTTCTCCTTTACCTGCTACTTAAAGTCACTTCTGTCTGTAGCTGTACCCCATCTAGCCAAAACCGGAAAATCCAGTTTCAACACACCAAGGTCAGTGCCAAGGATAATTTTGTCCCTGGCACCATTTACCCTCCTTTCTTTAAGTTTCTCTGTCACCATCCTCTCATCCTCATCCTTATCTCCTTCCATCCATCTCTCTCTCCACTTCTCTTCCCTACCCTGCTGTACTGTTCTTCCTTGCCCAACATATCTCCTTAACCCACCTTCCCATATTCTTATCTCCATCTGTTCATCCCCAAGATCCTCTTCTCCCTTCTCCCAACACTTCTCCACCTCCTTCCTAACACCTTCCCTTCTTCCTCCTCTTTTCTCCCCCCTACCTCCTGGTGAAAAAAGATCCACTGAATTTCTAGAGCCATCCAGATCGCTAGTCTGCTGGAGTTTCTTTTCTATTTCACTCTACCTCCTGATAAAGGCTGCGGGCCTGGGCGGTGAGGGGCAAGGGCGGGCTGCCGCGCGGCTGCATCTGCTGGGACACGGCGCTGTGGATGGCGAAGGCACTCTGGAAGTCCTCCTTGCGCAGCAGGCCCAGCACCAGGGCCACGTCGGCCTGCGACTGGGCGTCCACCAGGCAGCTCTGCACCCGCCGCAGGGCCTCCAGCAGCTCCTCCAGCTCTGGGGAGGGGAGAGGGAGGGAGAGAGACAAAGAGGTTGGTTAGGTTCAGTTGCCTAATTTCTAGGATCACTCGATTTCTGTGCGAGCCCTTGCTTACTAGTGCCAGAGAGAGAGGCTTAAAACCGAGAGACTCAACATGCAGTTACTTCCTGTAATGCCCGTGACCCTAAAGATTCAGACCACCGTCAATGGGAAAGTGGCAAATTCGTCCACAAGGTTTTTTCTGAAGGTAATCGCATGTCTCTGTTTCAAACCTCTCTGGCGCTAGCAAGCACTGGCTCGCATGGAGACAGCATGGTTATGTGAAAACCATGCTACTAATGGGATACTGTCATGGCAAAGTCAATTCAGGTGCCAAACCCTGCTTGGGTTGCGCAACTGTGGGCTTCTGCACTACCCAGACAGGATTTGGCATCTGCATCAAGTTTGGCATGAAGGTACCACCTCCGTATAACAACTCTGAGGAGCACAGAGACAGCACCAGGGGAAAGGGAGGGTAAAGCCTTTCTTACACAGCCCAATTTATTGTTATGAACCAGCAGCTGGTCTGTTTAAGTGACCAGGTGCATGGATTACCGATTAAGACAGTTTACCTGATTAATGTTATATCTATCTAGATTAATGTTATCAAGATAGTGATCTCATCATGGGGGTATACCTGAGATTAGAAGAAGCAGGGAGGGTGTATGTGTGTGTGTGTGGGCCATTTAGTGAATATGGGACCAAATACTAAACGTTTTACTACTTTAATACACATATACTGTAAGTGAATTTGTCCAGATACTTATGAAACCTTCAAATGGGGGGACAAGATACATTAAGTGCTTTCATTTCTAAACGGTAAAACAGATATGTATGAAAATACACTCAAATAAAAGTACATTCTGTACTGTCACCTCATATGAAACATTTGATCTCAAATCCAAAATGCTGGAGTGTAGAGCCAAATTAAACGTTTTAGCGTCACTGTCCAAATAAATAAGTAGGGGAGTGTATGCCCATGTTGAGTGTGTGTGTGTGTGTGTTTGAAAAGACGGTGCAGATATAGGGTTACATTTTATAAATGGTCTATATGGGCACTTCAGGCAGACTTGAGTTTTAGGCTCACAAGAGTCTGCTAAAACTGGTCAGCAGCAATAATATCTTCCACAGCCTACTGTCTCCTCTAAATCTAGCCAACTGACACAAAAGCAAATTCTCTGATGGAAATTGTATTTAACTGAACTAGTTCATATCACAAAATATATTAAGATCACTTAGTATGATTGACAACCACCCTCCAACGAAGCCGAAAGTTTTCAAGCCTACGCAGGAATGAGAACACCTCCGACAAAAAACGGACTACCAAACCAAAGTGTTTAACTCCAAATGAATCCATCCTCTTTCCCAGAGGCGAGGGGGAGTGAGTGACTTCAATGTGACTAAATGGAGGGTGCCTCTCCATTGACATTCACTTCTGATCCCCCATTCTCCACCAATGCCCCTCGCTCAGCCCCCTCCCTACACATTGTTCTGGCTCTTTGTTTCACAGAAGTGTCTCCTTCTCACAGAGCTACCCCTCGCCTCCATCTCCCCCACTTCCTTCCTTCAGTCCCTCACGACCCTACTCACCCACAGCCGTGTCCCCACCAAGCAGGGGGCTCCCATCCTTGGCCTCCTTGCTCGCCTCAGGCGCTTCGAACGTGGGGTTGTCGATACCCGTCTTGGCTGGGTTCTGGGCCAGCTTCTTGAGCCTGAGTGAGGCATTGAGATCGATCTCATGCTTCCCTTTGTTGGCCTCCTCCTCTCTCTTCCTCCTCAGCTCTTCCTGGTACAACTGGATCTTCTCCATCTGGGCGCTGCAGCGGGTACCCTGCCCAATGTTGCTCCTGGTCCCCACCGCCTTGTCCCCAGGGGGGCAGTCCACTGCCCTCTCCCTCTGCTGCAGCTTGGCTCCACTCCCAAGACCCTCCGTGCCACTCACAGGCCCCATTGGGTCCTCTGTTACATATCCGGGTCCTCCGTTCATGTGGGAAGTGATCATCCCTGCTCCGGGAGTCTGACCCTGGCCTGGCCCTGGCCCAACCCCGTATGTGATGATAGCTCAATGTCCACTATGAAGGCCTGAGGCTAGGACTCCTCACTGCAGCAGGGGCCATAGCACTTCAGTTGGGACGGCTCGTCTGTCTTCAGTGGGGCAGCAGGTCCTGAAACACATAATCAGGATAGAGCAGCAAGGTTACCAGTGTTTTAGTCTTGTGAGCCTTATATGACAATAATAGCCAACCCGGTTGCTTCACCCTGATCTTTGTTAATCACCTACCTTACTACAAGAACCACCATTTTCTCATTCCTCCTACCAGGTTTCCTATCACCAGAAGAGCTAATCTAACTCCTAACATGGCAACCTCCCTGACCTGCCTCACTTTGCCTGCTGCAATCCCTTGAGTCCAGTAGGTTCATCCACCCAGGTCTGTCACTCTGTCCCCAGCCGGCCTTGCCAGAGTATCTCTCCTTCATCTAATACCCGCTTAGCACTTAACTCTTTGCTCTCTGGGTCCATCAGGATGATCTTATCCATCTACAGCCATAATAGGGATACAAAATGTGACAATAAGTGTAGGATATTGCACACAACCAGTACCGTTATACTACGGGTATACAACCAACCTGATCTGCTATTGCTGCTGTAGATTACAATCTTTTTGAAGGACGTTACCCAGTATAAATCTGGATTAGCCAACTTTGGTTGTATGACTATTAGATGTTCACTCTCTTGGGAAATAGACAACTGAACATCAAGTTATTTTTACAGGGCCAAATGTGAGTCTTTTTTTCTTCAGAAAGAGATGAGAATGGATGAGGAGAAAACGCTTTGTGTGTGAGGGACAAAGTACAGTATTTCAGGATGTCTAGAACTAACATGACAAAAAGGAAACCCAGTAAAAGGGCATGAACAGGAAATAACATGAGAATGTCATCAATGTAATAACTAAAGATTTTCTTGGACATTTCTCAGCATTTTCTTGGACAGAAACCTCGGAGGATGCTGTCAGAGATGCAGCCAGCCACAACATACACACATGACACGTCCCACATGGTAACCCTTCCTAACCCCCTCACCAGCTAATCATGTCTGGCAGGTCTACTCTCTCTCACCCCCGTACCCCTCCCCCTGATACTCTAGCCCCCTTCCCCCCTCCTGTATCTGGGCATTTAGCCCCGTTTAGAGCGCGGTGAGGCTGACAAACAGTACAGACAGCCACAGTGAGCCACCAAGACCATCTGTTTCTCTGTTCCTCTCCTGTGGGGTTGGTTAAGCCTGGGGAAGAGGGATCTCCTGGTTTACTATACTTCCTCCAGGCTTCAGCTCTGTCAGCAGCGTGAGACTGAGGAGAGATCTGGGAGCTGGCATTGGTTCTGATGAGATGACTGTATGTAAATTCAACTTTGAATGTACACACACACACTTTGCAGGGGTAACTGTATCCAAATGTAGGCCTAAGTAGGATTATCTTCACTCAGAAGTGTATAAAGTGTATAAAATCAGTTCACTAACTGTAAGCTTTAGACTAGACTGTAGGGCTCAGGGGTCATCTGGCTTTAACTACACTAGATCATAGCTAATTGATTCATTGAGGACGTTGATAAGAGGTGCCCCTCTAGGTAAACAGGTACAAATTGGTGGCTAATTAAATACTGTTCCTTACAGCTGGTGGCTAGACTACTCTTCAGAGTGACTGTCTGTGTCCCAAATGGCACCCTATTCCCTATATAGTGAACTACCTTTGACCAGAGTTATGGGCTCTGCTCAAAAGTAGTGCATTATATAGGGAATAGGGTGCCATTTGGGATGCAGCAACTGTCTATAGCCCTGTTTATCCCTGGTGCCAACATGGGTCTGTTGTCCTGATCTTGTCTACATTCTGATTGTGCCCACATTACCAGAAATGGGTCTACACATGGTATTTAAATGTGTCTGTTATCTGTCCACTCTGTATGCATTGTGAACTGATTTCCTGGTCCCTTCCTTTATGCAAATTATTTCACAGCTATTCTTTCCAAAATAATATTCATTTATTCATTGTAAGACATATATTGATGTAATCAAACAATGGTGCCACCTGTCAATGATTTTAGAGGGTGGAATAATCATGATTTAAATGGTTTCTCTAGCCCTGTTTATACCGGTGTTCTAACATGTAGACTTTGTCCTGATCTTGTCCACATTTTGATTGTGCCCACATTTTTTGACAAGTGTAGAAGATTAAAAGACGCATTGTGATCTTATTGTGATCAGATCTTATAAGTGTAAACAGACAAGATCAGGTCAAGATCAGGACAAGATCAGGACGAATGACGCATGTTAACGGCAGGTATAAACAGGGCTTTTGTCCTGATCTGTCTACACTTCTAAGATATCCAGACACAATGTGCCTGACTTCTTCTGGAGTCAGATCACAATGTGTGTTTTGATTGTCTAAACCCTTCTGAAAATGTGGGCTTCTGTTCACAGGACTATGCCCTGGAGTCAATTGTACAACTCTGTTTTGAATGTCTTTAAATGTCAGGTGGACTCATAAGTCAAAAGGGTGCCGAAATAGGAAAGGTTTTTACATTTGGTCTGGACAATGTAGATATATAGAAATGTATAGAAGTTATGCAACAGCAGGACAGCCATGTGCTCTTACAAAAAAAGTAAGTTATTGTTAGACCTAGAGGTTTGTTTCACTGCTGGCAAAAGCAAAACCTATTAAATGTCTAGTAGTGGGGCTAATACTAGGAGCAAAAAAAATATTGTTACATAATGGAACTACATAGTAACAAAGTTAATGCAACAAATATAGACTACATTTGGAGTGCAGATCTGTCATGTAAAGTTTTAATTGTGATAAACATCCACTTAAATTGTGAAATATAGCAATATTTAAATTGATGCATTTGATTTTGGTGTTTGTGATTTTCTTTATAGAATAGTTGGAATACCGTAGGCGGCAAACATTCCACACCATACAGTCATTGCATTCTACACACACACTAAAGAGAGCGCTGATCCTGTTGGCCAAGTTAGTATGCAATGAATGTTTCGAGAGTAGTCAATCGATCGGACTCAACAGTCTCACTACACAGAGAAGTCTACTCACCGCTTCCAAGTCTTTACAGAAGAAGTAATCCCGTAATATGCGATAGTTCTGAAATGTCGGTTCTATTGCGTACATAACATTTCCAAGATGCGTAGCTTTAACGTCTTTATTCTTCGGGCTGGTCTCTCGTGATCGTACTTAGCCGGTCTGTGACGAGTTGGGACAGCTCACATCATTGTGGTGTAACTGCGCATGGTGTTTGGGCATCTCCCAGGCAACTCCACAGCGCCACTCAGTTGACCATTTAAATGGTCATGCGCCAAAGTGTTCACCTATCCATAGCCTGAGATACCTTGACATCCTATTCCCCAAATAATGCACTAGGCTACTTTTAGCAGGATAAATACATAAAGGGTAAATATTACAAAAAGAAGACTTTGGTCAGAATTAGTGGAGTTATGGAGAATAGACTGTGCACCTCACGATCATACATTACTAGTAGAATGATATTGTCATTTCACCTGCCAGTGTGCATGAAGTCAATGAAAAGGACCAAATGCAATTGAATGCACTATGTACACCATTTATATATTATTTGTGAAGCATTTATGTAGTGCTTATGAAGCATTTAGGTATGCTATATAAAGCTTTTACAAGATGTACTTAGTGGGACCGAAAAAGGAAGCAATTAATGATTCTAGGTACAGCCAGTCAGCGGCACCTGCACAGTATATGTCTGCCCACAGACAGCTTCAGAAGTATTTCCACTGTATTTTCTATGAGGGTAATCCGCTCTCATCTCAGTGACACGTGTGCTTAACCGATCTTTCAATGGCCTAGGCTTCTTCATATAGGCTACGTCAGGAGGCAGGAAATTCAGGGCCCATATTCATAAAGCGTCATAGTGTAGCAGTGCTGATCTAGGAATATAATCTGAATGGCAAAACTGATCCTAGATCAGTACTCCTACTCTGAGACACTTCATGAATACAGGCTCAGGAACTGGTAATAAATACATTGATCATGTTAATGGACCACCCTAAAACAAGGTGTTACTGCATGCATCAAAGAGGAAAATCACTTTTTTTCTTTGAATAGATTTTATTAATAAAAGGAAACCCAACAATACCTTATTTTTTTACATAATGATCAAGGATTTTTATTATCGTAGTCTCTTTCATCAGTTTCATATCATTACAGAAAATGTATTATAGTACAGCGTTGATCAATGTCTCTTCATTGCTTAATAATAATAATTTCCTTAGGAGTGCTGGTCACATATATCTGTACGATATGGTTCATCTTCTTCGTATTTTTTTTGATCTGTACATTTTTTTGTGAAGTCAGTTAAAAAGGCTGTCAGCACTTAAAGAAGCTGTTTCTTTTCTTTCATGTTTTTTCCCCCTTACTCTTAGTCAATCTAAGGGTGGGGTGGGGGGGGGGGGGGGGGGGGGGGGGAGTTCGGGCAGAGTTGCACCTGGTCAGATGATAAATAAGGAAGCTTCAGGGTCTGGGCAGGTTGGGCAGGTTGGTGGGTGACTGTCCGCCCCCCCCCCCTCTCTCCCAGCACCACTATCATCCCTGCCCAGGCATTTGGCACTGCGCACATAAACAAGACTCACAAGATAAACAACAAGCAAAGCTCTTTGTGAAGCCATTATGATGCATACTAACGAGAGAAAAATAGAAGTGTGTGGTGTCACCGTTAAAGCGTCACACCACAGAGGAAGTAGACCTAGATTATGCCCTCCCCTCCTTCCTCTTAGCCGAGCACCGTGGGAAATCTGGAGTCTTCCTCAGTGTTTTTCTTCATATAGATATAAAAAAAGTTTTTTCCCCCACTAAAGATGAGAAAATAATATATATATATATTTTTTTTGTCCTGGCAGGCACCTACAGCTCTATTAAAATGCTACCGCTATCGATAAGATCTAGCATTGAACACACAAAGCAATTCCAATGAAAGGAATAAAGTTGTCTTATAATATAATAATGATAATAAGAAGAATAATGATAACAATAATAAGAATAATCATAATAATATATTACAGAATAAATCTCTTTTTATAATTAGATTTTTTTCTTTAAAAGTTATATTTTTCTTTGTCTGAAATACTATTATAATCTTTTTAAAGTAATAATATATTTTTTAAAATCATATGTACCTAGGTTTGTGATCGAGATGTTGACTATACCTCAACGTTATCCAAATCAATAAAAACTAGCTGTGCCGTTGCATATTACAGAATAGTCGATGATATGTGGACATGCACCGTGAAACACCCATTTGAACCCTCTCTCTCTCTATGAATCCATCTTGACGTCCCCCTTTGATGACATCATAGCCGGCCGATGACCATGACGTCGACCACCTCTCCCTTGTGCAGCTCCACATATTGCTCTGTTTTTGGAGGTAGCATCAGGAGACCATTGGCGCTGCGCATGCTCATCAGCCTGCTGCTCACCTGGTTACCTACAGGATGGAGGAAGGAAAGGATCGGGAGGAAAGGAGGGAGGAAGGGATGGACAGGGAGGGAGGAAATGAGGATAGAGAAAGAGAGGGAGGGTGAGAATACATGCACTTTAGGCCCTAACCAACCACACAAGTCCAGGAGGATCCAACCCATGACAGTCAGGATGACCTCGGTACCACACCATTCAATGAGTGAGAGGCTACTAATACCACACAATCTAATTGTAGCTCTTTATACTCTTGAGCTGTACAGTATACTGAATCAATTAGGCACTACATGCAATACTAACCAGTGAAAATGCTTTGTTAGATTAGAGGACTGTAGCTAACCCCTGTACAATTGCCCATGAACAAAATCAATGAACAGTCCATTGATAGTCCGTTATAAAGCCTGTGACTACACATGCAGTATAATATAGCAGTGTATCGCTCTGTATAGCAGTGCACAATAAAACAGAACAGAATAGAATGGTATTCCATCAGTACCTGTGCTCTGGGCCCATGGCAGAGGCTCCTGGTGGTGCCATGTCAGAATACAGCGGTGGTACTCAGGGCGAGGATCCAACTTTACGTCACATGACAACTACGAGACAACCACAAAATCAACATGGCTCACAATGATGACCTTGCATACTCACAGGGGTTGTGTCCCACTAATACAATAATATATGCAATTTAGCAGTCACTTTTATCCAAAGCAATTTACAGTCATGGGTGCATACATTTTACACACAGGTGGTCCAGAGAATCGAAACCCACTATCCTGCCGTTGCAAGCACCATGCTCTACCAATTGAGCTACAGAGGATCACAACCATCCATCCATCCATAAGCTCTCCTTCCTCCTGTGTGAACTTGTTCACTACTCCCAACAAATCCATGAAAGGAAGTGAACAAGTGTACACTTCAGGAGTAAAGACAGATTATTTGGACGCAAAAGTGTCAACGCTCATAGGTGGGGCCGAATTTATAACAGTTGCATAAATTTCACACTAAAAATCTGCATGTGCCATTTCTGAAAAGAGTACCTACGTCAAAAAATTTAGATATTTAAAACTTGGCACACGCTTCCCGTTATAAATCAGATCTGTTGTAAAACTGTGTGCGCCTGAACAAGCATTATAACTCCACCTGGAAAATGCCCTCCATTCACCTTTTATGGTGAAAATAACACCATTTTGCAGTAGAATTTGGAACTATTGGAATTAGGCAATGGCAGTTTCTAAAAGAAAGTGCAATGGCAAATTTGATCAAATGTTTTTGGAGGTGTTGAGAGAATGTCTTAATCTTTTGCAGTAACTTATGCTGTACTTGGCAAAGGACTGTGAAAGTTTCGGAAATAAAAAAACAATGGCAAATTGTTGTGGACCTGTCAGCAGAACATTTGAATTCAACAATGTTTCGCATTTACTTTTCCCCCAACCTAAATATGCTGGACTGAAACATTGTATAGGCTAGCCCTACTCAACAACAAAAAATAAAGTAGCATACTTCAATGTAAAAGATAATGTGTCGGTCTGTTAAATTTGACTGTGTAGCCTATTATAAACTGCACTGCCTATGGGATCACATGCAGCAAAACTTGAAATACACACCCTATCTATTTACTAGGCTACTAGGCCCAATTAAATGAGAGATGGGCATGGTATGTTGTTGTATGACAATATGAACTCATCACAGCCAGAAGAGGTGAGGAATTTATTCTGCAATGGTTATGAAAACAAATTAATAGGAAATAGATTTCTATGTCAAATTCTTTTAGATTCCAAAAATAAAACACATAGATAATCACTCTTATCACTAACGGCAAATGGCTCCTGTTTCATTTTTTACAATAATAATAATAATTATTAATAAGCATGTCATCATATCCCATATTTGCACAAAATACTTACTTGCCTGCTTGCAATACAATATATAAACCACTAGAAAATGTGCATACGCAGAGTATAAAGTTTGCGTGAAGCTGATCCTACTTCGAGGTACACGGGCTCTTTCTCGATTCCTTCTCAAAGCGCATTGGCGGAGAAGATCCAAGATTCCTCACCTCTGACCTTCTCCTCCAATTAATTTTGAGAGGAAGGCGAGATAGAGAACGCAAGCAATCGAGGTAAGACAAATTGAGAAAGATTCATGGAGTCCTGTGCCTTCTTACCCTGGCTTTGATGATGGTGGGCCGTGGGTCCAGGATCCCCTGCATCTTCCTTAAGGCAGGGATGACAAAGAGGTTACATGTCACCACAGCAGACACGGGATTACCTGGGCCGGAGGGGGGGGGTGGGGTGGGTGGGGTGGGGGGGTTGGGGGGGAGAGAGAGAAAGGAAGAGTGTGTTAGAAACCAGTCTGGAAACGAGTGTCTGATTCCCTCTTTCTCTTTACTTTACACACTACCTGGGAGGGCAAAGATGAGTTTGCGAGCACCGTCCATGTCCAAAGTGGCGAATGTTGTCGGGAGACTGAAAAGATGGGAGAAGAGAAGAACAACATGGTTGTTCAACGAACCATCCATCCACACATCCACCCAGCCACCCATCCATCCACCCATCCATCCATCCATCATACCCTGGTTTCATGAAGACTCGTCCAAAGTGGATCTGAGCATGCAGGTCAATATCCAGCACCTGTTTCAGATAGTCCTGAAAAAGAGGATCACACATTTTGGAGTCTACAAACGTACATATAAAAATTAACAAAAACATTCACCTTCTAGTTATAGTGTAGCTGTATCTAAAACCCAGATAAGTCTTGTGCACCACTGGGGTGTATTCATCAGGCACCAAACGGAAGACAACAGACTGAAACAGGAAGGGAGTACCTAGATTTAAATGTTCCATTGCAAAATGTTTTCGTTTTGGGCCCTAATGAATACGACCCTGTGCTGTGTGAGATAGATTGTAATTCTACATTTCTCCACACAATATTAACACCACAATTACATGTATGTAACATTTATGTCAAATTTATAGGTAACGAAATAGCTGTAAAAACTAACAATTCTGTCCTCCGAAGAGGGATGGGCAAATAATCAACCTGGTCTCAGAGCATTTCGTATTATTATGTAAGTAAATTTGAGATACTGAATTTTGAATGATATGTTACGTTTCGTATGGTATGTATTAATTCGTGGATGGCCATCACCCATTTCATATGATATATTACGAATTACCATTTGTATTATATGTTACGAATTTGCCAAAACATACGTTACGAATTAGAAAAAAGTATGATACGTTACGAATTCTAGCTAGGTGGCTAATGTTAGCTAGCTGGCTAACGTTAGCTAGGCTAGGTGTTAGGGTTAAGTGTAAAAGTTAGGTTAAAGGGTTAAGGTTAGGGGAAGGGTTAGCAAAAATTAGTATTATCTAAAAGTTGATAAAATGCTAAAGTTGTCCATAATGAGATTCAAACTCACAAGCTTTGGGTTTCTAGACATTCGCCTTATACTCCCATCCATCCATCCATCCATCTATCTGCTGCAACCAACCTACTTTCTTTTTTGATTTAAGAAACCATCTGTCTTATGTAAACAAACCAAACGTAACATATCATACTAATTTGTTACATCTAGTCTATGAGACCAGGCTGAAATAATATCTACTATATATATATTTAATCAATTCCCCATCCCAACCCCAAGGTGTCAACATAGAGCAATGTCATAACCAATGACCATTCATACTCACTATTTGCTCACATACCTTCTCTCCCATAGACACCCCTCCAGAGGTGATGATGACGTCAGCACGGCTGATGCCCTCGTTCAGGGCGTTCAGGAGGTCGTCTGGGCTGTGGGGCCGATAGACAGAGAACAGTTACCAGTTACCATCACACACCATAGAAGAGGAGAAGAGAAGAGGAGGAAAAGAAGGGGTAGAAAGAGGACTAGGAACAGGAATGAGAGTAGACAGAGAGGAAGAGGAGGAAAAGGAAGATGAACAGAAGTAGGAGGAACATCAAGAACAGGAAGAGGAGTGTGAAGTCCTACTTGTCTCCCACGATGCCCAGGTTGATGGTGGGGTATCCGTGCTCCTGGATGGTAGCGAGCAGCGTGGAGCGGTTACTATCCCTGATCTTCCCTGGATGGAGGTCGTCCTCTGGGTTCAACAGCTAGAGGCACCAGGGAAGTGTTCATTAGGCACCAAACGGAAAAAACTAACTGCAACAGGGAGGGACTACCTGGATTTGTCCAATAAGAAACACTGCTTTTTGGTTTCTGTTGCAAAATATTTTAATAATGACCCAGTGCAGCTGTTTTTATCTCAATATCAAATCATTTTTGGGTAACAATTAGGTAACTTGCTGTAATATTGGTCTATAAAAATTGCCAAAAATGAACACAATGTTCAATGTAAATAGTCCGGATGGCCATTTGATTAATTGTTCGGCAGTCTTATGGCTTGGGGGTAGAAGCTGTTAAGGAGCCTTTTGGTCCTATACTTGGTGCTCCGGTACCAGGTAGAACAGTCTATGACTTGGGTGACTGGAGTCTTTGACAATTCTTTGGGCTTTCCTCTGACACTGCCTAGTATATACAGTTGAAGTCGGAAGTTTACGTACACCTTAGCCAAATACATTTAAACTCAGTTTTTCACAATTCCTGACATTTAATCCTAGTAAAAATTCCCTGTCTTAGGTCAGTTAGGATCACCACTTTATTTTAAGAATGTGAAATGTCAGAATAATAGTAGAGAGAATGATTTATTTCAGCTTTTATTGCTTTCATCACATTCCCAGTGGGTCAGAAGTTTACATACACTCAATTAGTATTTGGTAGCATTGCCTTTAAATTGTTTGACTTGGGTCAAACGTTTCGGGTAGCCTTCCACAAGCTTCCCACAATAAGTTGGGTGAATTATGGCCCATTCCTCCTGACAGAGCTGGTGTAACTGAGTCAGGTTTGTAGGCCTCCTTGCTCTTACACGCTTTTTCAGTTCTGCTCACAAATGTTCTATAGGATTGAGGTCAAGGCTTTGTGATGGCCACTCCAATACCTTGACTTTGTTGTCCTTAAGCCATTTTGCCACAACTTTGGAAGTATGCTTGGGGTCATTGTCCATTTGGAAGACTAATTTGCGACCAAGCTTTAACTTCCTGACTGATGTCTTGAGATGTTGCTTCAATATATCCACATAATTTTCCTTCCTCATGATGCCATCTATTTTGTGAAGTGCACCAGTCCCTCCTGCAGCAAAGCACCCCCACAGCATGATGCTGCCACCCCTATGCTTCATGGTTGGGATGGTGTTCTTCAGCTTGCAAGCTACACCCTTTTTCCTCCAAACATAACGATGGTCATTATGGCCAAACAGTTCTATTTTTGTTTCATCAGACCAGAGGACATTTCTCCAAAAAGTACGATCTTTGTCCACATAGTCTGGCTTTTTTATGGCGGTTTTGGAGCAGTGGCTTCTTCCTTGCTGAGCGGCCATTCAGGTTATGTCGATATAGGACTCGTTTTACTGTGGGTATAGATACTTTTGTACCTGTTTCCTCCAGCATCTTCACAAAGGTCCTTTGCTGTTGTTCTGGGATTGATTTGTACTTTTTCGCACCAAAGTACGTTCATCTCTAGGAGATAGAACGCGTCTCCTTCCTGAGCGTTATGACGGCTGCGTGGTCCCATGGTGTTTATACTTGCATACTATTGTTTGTACAGATGAACGTGGTACCTATAGGCGTTTGGAAATTGCTCCTAAGGATGAACCAGACTTGTGGAGGTCTACAATTGTTTTATCTGAGGTCTTGGCTGATTTATTTTGATTTTCCCATGATGTCAAGCAAAGAGGCACTGAGTTCGAAGGTAGGCCTTGAAATACATCCACAGGTACACCTCCAATTGACTCAAATTATGTCAATTAGCCTATCAGAAGCTTCTAAAGCCATGACATCATTTTCTGGAATTTTCTAAGCTGTTTAAAGGCACAGTCAACTTAGTGTATGTCAACTTCTGACCCACTGGAATTGTGAAATAATCTGTCTGTAAACAATTGTTGTTAAAATTACTTGTGTCATGCACAAAATAGATGTCCTAACCGACTTGCCAAAACTATAGTTTGTTGACAAGAAATTTGTGGAATAGTTGAAAAACGAGTTTTAATGACTCCAACCTGAGTGTATGTAAACTTCTGACTTCAACTGTATAGGGCTATATCTCAATCTTTAACAGGATTATCTATTTTGGATGCTATTTGAATGGAATTGATGAGAGTGAAAAGAAGAGTGCTCACGCATGCTCTGATTTAAAGCAAAGATATTCGAGTGATAGGCTGTTTCAAAACTCTGCTGCTGCAATTAAAAAATAAGAATCTTTACATTCAAAAATTAAGGTGACCCCCGAAAGCCAGATGGAGATGTGTCAATTAGACCCGCATTCGGTCCTTATATTACTGTAGCATAGGCTATGCTGCAGCAAATGAAGGCCTACCTGTCACAATAAAAAAAGTAACCATGATGAGATGTCGGTCTACATGCATTGTGAACTGCACTCCATGCACTCCATGCGTGCATACACAAAAATGTATGCACGCATGACTGTAAGTCGCTTTGGATAAAAGCGTCTGCTAAATGGCATATTATTATTATTATTATTATTATTATACTGAAATGGGCTGTCTGTACCCACCATGAGCATTGATTATTGATCATGCAGAGAGCGGAGAGAAGGCCATAGAGAAGTCATATTTAGACATCTCATATAATTTAACAGTTCCACTTCATGTCATGCTGTTGATGTACCGGTTTCACGCAGTTATTTATCCCGGGAAAACGGAGTGGTTTTGGGTGGTAAATCTCAGTAACCGGGTTCCCGCCATTCAACCCTACCCTGGTGTCACCAGGCAAGTCAAACCTCCCCCCATGCAAAACCTGCTGATTAGAAAGTCCTGTGTAGATTGTATTTTCAACCAGCAACTATCAGGGAATAACACTGATTAAATGTTTTCACACTTTTACAATGTTAGTTTCATCAGCTGTTGATACAAAACAAAGGAAGAACAGAATTTTCACTGCACTGGGCCTTTAAAACATTGCATGCCCTTATGAACAGGAGCCTGGGTTGGTACAAGTCAGCACACTCCATACATGTACTGTTATGCCTGGGCAAAGTTGACTATCCGAATACAGTACTTTGAACAGCTTCCTTACCTCATGTCATTCCATCTATGATTAGGGCCTGGAGTTTGGGCTGACAACGGGACCTTACCAGGAAAAAACTTGAGGCCAAGAGTTTTTCCTGGACAGGTCACATGGTTGGGAAAAAGGGTGCTATTTATGGATAAAGAAGTGAAAGACCGATGGAGGACACCCCACTTAGACATGCCTTTGCTTAGTGATCCAACAGAAAAGGCATCGTGTAGAGGGTGCTATTGAAGAGGATTGGAACAGCCAATGTATGTGTGTGTGTGTGCGTGCGTGTATCTGTCTGTCTGTCTGTCTGCGTGTGTATGTCCGCCTGTCTCACCTCGTTGCCTGTGGACATGACAGCCACCACGGGGAACTTCTGCACCTCCACCTCAGTGACTCCTACGGTGGCCAACAGGCCAATCTCAGAGGGGCCCATGTGGGTTCCCTTAGACAGGACACACTCCCCACGCTTGATGTCATGACCTATGGGCCTGGAGAGAAGCAGAGATAGGGAGGGGATAGGATTCAGAGAGACACTGTTGAAACATATGTTCACACATTTTACAGACAAATAACTACAGACACTCACACACTTCATACAGAAAGATACCGTTGCATTTATTCCATTCCAGCCATTACTATGAGCCCGTCCTCCTATAGCTCCTCCCACCAGCCTCCACTGACGCACACGCGCACACACACCTGATGTCTTGTCCTGGACGGGCCTGTACGAGGATCCGCACCTCCAGCTCCTCGGTGCCCTGAGAAGGAGACAAGAGAAAACATTCTGTAAGGAGCCATCATCACAACCATCACCTTTACTACTGGCCCCTAGTCTACAAGACTCCCTCCCAACACTATTCTCTGTTCCTGGGTAATCAGCACAGCTGCTAAGCCTTCAGCAGCTAGATACTATACGTGATACTAGGCTTTGTCTAACCTTCGTAGAAGCCAAGCCCCATTGCCCCGGACCTAGACACTATATCCTGGTACTAGCCCAAGTCTTTTGTTGGAAGTTAGGCCCTATAGACCTTGGCCTAGTAAGTTCTATCTACTATATTGTCCCGGGTGTAGACCCTATATCCAGGTACTAGACAGACACTGCTATTCCCTTAGAAGAATCTAGGCCATATTCTCCCGGAACTAAACCCTGTCCCTCTTCACAGGGCTATTGGTCAGGGGTCAAAGGTGAGACTCACGTCCTCAGACTCGCGGAGCAGCTCTGTGTCCTCCACCTGCACCACAGCGTCCGCCCCACAGGGGATAGGAGCCCCCGTCGTCACTCTCATCACCTGGCCTGGCATCACTGTGTGGGTGGGCTGCAGGGAGAGAGAAAGAAAGAGACTGGTGTCAAATACGCACACACAACACATATGCAAATGAACGGACACACACTCGGACGTACACACACACTCCAAACGTAGAATGTCCCCCTAGGCTCTCTCAGAATCCGAAAGCATTGGAATGTGTCTAAGCGTAACATATTATTGTGTTGTCCAAACAATCACAGGCAGACACATAGCAACAGCACATCGCATCAGACATGCAGTTGGTGTATTAATGTGTCAGTGTGTTTGTGTGTGTGATATCGTGTATAATCAGCCCAGGTGGGCGGCCCACCTGCGATGGAGTGGGTTGCTGGGTAATTTAGTATGCTGAGTCAGTATTGTATCGCTACGCTACGGGGGCGTGTTTCTCACATGCACACACACACACTTCTCCTCTGAAGGAGTGTTTCACATCCACCTCCTCTGTCTAGCAGCCACGCAACAAGTGTATGTATGTGTGTGTTTCAATATTTCTCTACATGAAGGGGGGTTCCAGCCAGTTGCTTGTAGCTGTGTGTGTGTGTGTGTGTGTGTGTGTGTGTGTGTGTGTGTGTGTGTGTGTGTGTGTGCGGACCTGTTCTCCAGCCTGGGACTCTCCGATGATGAAACGGTCGCCTGGACCGTCAGCCGCTAAAAAATAAAACATAAAAAAATGTAATTACGTGCGTGTGTGTTTGTGTGTATATTCTGCTGCGTGTGTATCAATGTGTAATCAAAAATGTAATTACGTGCGTGTATGCTGTGTGTGTGTGTGTATCTACGGTATGTGTGTGAGTGCGTGACTGTGGAGGAGTGTCATTTAGTTGACTCGTGTTTCAGTGGGCAGTGCCTCCTGACTTCACAAACAGAAAGGGCATATCAGCACAAACAGAGAGGGATAGCGTGCCATGCACTGTTTTATATTCAGCAGTACAGTATAATATGACATAAGAGTGCTACAGTGTGTGTGTGTGTGTGTGTGTGTGTAGTGTAGGCTACATTGAAATACAGTACAATTGAATACATACCTCTTACAGCATAACCATCCTTGACAGAGGCGGGGAATGGGGGCAGGTTGTCTTTGGCATAAACGTCCTGAGCCAGGACTCGACCCATCCCATCTAGAGAGAGAGAGAGAATGGAGGGAGGAGAAGAGAGAGGGAGGAGGGGGAGGGAAAGAGGTAGGAAGGGAGAGACCGGGAGGGAGAATGAAAGAAAAAATAACGTAGAGGGAGAGAGGAAAAAGGACATGAGAGAGGGAGGGAAGGGAGTGGGAGAGGAGGGAGGGGAGAGAGGAGTGGGGGAGAGGGAAATGGGGAAAGGAGAGAGGGAGAGGGAGGGGGGAGGAGGGAGGGGGAGAGGTCGAGGGGGAGGGGGGAAGAGGGGTGGAGAGGGAGGGAGGGGGGAGAGGGGGGGGGGAGAGGAGGGGAGAGGGTGGGGGAGAGGGGAGGGAGGGAGAGGGAGGGAGAGGGAGGAGGTGAGGAGGGAGGGAGGGAGTGGGGAGAGGGAGGGAGTGGCGAGGAGGTGGGGGAGGCGGGTGGGAGGGGGAGTGGGAGCTAGGGATGTGGGGAGGAGAGGGAGTGGGGAGAGGGAGGGGGAGAGGAGGGAGGGGAGAGGGAGGAGTGGGGAGAGGGAGGGAGTGGGAGAGGGAGGGAGGGGGAGAGGAGTGGTGAGAGGGAGTGGTGAGAGGGAGGGAGTGGGGAGAGGGAGGGAGAGAGACAGGGAGAGTGAGTGGGGAGAGAGAGAGGGAGGGAGAGAGGGAGGCAGAGAGGACATCTGATTCAGATGAAGACACAGAGAGACATATGTGCGTGTTAGAGAGAGAGTGCGACACCTCTCATCAGTATCTCTGTGGGTGACTCACCACCTGACCAGAAAAGTGTGCACACACACACACACAAAATCAAACACACACACGCACACACACACACACACACACACACACACACTCATGCCCGCACACACTCGTGTGTGTGTATTTCTGTGATTACTAAGTGGGTATTGATGTTAAATCTGAGCTATGATATCAATGACTTACTGTACATGAGACGGAGAGCTGAGGAGCAGAACACACACACAGACACAAATACACACACAAGCACGCACATAAAAGTAGGTTCAAATAGTTTTTCAAATCTTTGAAATACCTGGAGTGCCAGATGTTGTGAGTGGATTTGCACTTTTGGGACTATTCAATTAATTGGTTGTGTTGTGCCAGGCAAGCTCAGACAAGCACACACACGGACCATGCCCCCCCCCCCCCCACCTACACACTCCTCCCCTCCCAACCAAAACCCCTCCCCCCAAAAAACACACCCTCTCCCTCTCCTCTCCATTCCTCCACCGGAACAAAAAACCCCTTCCCTCCTCTCCTATCTCCCCCACCACACAACATATCCTCACCAAACACCACTTCCTATCCTCTCCCACCACACACACCTCTACCTCCTCTCCCCTCCTCTCACCACCACCAAACCCCTCTCCTCAAAACACACCCTACATCCCTCCCAACACACACCCTCCCCTCCCACGGACTTCACAACCCATCGTACTATCCCCCACCAACACACCCCTCTTCCTCTCTCCTCTCCTATCCCCACCACACCTACCCCTCACCCTCCCACCTTACCACACACCCCTCTCCCTCCCCACCCTCCCCCACGACACACACCCCTCTCCCCACCAGCAGGGGAGCTGTTCCATCCTGAAACACTCCCCCAAAACAACATGAAACATCACTTTACTGGGAGAAAAGAGAGAGATCGCTCCTCCATAGCTGTTCTATTTGTCACGATGAGCACAGAGCTGAATCAGGAGTGTGTAAGTGTGTGTCTTGCCCCACCACACTGATGTCACACAGCCAGGGGGTGACCACGGCCCTAAGGCACTCTGACGAAGGCCCTGAGGCCAGTGCCCTAGGAAGTGCTAGGGGGACAGACATGCTCCAGGACCAGTGTGTTTGTACTCCTCTGAATGTGTCACTGTGACTTGACATTCAGAGTATGTGTGTGACATCTAAGCCTGCAGATAGAGCCAGAGTCAGTGAGGTGAGCAACTCAGTTTAAACCCTGTCATGTGTAGCTCATATTGTCAGTGTGGTGGTTGAGCCTGACAAGATGCTACAGGTCTGTACCACCGACATCCTATTGATATATGATAAAGCAGATGCTTTTATCAAAATTTCATTTTTTTTTTCCCCGAATGGGTGGTCCCGGGAGTTGAATCCTCTATCCTGGCATCACACAAGCCATGCTTTACCAACTGAGCTACAGGGGACCACACTGTTGAGCTACTGATCATGTAGTGCTAAGTTAGGTCATTCATTTTCTCTCTCTCCCTCTCCCTCCCCCTCTTGTGTATTCACTTTTATAGCTTACATTGAGGGAAAAAAGTATTTGATCCCCTGCTGATTTTGTACATTTGCCCACTGACAAAGACATGATCAGTCTATAATTTTAATGGTAGGTTTATTTGAACAGTGAGAGACAGAATAACAACAAATAAATCCAGAAAAACGCATGTCAAAAATGTTATAAATTGATTTGCATTTTAATGAGGGAAAATAAGTATTTGACCCCTCTGCAAAACATGACTTAGTACTTGGTGGCAAAACCCTTGTTGGCAATCACAGAGGTCAGACGTTTCTTGTAGTTGGCCACCAGGTTTGCACACATCTCAGGAGGGATTTTGTTCCACTCCTCTTTGCAGATCTTCTCCAAGTCATTAAGGTTTCGAGGCTGACGTTTGGCAACTCGAACCTTCAGCTCCCTCCACAGATTTTCTATGGGATTAAGGTCTGGAGACTGGCTAGGCCACTCCAGGACCTTAATGTGCTTCTTCTTGAGCCACTCCTTTGTTGCCTTGGCCGTGTGTTTTGGGTCATTGTCATGCTGGAATACCCATCCATTTTCAATGCCCTGGCTGAGGGAAGGAGGTTCTCACCCAAGATTTGACGGTACATGGCCCCATCCATCGTCCCTTTGATGCGGTGAAGTTGTCCTGTCCCCTTAGCAGAAAAACACCCCCAAAGCATAATGTTTCCACCTCCATGTTTGATGGTGGGAATGGTGTTCTTGGGGTCATAGGCAGCATTCCTCCTCCTCCAAACACAGCGAGTTGAGTTGATGCCAAAGAGCTCGATTTTGGTCTCATCTGACCACAACACATTCACCCAGTTCTCCTCTGAATCATTCAGATGTTCATCGGCAAACTTCAGACGGGCCTGTATATGTGCTTTCTTGAGCAGGGGGACCTTGCGGGCACTGCAGGATTTCAGTCTTTCATGGCGTAGTGTGTTACCAATTGTTTTCTTGGTGACTATGGTCCCAGCTGCCTTGAGATCATTGACAAGATCCTCCCGTGTAGTTCTGGGCTGATTCCTCACCGTTCTCATGATCATTGCAACTCCACGAGGTGAGATCTTGCATGGAGCCCCAGGCCGAGGGAGATTGACAGTTATTTTGTGTTTCTTCCATTTGTGAATAATCGCACCAACTGTTGTCACCTTCTCACCAAGTTGCTTGGCGATGGTCTTGTAGCCCATTCCAGCCTTGTGTAGGTCTACAATCTTGTCCCTGACATCCTTGGAGAGCTCTTTGGTCTTGGCCATGGTGGAGAGTTTGGAATCTGATTGATTGATTGCTTCTGTGGACAGGTGTCTTTTATACAGGTAACAAGCTGAGATTAGGAGCACTCCCTTTAAGAGTGTGCTCCTAATCTAAGCTCGTTACCTGTATGAAAGACACCTGGGAGCCAGAAATCTTTCAGATTGAGAGGGGGTGAAACACTTATTTCCCTAATTAAAATGCAAATCAATTTATAACATTCTTGACATGCGTTTCCTGGATTTTTTTGTTGTTATTCTGTCTCTCACTGTTCAAATAAACCTACCATTCAAATTATAGACTGATCATTTCTTTGTCAGTGTGCAAACGTACAAAATCAGCAGGGGATCAAATACTTTTTTCCCTCACTGTAAGTGTGTGTGTATTCCCCTCCTCACCTCTGTAGTTGATGATCTCAGTACCCAGGATGGCGGTCATCTCCAGCACAGTGATGAAGGCCTTGTCCATGGAGGTGAGGGGGAACGGGGACATGCGGTGTCTCCGGGCCACCTTGGTGATGTCCACCGCACTGTGACCTGAGAAGAGAGGAGAGGAGAGGAGAGGAGATGAGAGGAGAGGAGAGGAGAGGAGAGGAGAGGAGAGAGAGAGGACACAGGAACAGGGTCTTACACAGAGTCATACACATATATACAAGTATGAGACACACACTCATGTAAGTAGGCACGCACACGCACACACACACACACACGATTTCCGCTCTTGACAGCAACCATGTTGTTCTAATAACAGCAGTCGAATCATACCAAAGGTAAGCGGAAGAACAAAGCGAGGTGTAACTAACGTGTAATCTCTCTCTCCTACCTCTGCCTAGCAGCACAGAGAAGAGAAGCTACAGTGCATGGAATCCTCTTGACCCAATTCCTCCCTTTTAAACTTACGCTTCCACAGCATATTTCAGATTCATAACATGAGCCTCCATCAGCCCCTGGCACAACATCACACGTCTGCGCGGACGGACGGATGCACCAATGCTCATGTATGAACACACACGCACACATACACGCACACACACAATTGTCCTGCTACAGGGGGCACTCTAAGTCGCCTCTTAAGGGCGTGTGGTAGAGTACTTACTTGATCTTAGGATATTTTCTTTGCTGCTGCATCGTGACTGCACCTGGGGAGCGAGAGAGAGAGAGAGCGAGAGAGAGAGAGAGAGAGAAAAAGAGAAATGAGATTTTTAAAGACCAGGTTGCCTTTTCGACATGTTTGAAAGATGAGATGTTTTCACAACAGTCAAAAAGTGACAGAGAAAGAGCTTTGTGACACTACACCTATCTTGCTCTTTGTCCTTCCCTATAGATGTCTTCTTCTTCCTGACCTCGTATAATTATCCTCTTTTATATGGTGCATATAATCTCATAGGCATAGCAGCACTGTAAATCACATGGGTAATAATAATTCAAGTGCCTCTTGTCTTGCTTGTTACAGTGATAGCGGCTGGAATAATTTAACTGAGCTAAAATACAGTAGATTAGTTCAATTCACATATATAGCTGGATTAGTTTAACTGAGCTAAAATACAGTAGATTAGTTCAATTCACAGATATAGTGGACAAAGGCAACAACATCCATATTGATTAAACATTGATTATAACAGATATATTAACAGCAATAATAGCAGTATTGATAGTGGCTGCTCAGATGTGGAGCAGGAGGGCTGCGTTTCTCTGAAAACATCTGATTCTATAGGAACGCTAAGCTAACGCTCAACTAACGCATTCTTAATGCTGGTCTAACGCTAGGTGGGGACTAGAGAAGAGTAGCTAGACAGAAGGAATGGTTAAAGTGAGGCGGTACAGTAAGTACAACCATCACACACTCTGTGAATCTGGGTGTGTGGGGCGGGAGGGGGTGGGGGGTTACGATCAGTTTTAGTTCAGAAATGATGTCTTTATTCAGTTTTGTCTCTATGTCTACCTATCTGTCTGTCTCTTTTCTGTCTCCTGTCTACCTGTCTGCCTGCCCGTCTGTCTTATCTGCTCCATATCTATGTGGCTCTGCAACATGTGCCCCCCACACTACAACTGCTGCAACACCGCTGGGTACCGCACAGCCAGAGGCGGGGAGAGAGGGACAAGGGGGATGGAGGGGAGGGAGGGATAGCATGACGTGGACCCATAGCCGAGAGAAAATCAAAAAGACCAGACAAGATCGCAGCTAAACTAGTGAACTAAAAGAGAGAGAGAGAGAGAGAGAGAGAACGAAAGAAAGAGAGTGTGCACTACTGGAGCAAACTGATGATGTCTACAGACATCCTGCAACACCAGAAACACCAGACACAGCTACTAAAAGCAGAGCATGTTAGGGAGAGAGAGAGAAAGAGAGATGGCGAGAAAGGCAGAGAAACAGAGAGAAAGACAGAAATGGAGGGCAGCAGCTCTTCAGCTGGGGGGGGATAGTTACTCGAGAGCTGAAGGTCCTATGGCTCCTGCGATCATCTTTAAGCCCCTCCAACCTACACTGGAGCTAGTAGGAGATAAAGCATCATCACAGGCATCAGTGAACATCAACTCCCAGGATGCATCAGTACTGTACCACAACACAACAACAGAGACAACAAGAGAGAGACAGAAGGAGCAACAATCGACTGCTAGCAGAAGGGAGAAGGGATAGGGTAAGGGGGAGTGTATGAGAGAGAAGGTGACGAGGTTGAGAGAGAGTAAGAGAGGAGAGAGAGGGAGAGAGAGAGAGAGATAGGAAGAGGAGGACGGTGCGAGAGGAGGAGAGAGGAGAGAGAGAAGAGGAAGGAGAGCGAGAGAGAGAGAAAAGCGGAGGAAAAGAACGGGCATGGGAAAAGAGAGAGAGAGAGGACCAGAAAGAGAGCGAGAGATATTGAGAGATAGAGGACGAGAAGAGAGAGAGAGAGAGTTGAGAGAGAGAGAGAGAGAGAGAGAGAGAGAGAGACAGAGAGAGAGAGAGATATAGAGAGATAGAGAGCGAGAGAGAGAGAGAGAGGGGGGGGGAAGGGAGGGGATGGTAGAAGGGGAATTACTAAGGCTACAGAAGACATAGAAAGATCAACTTGCAGTAGACATAGAAAGCAGAAATGAAGACTAGCAATAAACAACATAACTAAGTTATGAGATTCAGTACATTACAGGTGTGCCTTTCTCTGACAGGATTTGATCAGAATTTACAGTACCATATTATGTCTAACATGGACTTTTTGACAAACTACACAAAAATAACCATGAACCTAACAAGATGTATTACACAACATAAAAACACATACATTGGGTGTCTTTCTAATGAAATCTATCTAGCCAGTCTGCAAGGGAACCCCTTCAAAAGTCAACCTTAAACAGCAAATCTGTTTATATTCTCTATACTTGTCAACAACTTTGTTCCTCACTAGCGTAATTCTAACTTGATATTCTACTAAGCAGAAGGGGGATCAGGTCAGTGACTAGGTCAGTGACTAGGCTAACCGCTCCTTAACGTTCATGTAATGTTTGGGTATAACCGTATGAGAACGGTGGATGATGCTGCTACATCGGTGGCACTAGGAATGGACAGAGGGTGAGACACACCAACACAGGTGGAAAGAAAAAGACAACAGAACTTCACTGGGACAAACACTTACTAAAGAGATTTACCACCAGAAAGCCATGGAGAGAGAGAGAGCACAACGACTTATGTGGATAGATAGATAGAACGAAAAAGAGTGCAGAGAGGAGAGAGTGAGAGAGTGCGGAGAAAGAGTGCAGAGAGGAGAGAGAGAGTGCGGAGAAAGAGTGCAGAGAGGAGAGAGTGCGGAGAAAGAGTGCAGAGAGGAGAGAGAGAGAGTGCGGAGAAAGAGTGCAGAGAGGAGAGAGAGAGAGTGCGGAGAAAGAGTGCAGAGAGGAGAGAGAGAGAAAGTGCGGAGAAAGAGTGCAGAGAGAAGAGAGTGAGAGAGTGCAGAAAAGGGTGCAAAAGCAAATGTGTGGAGAAACGGGTAGAGCAAAGCACAATATCATTCACTCCCACCTTCCTTCCCTCCCTCTATCCGTCCCTCCCCCTATCCGTCCCTCCCCCTATCCGTCCCTCCCCCTATCCGTCCCTTTCCATGGAAAACAGAGAAAGAGAAGTATACTGTATGCATGATGTGAGTGATGCAAAATGTAACACACACACACATACACACAGACTTTCTAGTACAGGTTTCATATAATTCAAACAGTTTGTGTTCAGACACACACACACACACACACACACACACTGGAGAGTGGAAAAAGTGAATATGCCCAACAGTGTAATTCAAAAGAAGGAATTACCGAAAGTCTATTTGAGGCACACTGCACTGTAGCGATACTTGTGCCAGGAGTGTGTGTAGGTGTATTTGTGACTGGGATGGCTGCCATTGACTGTGTTGGAGAACATGTGCGCTGCACTGAATGAGATTGAGTGTTTATATATCATGTATGAGTATGCTGTGTGTGTGTGTCTGTGTGTGGGTGTCTGTGTGTGTGTATGTGTAGTGGAGCTGGTTGAAGAGTGTGTTCGGATGAGTGTGCTGAGTAACTGTTTGCATATGTGAGTCTGTGTCCATGTGAGTACGCTAAGTGTCTGTCTGTCTGTCTGTCTGTCTGTCTGTCTGTCTGTCTGTCTGTCTGTCTGTCTGTCTGTCTGTCTGTCTGTCTGTCTGTCTGTCTGTCTGTCTGTCTGTCTGTCTGTCTGTCTGTCTGTCTGTCTGTCTGTCTGTCTGTCTGTCTGTCTGTCTGTCTGTCTGTCTGTCTGTCTGTCTGTGTAGCAGAGCTCTCAGGCCCTGCAGCAATATGCCTACCCTTGGGCGAAACCCTGAATATACACCAGCCTATTAAACTGAACGTCAATGGAACAGAATACACACACACACACACACACACACACACGGAAAACAACCCTAATGACTTTCCACGGCAACCCGATAGTCACCGTGGAAACAGCCTGAAACGGCCTGACGACGGGTTGTCATGGCGATCGTCTACAGAGATCAATGGCGGAGGGGGCGCATGTGGAATAGCGAGTGGCGAGCACGGAGGCCGGGTCAGGCAGAAAGGTCTCGGAGTGGACGCGCCTGGGGGAAATCAATGGACTAACAACGGACAAGGTAAAGAAGCGGCTCGTGGTGACAAGGGAACAGCAAGTGTTTCTGTGTTTCTGTGCTGAGCTCAGCAAAAAACAAAGGCGCTGTCAGACAAATTATGCAAAGAGGGATTTAGGAGGAGAGGAAGAGGAGAGGGATGTGACATGGGGCAGACAAATTATGCAAAAAGGGGGATTTAGGAGGAGAGGAAGAGGAGAGGGATGTGACATGGGGCAGGGAGGGGAGGAGAGAAGGGGAGGAGGATAGGAGAGGAGTAGCCTCATCCCTAAACGGGAAGCATGGGGAAGTCCATGGTAGAAAAATATCTAAATAAGGGTGGGATTGGGAACCCGCTGTAAATCAGTGATGCCTCGCAACATATCAAACCAATCAAATGCTCCAGAGGTGCTCACTAGATTAGTGCAGTAGGTGCAACAGGGATTTCCCAGAAAGCAGGGAAATCGCAGATTAAAAACCTCATCAAAATATGTCGATATACTGTATGCGATTTTGTATAGAGCACACTTCTGACAAAACACAATTAAGTTTTTCCTCCAGTTTTTCTTCAATTTCCTGCGATGTTGCAAACTAGCACACAGAACAACTCTCTGCAAAATGTGTCGTCCCCGGTCTGAAAACAGTGACAAACATAACACGTAACACCAACGGGCATGTGAGGGAGGGTTCTTGAAATGTAACATCCAATAAAAACCCTGCGGTCCATTCAAACCATTTTTTGCTATCCAAAATTCTCCAGACCTCCAAGGCAGGTGTGACAACGAGGTGATTTTGGAGCTATGGCTACGCAAGACTAGGAGAGGAAAGGAAAGGGATGAGAAGAGAGGAGGAGTACAAAACCCTTCACCACCACTCTATCCCACAGGAGAGAGGGATAGAAGAGAGGACAAAACGAGGTGAGTGATAGAGTGACAGAGTGGGGAAGGACGGGACAAATGCTTCTGTGGCACTTCAAAGACAACACTTACTTCCCAGCAGGACCTAAGGGGAAGAGAGGGGGAGAGGAGCGAGGGAGAGAGAGAGGGGGGGGGGGAGAAAGAGGGGAGAGAGAGGGGAGGGAGAGATGCCCCTGGGATGCCCTTTGCTCCACACTACTACTCTAGACTACTCCAGGGTCGATTCGTGGAGAGGGTCGAGCGTCGTGTAGGAGGGACGCCACCTGACGTAAGACAATGGGGCTAACCTTCAGCACTTCCTCTGGCTAAACTGAGTGTAAGCTACTGTGGTACACACACACACACACACACACACACACACACACACACACACACACACACACACACACAAGGACATTGATGTGCACATCTTCTCATAGACATGAACAAAAGCACCAAAATACATACAAAAAACGCTACAAGAACCGCTCCCCTGCCCAGCTCCCAACACACACACACGACCAGATGGGTGACGGATGAGAGAGAATGAACGCTGGTGGAGTTCTAGAGAGGCCTGAGGAGTGGATGTACTGAACACTCTCCTAACTCCAACCCTACTGTACTGTTCAATGTAAGGCCTTTGCTATGGATAGACACCCTCTGTTAAAATGCATGTTGGTATGAACAGAACAAGCCAAAATGCCTCGAAAGACTACACTACCCATACTACTCTGTGAGCTGAATTCCTACTGGAACCTTTCATATTGTGTGTTGCTCCCCTATGTCAATATATCCTATGTGTCCTTCCTGCCTCTCCTCCCTCTCTTCCCTACAGTCTCTCGCTATCTTTCCTGTAGATGAGCTCCAGTACTGCATGACCACACAGGGGAGCCGCAGACAGCCGGCTGCCTGAGATGGTGAGCCCTCTGTGGGCTGTGGATCCTGGTACCTCCCCTGTCTGTCTACGTACCTCTGGATGTCTAACAGGTGTCTTTGGGGTCTCTGAGGCCCTAGTGCTGTGTGGTGACTGTGGCTGTGTCTATGGTGAGGAGCAAGGCCTGCATGCCGGTATAGAGGAAGGGTAGGAAGAATGTAAGGGGGTTTACCTGGTCCAAGGTAGAGTACCTTGACTTGAGCGTGATGACCTCATCCAGGTGAGCCCTGAACTCTCTCCGTGAGGCCTGGAGGAAGCCACAGGATAGGTCACTCACCTTCACACATGCCATCATGCATCACACACATGTCCCATATTGGTAGACACACACAGGCACGCACACACACACACTCAAATGTCCTGGTACAGTACATTAGAACACATGTATAGTTGTGGCCTGGCACACACACACACACACACACACACACACACACACACACACACACACACACACACACACACACACAGACACCAAACCCAGGACTACTGAGGTGACAAATACAGCAATCAGTTCAAACAACAACAAAAAAAGACCACTGACAGCAAAACAACCAATGTTCTGACAATACAGAACCAAAAATGGATGAAATAACAACCAAATAATGTGACGGCAACTTCACACGAGTTTTCGCTCCAACCTAGAGCACGTTTAGCATGGGTCTGAGAGTGAGTTAGTGTTAGTGAGTGGAGGAGAGTGATATTAGCTTTGCTTGTGTTGGTGTCCTGGTGGAAAAATTGCCACTTTTCTCTTCAGTGCTTGACATATGGTTCCTGTATCTTTGTTATAAAATGATCCAAGGTCAGTTATAACTCACATTATTGGTTGCTGCAAGGATAGAGAAAGCTGACCCTAAATCAGATGAAACCCTGATGAAGGACTGTGCTTAGCTGTCAAAACATTGGTTCATTAAACGTATTGCATCGGAGCCATTAGAGCTAGAGTGTCAAACATTTGGTCCGCAGATCCGGCCCGCGAGGGGGTCCAATCTTAGCCACACTTTAAAATGACTAAAACCAAATGTGTAGAAATGATAATGGACCTATATTCATACAGTTTATTGACCGTGTCCAGCTCACTAATCACTGCAATGAAAGCTAGACAGTCAGGGAGTATAGAAAATTCCCAAAACGATGGATAGACGACTATTTTATGCTAATTTTAACAGCGAGAATAAAGAAGAAAAAAAATGAGTGCAGCCCTCATTGGTCCGGACCTCATTGAAGACTGAATGCGAGCAAAATTGGTTTGACACCCCAGAATTAGTGTCCAGCTTTTTTTTTCTAAATAGATGTTACTTACAGGAGATCTATTGACAAGGTGGAAGTATCCTCCCACTGCTCATCTATTGTAGATGATACCATATCCCTTCCCAATCATCAATCTCATTAACAATAAATCAACAATACCAGCGTGTCAAGCACAGGAGAGGTGCCTGTTAGAGATAGTGTCACGATCGATGCTGAGTGAGAGCAAGCCTACCTCAAAACCAGCTGAAGGGTAGAGCAATGCACTGTTGGTACAAGCAACGCTGCCGCCGCACAGCGAGATACAACTACCATGACGTTTCAACTCTAACACTGTATTTGGAAAGTAATTGAGTCACATGTCACATGGCAGGAGGTGTGAGTGGATGTTGAGGTGATGACTTGAGTGGAGTTGTGTGTGTGTGTGGGGGGAGGGAGGGATTCAATTAGATACAATTTAGGGCATCTCAGAAGATATGATGCGTTCGATTACACTATGGTCCAAATGTTAACATGAAACTGGTCAAAAGGCCTGTAAATACACTGATTCAGGAAGAGATTTAGAAATACAAAGCATTCTGGGATTTGTAGTACTCCGAGAGATGACTGTGTCCTTCCATCTAGCAGGGGCAGCATGCAGGGCAGACATACAGATAAAGGGAAGAAGGAGGATGAACATCATGCAAAACAGAGGAAGAAGGAAGGAGGGATGGAGTGACTGCGCAATCATGCCAGGTGAATGAGGAGGGGGGACCGTGGCAACCGATGCCATGACGATGCCATGATGAAGGTGGCCATGGCGATTAATTTGTAGGCTTGCAAGAGTACCTCAGCAATGCTTAGGGTGGATGAACAGGAGGGGAGCCTCGCCTGGTGCCACAAGAGAGAAGGAGGAGGAGGAGGAGGAGGAGGAGGAAGGGAAGGAGGAGGGGAGAAGAGAACAGGGTTAACACAGCCAGAAGCCAGACAGACAGACACCGAGACAGACAGACAGACAGCGCCCCTGTCTCATGCTGTGTTCATGTGGTATCAGAATTATCGCAAACTCAGGACTTAAACACTGCCATAAAGCAATCAGATGCATCAAGACAGCATCCAAAATGGCCTTCCAAGTGTTACATTCAAGTGGGAAACTCAGGTAGCGTTGTTGTACCCCAAGTTTCCCAGTTGGCTATTTCTGAGTTTCCTAGTTTCCACATGAATGCAGCATCAGTGTGTCTGTCTCAGGTAAGTCAGCACAGCC